TCGAGGAGTCCACCCCGTACTACGTCAGGTACCCCAGTCGAGGTCTCCCGGTTCCTCCTCCCCCCCTCTTCCTGACAGCCGCTCCCCCGCCTGCTCCCCCTGGTCCAGCCCCGTCTGGTGTGTCTCAGGCCAGCCCTCCCCCTTCGGTAGCCCCCCCTGTACAGCCTCCCTCCCCACAGTCTTCCTCGCCGCCTCCTGCAGGTGCTCCCTCTCGGGAGGTTGGTCCTGCGACTGTCCCTGTACAGGTCTCTGGTTCTGGGGGTGCTGGAGTTGGAGCTGAGCCGCGGGTTGCAGAGGACTCTTGTCTTCCGGGGGCTGGTACTGGTCGTGCGGAGTCTGGGGGTGCTGGTGCGGAGTCTGGGGGTGCTGCGTCTGGGGGTGAGGGTGTCCCTTCGGTTTCTGGAGAGCCTGGGTCTGGAGCTGGTGTTGGTGCTGCCTCTGGGGGTGGTGTGCTTGGTGCTTCGGAGGTCGACTCTGGGGCTGCCGCTGCCCCGGACACTACTCCTTCCCCCCACCCCTACCCGACCAGGTTCCAGGCTCGTGTTCGCCGTGCTCGTGAGGAGCAGCTGGAGTTGGAGAGAGAGGAGAGAGAGTTGCAGCGGCTCGAGGAGCAGGAGCGACAGCAGCAGGAGCAGCAGCAGGAGCAGCAGCAGAGGCAGCAGCCGCTGGAGCAGCAGCAGCCACAGCAGCCGCAGCAGCAGCAGCAGCAGCAGCAGCAGCAGCAGCAGCTGCTGCCGTCTCCTCCTCCTGTCTCGGGTCTTCGGACCCTTGGTCTCCCGTCTCCCTCTCCTTCCTCCTCCCCCTCTCCTCCCGTCTCTGGTCCTCCGCTTCCTCCTCCTGACCCCTCTCCCGCTGTTTTCCCTCGTTCTCAGTCTTCGTTGTCTCCTCCTCCTTCTCAGACTTGGGCCTCTCGTCGCTCCCCTCGTGCTCGTCCCTCGTCTCCTGTTCCCTTCACTGACCTTCGTACAGCCTTCCTTTGTTCTCGTCCACCTCGTCCGTCTCCGTCTGTGCTTCCGTCTCCTCCTGAGTCTGCCCTCACTGCGTCGCTTCCTACTCCTGTCACTGACTACTACCGCACGTACCGTCCTGTTCTCTCTCGTGTTCTCGCCTCTCTTGTTACCCACCCTCGTGCCTCTGTGTCCTCTGTGTCCGCTCTTACTGCCGCAGTCACTGAGTTTGCCTCTACCCGCCGCCTTGACTTCGCCACCGCTCTTGTGGCAGCTCCTCCTTCCAGTCCTCTGGCCATCGGGGGTGTGTCTGCCCTTGGCTGTGACGCCCTAGAGGACAGGCAGTTTGAGCTAGAGTTCCTGGCGGCCGCTTCCCCTCATCTCTGTGCCATGCTCCTCGCCCCTGAGGGTGACCCCGACGCCCTTGACATTCCGACTCCTCGCACTTACGTTGAGGCAGTGTCAGGGCCTTGGGCCTCTCAGTGGAGAGCTGCCATGGACGCAGAGATGGCCTCCTACAGATCCACAGGCACCTACGTCGATGAGGTTCCCCCACCTGGGGCGAACGTAGTCGACGGCATGTGGATCTACAGGGTGAAGCGGCCACCGGGATCTCCTCCGGTCTTCAAGGCGCGCTACGTGGCTAGAGGTTTCAGTCAGCGCGAGGGAGTTGACTTCTTTCAGACCTTCGCGCCCACCCCGAAGATGACCACTCTTCGGGTGTTACTACACGTAGCAGCACAGAGAGACTACGAGTTACACTCTCTCGACTTCTCTACTGCTTTCCTTCAGGGCAGTCTTCACGAGGAGGTCTGGTTGCGTCGTCCCTCTGCCTTCACTGGCTCTTTCCCTCCTGGGACCCAGTGGAGGCTGAGGCGACCGGTTTACGGTCTTCGTCAGGCTCCTCGTGAGTGGCACGACACCCTGCGTTCTACCCTCTCTGACCTTGGGTTCCAGCCGTCTTCTGCTGACCCGTCGCTGTTCGTTCGTCGTGGCCCCACACCTTTCTTTGTTCTGGTCTACGTTGACGACCTTGTTTTCGCCACCCCTGACAGGGTTGCTTTGGCACACGTGAAGTCCGAATTGCAGAAGAGACACACCTGCACTGATCTTGGTGAGCTGCGCCACTACCTTGGCCTGCAGATCACCAGGGACAGAGCTGCTCGCACCATTACACTTTCACAGTCGCACATGGTGCAGCAGGTCCTTCAGCGGTTCGGGCTTCAGCACTCCACAGTACAGCGCACACCTCTTGCTGTTGACCACAGACTCACTGGACCCTTTCCTGACGAGCCGTTCGAGCCTAGTGGTCCCTACGCAGAGCTTGTGGGTTGCCTCATGTACCTGATGACTTGTACTCGCCCGGACCTCGCCTTCCCTCTCAGCGTTCTTGCGCGCTTTGTTGCGCCAGGGAGACACCGTCCTGTTCACTGGACAGCAGCTGTGAGGGTGGCGAAGTACCTAGCGACGACGTCAGGCGTGGGGCTAGTTCTTGGAGGGCAGCAGTCTGTCGTACTTACTGGTCACTGTGACTCCTCTTACGCTGACGACGCTGAGACTCACAGGTCTACTCAGGGGTACTGTTTCAGCCTGGGTTCTGGAGCTGTTTCCTGGCGGTCCACGCGCTCCTCTTCGGTCTCGACCTCTACAGCTGAGGCTGAGATCTACGCTGGTGCCATGGCGGCACAGGAGCTGCGTTGGTTGACCTTCTTGCTCACCGACCTTGGTGAGCGGCCGAGCTCTGCACCGACCTTGTTCACTGACAACAAGGCGTCTATTCTCCTTTGTCGAGAGCCACGACTGGAGAGCAGAGTGAAGCACATTCACGTCAGGTACTTTCTTCTGCGAGAGTTGCAGAGGCGTGGACAGGCTCGCTTTGAGTTTGTGGAGTCCGAGGCCAACACTGCAGACATCTTCACCAAGGCGCTTCCGCCTTGTGACCACCAGAGGTGCTGTGTGCAGTTAGGCCTTGTTGACACTGGTTCTCGTGTTGCTTAGGCTTGAGTGTACTGTTTACTTTGCTTTCTATATACCTCTGTTACTTCTTGGACTGGCCTTGTGGCCACTGTTGTTTGTGCTCAGACTGTGTGGTGACGTTGTGATCCACCCTGAGCTTCGTTTCTTGGACTGGTCTTGTGACCGTACTCGTTTGGTTCTGCTAGACACCCCTCACTTAGGCTATGGGGGTGTGTCAAATGTTGTAGCCTATAGTGAGGTTTGTCTTAGGGGGTACAAAACTTAGGGTTAGCTATATGTACCCCAACCAACATCAATGCATCATCCATTCCTCATTCTGACATACATCTACAGACTCTGTATGCAGGAAATCTGTGACTTTCTTTAGGGATGGAGGAGCTGTAAGAAAAAATACATCTTGCATTTGTCTTTCAAAAGTGTAGGCAGCCAAAAGGAAATCCGGAGCACAGCCTTGGATACTAATGCAACACAGATTCAGTTGATGACACTACAAATCATCTGAGCCATACCGCATTAGTGTTGCCAGGATAATGGCAGTCATCATCATATTAGCCATATAGAGGGCACGAAGGCTCCTAGATGACACGGTGATTTCCTCCCTAATCGAGATTCCCACTACAGTGAATCTCCCTGACATCGCACGACGCGGAGAACCTTGTTTTCACATTCCACAGAGAGTTCACCCGACCTCGGAAATTGATTTCTCCCACCCACCCGCAGGCCCTCATCCTCCTGTAGCCTGACCGACGGCTAATTTCCACGGCTTGGCCTTTGAGCAAGAACTACCATGGCGGAGTTTCATCGTCGTCACGCTCGCCTATAGTTGAACGCAGAAATTACGAATATCTAGCTGGATCATTCAGTTGCCTCGCCTCCACTAAAGTGGACTGTGGCTGATCCCGATCACGTACACACTCCTTCCTGCTTCAGATATTTTGTCCACTTCAACTCTAGGTCTTAGTTGCAGGAACTACAAGCGAGACGTAAATTGGTCAATATGTTGGTGAGGACGTACCAGCGGAAACGCAGAGCAGTACCGAGCGGTTCAGGTGACTCGTTTGCAGAGTCGGCGTCGCAGGACTCGCAGTCGTTCTTCTCGTCTCAGTCGCAGGAGTTTCAACTGAACGGCCTTCCCTCGTCCCAGGTACGAGCCTATGGTTACAGCCTGAGATTGGCGTTAAATATTCATATTAAAAAATAAGTCGGAATAATATGATACAGATGCGCGATCACCCGTTTTTACAAGCTTCTGATGCTCGACTGTCAACGTTTTATGTCTGCATTCGCGTCAATGGTCAATCTTGATGTCTGGTCATCGAATTTTATGCTTCACAGAACTCTGATTGGTCGCTAGTCGGCAGCGATGATCCCGAGGCCATGCCGGACCGTCCACGTTCGTCCCACTGCAACGCCAACCCCCTTGGTGGACTCTTCTCACCCGAATCCGAACCTCTGCACCACTCTTATTCCGAGCCTGATGCCTTTCGCGGGTTTGTGTCCCAGCCGACACGCTCCAGCCTCCCACCCCCTGGTCCCTCTCGCACTAGAACCGAAACTAACCGAGCAGAACCACGCAGACGTTCAGCAGCAAGCTGGCGAAGCCAGATGGACGGTGGAGATGATTCCAGCGGCTTCTTGAACCACGTAAAGATGAAGAAGGGGGGTAAAGGGAGCCAGAGTGAAGGGAGCCAGAGTCAGAGGAGAAAGCAAGGCAGGTGCGGCAAGGCAGAGGGCGAATCCCAAGAAGCAGAAGTAGAAACCCTAGGACAATGGCGGCCGGGCAATGGGAAGGGGAAACAAGATAGTGAGCGAGAGAGTGATGCGGAGGAGGATGAGCTTCGCGAGCTGGAAGCGCTTTTCAAGTCTCCAGTGCACCGCAACACGTTCTTCACACAGAAGCACAGCAGCTCCCTAATGCCTGCTGCAGGAACTGCAGCCGCGGCAGCAGTAGCAGCGGCAACAGCAGCCGCAGCAGCAGCAGCAGCAGCGGCAGCAGCAGCTGGCACATCCGCATCGGAATCACAGGATCCATTTTCGCAAGACTCGGATTTCCCAGGGCCTAGAGGCGCGAGTCTTATGGAGCCCGAGGAGGCAGATTTTCGGGGGCCTAGAGGCACGAGTCTGATGGAGGCACAGGAGTCGGGTGAGATGATGGCGAGCATGGATGAGGCCATGTTTGCACTGGATGGGCTCAAGCTGCGCCAGCCAATCAGGGTGCAGAGGTCTGCTGCCACGTCACTGGCGTCCATCTGTTCGGCTGTGGACCGCCGTCGCCTGCTGCGCTCGCAGGGGTAAGTTGTCGTGCTTGGACAGTATGAGATGGCATTGTCACCTGAGAAATAGCATCTCTTGGTGCAATCGGGGTAGGTTGATTGGCTTGTTAATTGGACGGTAGGCATCACTCGCCCTTGGAATGCGTTTGAGGCTTTCGTTTTGGGACCTTGCAAAACTTGCTTCCCATGTGTCCATCCATGTGTGTTCATCTGCTCTCCCCTACAGGCTAATAAAGCAGATAATGGATGCTCTTCTGCTTCTCCCAATAACGGATCATCCTCTCGCTCTGGCTGCTGCAGCTATTTTCTTCTTTGTCTCCTCTGATGTGAGTGCTTACCTGCCTACAATGCGCCTTTCATTTTTATGTCACAAACTTGATGTCTGACCTTACTGCACTAAGACCTTCACTTCACCACGTCTCTCCTCGTGCTCTACATCTCCCCTTGTTTGTGCAAGTTTGTTCTGGGGCTGCTTCTATTCTTCTTTGCCTAATCTTCTTTGTCCTTTCACTTTCTTCCTCGTTTTCTCCCCACCGACCCCTTATTCACTTTCTCAGGACGTTGAGAGTGACTTCTCAGACCCATCCCACGCGCTCAGCTTCCTCCTCGCCCTCTTAAAGCACCACAGCGCCCCTGCCCCTCCACCGCTTGTTAAGTCTATCTTAACTTCCCCTTGACCCCCTCCCAACTCAACCACTCAGGACGTGGAGAGTGACTTCCCAGATCCCTCCCACGCGCTCAGCTTCCTCCTCGCCCTCCTCAAACACCACAGCGCCGCTGCCCCTCCACTGGTCGTAGAGTTGACTCAACATTCCCCTTGACACCCTCCCAACTCACCCACCCAGGACGTGGAGAGCGACTTCCCAGACCCCTCCCACGCGCTCAGCTTCCTCCTCGCCCTCCTCGAACACCACAGCGCCCCTGCCCCTCCACCTGCCAGCCCAAGCCCCCGTCCCGCCCCTGCATCTGCTGCCTCTCGTGGCAAGTCTCCTCCTGCGCGAGCAAGCTTTCCCTGGCGAGATTGCCCTGTCAAGGGGGGGGAGAGGCGGGAGGCGGAAGCTGCAGCAGCAGCAGAGTGTAAGGTCAGGAAGCTGTTTCCAAGAGGGGATGGGGGAGTGTTGTGGGATGGGGAGGAGGAGGAAGAGGAGGGGGATGGGGAGCGGGAGGAAAGTGGGAGAGGCTGTGGTACTGGTGATGCTGCTGCTGCTGGTGGTTCTGGTGGTGCTGCTGGTGGTCCTGGTGCTGGTGGTGGTGGTGGGTCGTTGGATGTGACTGTTGTAGCGCTGGTGCTGGCCACGCTGAAGCGGATCTGCTCCTCTGTGATCGCCCTCCAAGGTCGTTCCCCCCCTTTGCCCTTGGGCACTCAATCTGCCGGGATGCAATTATCGCATTGCACCTGATGCTCTGGACGGACGGACGGATGGACGGACACGGATGGATGGATAGACGGACGGACGGATGGATGGATAGATGGATGGATAGATGGATGAATGGCTGGATGGATGGTGCTATGGTGAAGACTGCAACACCACCATGGCACCTCCCCTTTTTGGTCTTCTTCCCTCATCTTTCCGTCTTCCTTTGCTCGTATTTGTTTGTTCTTTCCTTCTTCTTTCCCCCCCTCTTTCCCTGGCAGCAGCGCCAGACAACACGCTGCCGCCCTTCTCCTCCAGTGGGCCCGGGCGGCATCAGCTCATGCGCGTGGGGCTAAAGGACGAAATGCGCCGCCTGGGAGGGCTGCACCTGCTGGCGGCTGTGGCTGCCAGGCACATGCTGCAATTCCCCTCTCTCTCCTCGGCCACACTTGAGGTAAGGAATGCAAAGCAAAGGTGCTCTTTGCTGACTTGCCATCTCGGAGGGCTGGGCCTGGTGGCAGCCATCGCTGCCAGGCATCACCACTCTCCATTACGCCTCTGACTCTGGCGTTTGTTTCCCCAGCCACGTGCAGGCGGCCTTGGAGCGAAAGAAGCAGACAGGGAGGCATGGGGAGACGCCAAAAGGCGGAGGCTGGGGAGTAAGGAACATCCTTTTGGTTTCGAAAAGAAGCACCACTTGCAGCAGAAGCACAAACGGATGGGTGGTACTGCAGCAGCAGCAGCAGCCAGTGAGGGATTGACACATAAAGGAAGAATCTCCACAGGTGTTGATGTGGCGACAAGCTGTTTGGGGGTGTTGGAGCATGTCACGTTCATGAGCCGTGATAACCAGGTGTGTTGTGTGCCCCCTCTACTCATATTTTTCCTCCTTTCCTTGAAGTTAATCAAAGCCAGTATATATATATATATATGTATATATATATTAGACGTACATATATAATGAAAAAAACTGCTGGTGCTCTGCTCACGGTTTTCCGCCTTTTGTGTCTCCTATCAGCGATTCAATCTCAACATTGTTCAACACCGCTCTTCTTCCCGCCACAACGATCAATCCGAGGTCACTGACACACTCTGCCTGGAGTTGATTTCGCATCGACTAAATAACGAGCCTATCTCTACTTGCCTCCATCCATCCGTGTATTTCTCCATTCCACCAGGATTATCTCATCCGCCTCTCACTGCCCACTGACACTCTGCCTGGAGCAAAGCGAAGAAAGTTGTCCGCCTGCCACACCGCCTCTCCCGCTGCCGCTCCCCTCATGGCTGCAGCAGCCTCTAGTAGGGCTTTAGAGGAAGGGAAGGGGGCCAGCAGCAGTGAACGGCCGTTTCTTGCTCTCCTGTTGGAGTGCCTGGAAGGGCTAGCTGGTGAGCTGATTCCTCTTGTTGACTAGGAAATTGGCTCTTTGCACGTGGTTTTTCTATAGGTACGAAATTAATTGCTCTCCTGTGCCTGGAAGGGCGTGCAGATGAGCTCAGCAATTTGCTGCCTTCTTGATACAGCACTTTTCGGATTTCCAACCACTCCCCGTAATATTTTTTCAACTTCTTAACCCCCTTTCAACCTTACCAATCCCTTCCCCTCTTTCCCAACCACTTCCTCCCCGCTCTTTCTCAACCCGCGTCCCCTCCTGCAGGTGGTGGGGGCATTCCGACCACGAAGGGCAAGGAGAGCGCTAACACTTCAGGAACAGATTCTGAGGGGGATGAGGAAGAAGCAATGGGAGGGGTAGTAAGGGCCGGTGGTGGAGGCATGGTGATTCTGGGCGATGCTGTGCCTTTGGACTTGGGGCGGGAGGAGGGGAGTGAGGAGGGTGAAGAGGAGAGGGGGGAGGACGAGAAGGGAAGTGGGCGAAATGGAAGGGAGAGAGTGTGTGGGGTGGCTGCAAAAGGGAAGTCTGGTGGGGGGAGGAGAGGGGTCCAGGCAGGTGGCAAGAAGAGGGAATTGGCAGACCCGTTTTCCTTCGACCCATGGGAGGAGGAGGGTACAGGGAGGGTTGCAGGGAAGATTGCAGGGAAGATTGCAGGGAAGATTGCTGGGAAGATTACAGGGAGGGTTGCAGTGGAAGTTGCAGTGAGGGCAGGTGCAGGGAAGAGCAGTAGTGTTGATAAGGGGCAGCAGGGAAAAGTGGCTCTCAATGCAGGTGCACGGCGTAGTGCTGTGAAGCAGGTTATGCAAAAGCAAGATCAGGTTGTAATACTGGGTGAGGCGGTGGAGGGGGATGACGAGGAGGAGGAAGAGGGGTTGCGACATGGCACGAGCGGTGCTCTTTCCATGGGGGCGAGACTTGGCGCTAGTGCTGTTGTGCTGGGGGAAGATGTGTTGGCAGAGGAGGCGGAGGATGAGGAGAAAGAGGGAGAAGTGGAAGAAAACGGAAAAGAAGGGGGGTTGAGAAATTTCAAGGCTTACAGTGGTGCTGGTGCTGTTGTCCTGGGGGAGGCGGTAGAGGAGGAGCAGGAGAGTTCTGATGATGGATCCGAGGAATCTGGATTGAGTGGCAGGGAAAGGCACAGACGAGCGAGCGGTGCAGTTGAGGGCGGTTCAGGGGTGAGAGAGAGCGGTGATGGAGGGTTGGGCATGGGTGAGGGCGTGGGGAAGGATCCATATGAGTTTTTGATGGACTCACAGGTGGAGGAGCTATTAGTGGGGGAGGAGCTGATGATGGGGGAGGAATGGGGGGGGATGAGGGGAGGAGAGGGGTGCGGGGAGGAGCGGGGTGGTGTGTGTGGGTCGGGGATAAGGCTGGGGGAGGAGGTGGAGGGAGAGAGCAGTGGGGGTGGTGATGAGGGCGGTGGGCTGTGCAGGCAGGGGAAGAAGGTAGGACATGGGAGGGAACAGAACGGGAGGTTACATAATGGGAAGTCTCAAAACGGATTCCAAGGGAAGAAAGGGAGGTGCAGAGAAGGTGAGGAGTACAGGCAGGGACAGAAGAAAGCTCGCTATGGTTTGTCTTCTAAAGATGCTTCATGCCAAGGTGTATACAATCGGAAATATGGTGAATGCGTTGGTGATGGAGATGGTGAAAGGGATGGCGATGGGGATGGGGAGGGCGGTGGCACTTGCAAGGAGAGGCTGTCAGTGCGGTCGAGGGCAGGGCGACGGTTTGTGCTGGCAGCATGCAAGGTGCTCATGAACGTCACCAACCACAGTGCAGAGGGGTGCAGAGCGGTGGCAGGGGCGCACGGGATTGCTGTGGTGGCGTCTCTGGCTGCAGCGTGCTTCTCTGACCGCTGCTGGCAGCACGCCCTCGCTTCTGCAGGAGAGTCAGCTTCGGCAGCAGCTCCGGCAGCAGCTCTGACAGCAGCTTCGGCAGCAGCTTCGGCAGTAGGCAATGCGTCCGAGGGAACTGAGGCAGTGATAGCTGAAGCGTGTGGGTCGGAGGATGGAGAGCGGGGGAGAGGGAAAGGGGCAAGTAATGGGGGAGGGGATGACAGTGGAGAATGTGATAGATGTGAAAGGCCTTGTGAGGGACGGGATGTAAGGCAGACAGAAAAGGAGGGAGTAGTGAGCAGGGAAGGCGGGCGTTGGGAGGGCGATAGTGATGTGCTGGTGGTGCTGCTGGGTCTGATAGTCAACCTCGTGGAAGCTGATAGTGATGCCAGGTATGTTGGCTTCATGGCATGCGGTCATGCTGAGAATGCAGGCTGGTTGGAATAGCAGAAACGAGTGTAATGTTGGCCCTGTGTGTGCGTGCCCCCATGCTGGTGGTGCTGCTGGGTCTGATCGTCAACCTGGTGGAAGCTGATAGTGACGCCAGGTATAAGTGGTGAGGTTATGCTGAGAATGCTGGGCGGGGATGGTGGGCGTTGGGAATGTTTGATGTGGAGAATGTTGGGTGGGTGCAGTAATGGAAACAGTGACGTGCCCCTATGCGTGTAAGCACTCGTGCTGGTGGTGCTGCTGGGTCTGATCGTCAACCTGGTGGAAGCTGATGGTGACGCCAGGTATGGGTTCTTCATGTCATGCGGTCATGCTGAGAATGCTGGTGCAATAGCAGAAATGGGTAACGCCTTCATATGTGTCTGGACTGGTTCTGGTGGTGCTGTGGGGCTATGTGGAGAAAGACGCGTCCTGCGTCTAGGACGCATGCGTCCAGACGCAGGACGCAGGATTCTGGCCTTTGAGACGCAGCAAAAGACGCAGGCCCGGGCAGGAAAAAAAAACCCCCGGGCAGCCCAAAAAAATGTTATAGGGCAGAGGGAAGTGGGGGGGGGGGGACCGTAGCCCACTTTCATTGCAAAATTTCTCCCCAAAGACAAAATTTCCCCCAAACCACTAGAGCATGATGGTGAGTCCTGCATCCGGAGCATGATAATAGAGCAAAACATTTTCCGGACAGCCCGGAAAATTTTCTGGCGTGCGTCCTGCGTCCGGACGCGCGTCCTGCGTCCTGCGTCCGGACGCTGCATCCAGACGCAGGACGCAGGACGCCCCCAGCGTCTTTCTCCACTTAGCTGTGGGGTCTGAGAGTCAGCCCTAGTGGAAGCTGATACTGATGCCTGCCAGGTACGGCTGAGGCTGAAAATGCTGGGTGGTTGCAATGGCAGAGACTGATGTAATGCCAGACTCGTGCTGACGTATGTACATGCTCTCGTGCTCTCGTGCTGGTTGTTCTGTTGGGTGTGTTAGTCAGACTCGTGGAAGCCAGGTATGACTATTGTGCATCACTATACTATTGTGCTTTTGTCCGTCTGGTGGACCGTGGAAGCCAATGGTGCCATGCATACACATCTGAGGCCCTGCTGCTCGTCTCCTGTTGATTGTCCTGTGCATGTGTGTGATTGCATGCATTTGCATCTTTCTATCATTCGCAGGTCCCTTCTGGCAGCAGCCACTTGCACGAGGCAAAAGCAGAGCCGGCTGCGATCGAAGCAGCACAAGCGCCGTGGATACACTACCCATCAGCAGAGGCTTCATGCGACCAGCACCACCAGCAGCGGGAGGCGAGGCGAGGAGGAGGCAGGGAGGGAAGAGGAGAGCGTGTCTATGGTGTCACTCCTGTGTGCTGTCTTCACATCCCGCCAAACCTCCCAGCAGACACAGAAGCAGAAGCAGCAGCAGGAGCAAAAGGAGAGGCATGATTTTGCTGCCAAATGTCAGATTTCAAATCGTTCCAGTGACGCGGAAAGGACCGCAGTGGCGGGAGGGAGTGGGGGTGCGGAAGAGATGGGAATGGCGGAGCAGAGGCGACAGGCGGAGCGGGAAGTGGAGGAGCTGCAGAGAAGCGTGCTGGGGCAGGGAGATATGGTGCTGCAGGGGGAGACGATGGGAGAGGGGGTGGGGACAGGAAAAGAGATGGGGGAGGAGATGGGTTCGGGCGAGATGGTGATGTCGATGATGGTGGAGGGGGCAGTGGAGGCGGAACAGCTCATCATGGAGTCACATGCTGCTCTGGTGCTGGGGCTGCTGGCGCAACACAGGTGTGTGTGTGCGTGTGGTGTCATGCTGGTGTGTGCAATCATCATGTGACGGCGCTGTTCTGGTAGGAGGGTTTCAAGGCGGTGGAGGCGGAACAGCTCATCATGGAGTCACACGCTGCTCTGGTGCTGGGGCTGCTGGCGCAACACAGGTGTGTGCGTGGTGGGGTGCTGGTGTGTGTAATCATCATGTGATAAGGAAAAGGTTTTAAGGCAGTGGAGGCGGGGCAGTTTATGATGGGTTCCCATGCTGCTCTGCTGCTGGGGCTGCTGGCGCAACACAGGGGTGTGCCTGGCGGTATGGTATGCTTGTGTGTCGCATGGTGACTTGCTGGAGCAGCAGCACAGTTGGGTGTGTGTGTGTGTGTGATGGCATGCTTTATTTTTTACTGATTGAAAAGAAGCGGAGCAGTTGATCATGGAGACATATGCTGCTTTGCTGCTGGGCATGCTGGCGCAACACAGGTGAGTGTACGATCATGTCTTGGCGCTGGTTTGGAGAAAGGCTTCTCGTTTTCTCCCCAATTTCACCTCGCACCACCCCCACCACACCTGAAGTGAGCCAGATTGTCGCTCCATCTGCCGTCATCTGCCAGGCTGAGTTCGTACTTTTCTAAAAAACAGGCACCCAGTGGCGCCGGTTTTTTATTCAATAAAAGAACTGCTTGTCCTTCCCTTTCCCGTCTCGCCCCCTCACCTGCAGCGAGCCAGTCTGCCAGTCCATCTGCAGCCAGCTGCCAGGCTCCTCTCTGCACCCTCTGGCACCGGTGCTGCGGCAATTCATGGTGAGCCTGTAGCAAACTAGTGGCAAGAATGAGTTGATGGTTGGGTTGATGTTTCAGTGGATAGAGTTATTTCTAACCAAAGGCCTGTGGTGATTAGTCGTTCCGCCACCTTTTGAAATGAAACGTGATGAATATGTTATGCCATTGCACACCACCAAGCTCCTGTTTTCCCTCTCTATATCCCTCCCTCTGCACCACAATTTCGACAACTTCAGGCATTCCATGACAGTGTGGGAGCACTCACTGACGAGTCAAGACAGCAGCTGCGCCAAGTCATTGTCTTCTGTGCTTCACACAAGCAGGAGTAGTCACGTGAAGGGAGTTGCTGGATGTGCGTGCTTAGGTTCCCGGCATGGCAATATGTGCAAAGCAGTCTATTCTTTTCTTCTTGATATGGTTGACATGTAGGCTAATTCTGCCTCTAAACACAGCAAAACGAAGAACACATGAATTCACCTCCATCTGTACCCTCCTCCCTACATCCTTCTCCTTCCCCCTGTCACATGGCACAGCCCTCTGCCTGTCCCTTCGTGTCCCCCGGAGCCATTTTTCACTATAGTAAAATTGGAAAAACATACTACTACCTATTCCACTTCAGAACCCCATCGCACAGCCATCAGCCCGTCCCTCCGAACCCCCCCACAGCACGCCACTCCCCCTCTCCCGCACAATCACCTGCCCCTTCCCAAACACCTCCCTCGTCCCCCCCCGCACCACCTCCACCCGATGCCCCCTCCTCAACTCCTCCGCCACCTAAAACCCCTAAGGCACAGCCATCTGCCTGTCCCCTCCCCACAGACAGGAGACTGTATTGTGTGCTGTCAACTCCTCTGCTCATCATGTCCCAAGTTCCTCCCTGTTTCAAAAGCCCATGGCACAGCCATCAGCCCGTCCCTCCGAACCCCCCCACAGCACGCCACTCCCTCTCTCCCGCACAATCACCTGCCCCTTGCCAAACACCTCCCTTGCCTCGCCCCTCACCACCTCCACCCGATGCCCCCTCCTCCTCAACTCCTCCGCCACCTCATCCCGCCCCACCCCCTCCTCAATCGCCACGTGGCTCTCTCTCACTGGCCCAGGCCCGTGCCCGGGCGGGTCGAGGGAGGGGAGGCCGGAGAGGCAGAAGCGGGGGCGGTCGAGGGCGGATTGGGGGTTGAGGGAGAGCAGGGCGAGGCTGGTTACCACCTGTAGGTGGCCCTGGGGTTGCATGAATCCCCCCATTACCCCGAACGTGCAGTGCAGGTCCCCTGCGGGCAACCCTGCGTCTGCTCTTGATTCTTCTGCTGCGTTTTCTCCTCCTCCTGCTGCTGCTGCCGATACTCCTGCTGCTGCTGCTGCTGCTGCTGCTGCTGCTCCCTCTGCTCCTCCTCCTCCTGTTGCCGATGATGCCGCTGACGCTGCCGCTGATGCTGCTGCTGCAGGAGAGGGGGTATCCCCCAAGGTGGCGAGGCCAGGAATAATAGTATGGTAGGGGCGTTTACCAGGCGCCAGGCAGTTGGGATGGGAGGGGTCTAGTGAGAAGTTATGCCCGCGGTTCTGCAGGGGGAAGCCGCACCCCTTGGGAACAATCCCCGTGCCAAAACCCATGTAGTTTGAGTTGATCATGCTGCACGCATTGCCCTCCCCGTCCACCGCACAGAAATACACCGTATCGGTCCCCACTCCTCCCCACGCCCCAATCCCTGGCTCCACAATCGCTGCCCGGTTTAGATCGATCTCCCCGGCTCGTTTGGCTGCGTACCCTTTAGATAAAGCCTCCCCCAGAGGCACCTGCACGTGTTCCGGGTCAGCCACACACGCCAGCGCATCTGCAAACCCCATCCGCATCGCCTCAATCATCACATGAGCATAATCCGCCTCCCCCTTAACCCACCCCTCCTCCCGAGCCTCGCCCGCAGGTTCGGGCCCACCTCTCCGAGCCTCCCGGGCAGGCTCGGGAAGCCCGTGCGTGGAGTAGTAAGCCTCGGTGATGTTGAGAGCGATGAGTGCGGCGAGGCCGTGCGTGGGGGGAGGGACCTCCCAGATGGTGAGCCTGTGGAAAGTGGTGCTGATGGGGGGAGCGAAGGAGGAGGCGTGCGAGGCGAGGTCTTGCAGGGAGAGCAGGCCGCCTTGGGCTTGCACAGCTGTGACTATCGCTTCGGCTACTTGGCCTGTGTAGAAACCTTCCTTGCCTTTCTCTAATGCGGGGAAGAGGGAGAGGGACAGAGGGAAGCACTACCAAGTATGAGGTCGTGCAGAGAGAGCACCCCGCCCTGGGCCTGCACTGCTGCCACTATTGCTTCAGCTACCGGGCCTGAGTAGAATCCCTCCTTGCCTTTCTCTGGTGGGGGAAGGGGCAAGGGTCAGTGGAGGGAGGGAGTCCCAGATGGTGAGGCGGTGGAAGGTGGTGCAGATGGGCGCGGGCGAAGGAGGAGGCGTGGGAGGCGAGGTCGTGCAGAGACAACACCCCGCCCTGGGCCTGCACTGCTGCCTCTATGGCTTCGGCTACCGGGCCTGAGTAGAATCCATCTTTGCCCTTATCTGATGTGGGTGGGGGAGGGACGGGCAGCAGCGAAGCATGATGCATGAGGTCGTGTAGAGAGAGCACCCCGCCCTGGGCCTGCACTGCTGCTGGGCCCTTGTAAAAGCCATACCTGCCTTGCTCTGGTGGCGGAATGGGGAAAGGCCAGAAGGGAAGCATCATCAAGTACGAAGTTGTGCAGAAAAAGCACCCCGCCTTGGGCCTGCAGTGCTCCCATCCCACCATGGCTTGGGGACCGGGCCTGTGTAGTGTAGGAGCCAAGCCAAGAAGCCATCCTTGCCTTTCTTTGATGGGGGAAAGGGAGAGAGTCGTGTGTGGGGGGGTGGAACGTGGTGGCCTGAATGGAGCCGCGAGATGGAAGTACTGCCCTGGGGCTGCATTGCTGCCGCCATGGCATGGGCACCGCCATGGCATGGCCACTGGACAAGTGTGAAAGCCGTCCTTGCGTTGCTGCTCTTGTGCGTGGGGGAGAGAGATGAAAGGACGGCTGTTGCGAAATGTGACAAAGGAGTCGCTGACAGACGCACCTGCCAGCAGCCTCAGCGTGTTTGCCATGCCCGGGTTCTTAAACACCTCGCCAGCAGTCAACGCAACTCGCCAGCAGTCAACGCAACTCGCCAGCATTCAACGCAACTCGCCAGCAGTCAACGCACCTCGCCAGCAGTCATCGCACCTCGCCAGCAGTCAACGCAACTCGCCAGCAGTCAACGCAACTCGCCAGCAGTCAACGCACCTCGCCAGCAGTCAACGCAACTCGCCAGCAGTCAACGCAACTCGCCAGCAGTCAACGCACCTCGCCAGCAGTCAATGCAGTCAACGCACCTCCCAGCAGTCTCAGTGTGCTGCCCATGGCCTGGTTCTTAAACACCTCGCCCGCCCTCGGAGCCCGCTCCCCGTCCACCAATAGCTCGCCGCCATGTGGCCCTCCCTGCTTCAACTGCCACGTGGGTTGGAGGGTGTTCCGCGCAAAGTGTGTCAATCGCATGCTCTACAGAACGGGGTGGGTGAACAACGCAGACAGCACACACCGTTCTCCACGCCTCACACACCGTTCTCCACGCCTCACTCACCTCCCCTACGCCTCACCTGCCCCACGTCTCACCTGCCCCACGTCTCACCTGCCCCACGTCTCACCTGCCCCACGTCTCACCTGCCCCACGTGTCACCTGCCCCACGTCTCACCTGCCCCACGTCTCACCTCCCCTACGCCTCACAAACCTGCTCCACGCCTCGCTCCCACTGTCCAGCTGTCAGGGGCGGCACGGGCCAACCACCTTCCGCTAGCTGTACAGCCGGCTCGAGCGCCTCCCGGAGCGACACGTGGCGCGATCCGAACCGTTGGATGGCGTCGACCCAGCAGGCGGCGGCGCCGGGGACGGTGACGGTGAGCGGGTGGAAGGGGGGGAGCGGGCGCGCGGGGGAGAATCCCAGCGCGGCGAGGTGGGGGAGGGAGAGCGCGGCGGGGCAGCGGCCATTGCCCTGAATGCTGTGGACGGTGCGGGTTGAGGCGCGGTAGAAGAGGAGGAAGGCGTCTCCGCCTGGGGTTGGGGAAAAAGGGGAAGGAGGGGAAGTGGAGGAGTGAAGAAGATCAGAGTGAATGAGCAGGAAGAAGGACAAGGATGGGATGGGTTGCCCTGAATGCTGTGCACCATGTGCGCTGATGCGAGGCAGAAGAGGAGGAAGGCGTCCCCGCCTGGGGTTGGGGAAAAAGGGGGCGGACGGATCGGGTGCGGAAGAGTATAATCGTGACTTGTGCTCACGTTTTGAGTGCGCCAAGTAATTGCACACAGCTATTAATGACAAGCGGCGATCAGTCCCCACCTAGTCCGGTGCTGCACGGTTCGCACACCGCAAGGGCTGCCGCCATGGCGACCGCCGCGTCCGCCGCGTTGCCGCCGGCCCGCAGAATGCGGAGGCCGGCCTCGCTGGCGAGCGGCTGCGACGACGCGACCATCCCGCGCGTCGCGAGGACGGGCGAGCGGCGCGACGGCCACGCATAGGGATCTCCGGTGAACATGGCAAGTGGGGACCAGTTCGACGCGATAGGCGAAGAGTTTGCCTGATGCGGCAGTGTAGGGTTGTGGCAACATTCAGGATGTATGTGGCAAATGCCCTTCTTATTGACAGACCTCGTTACCTGGTCTTGTGCGCCAAAACAGCAATGAAAATGAACAGCGTTAAGTTGACAATTGCCATTTACCGTAGTCTGCACTGCAATTCTCAACATGTTTCACGATTGCATGTACACCTGGTTCCTTCCACTAAACCAACGGTGACATATTAATGCCGGTAACTAGAGTTCACGAAAAAATGAGTTCGCATCCAAAACCAACGCTTCAACAAACTGCATTGGGACCTGAGAGCATAGGCAGGCAGTGTGATGTAATACGAAGACAGGCACCACGCACAAATCAACCCTTCCTTCCCACATGCAAACACCATTAGCACAGCATACACCTTCCCTCCATCGCCTCCCCAGCTCCAAATCACCCCAAGTTCCCAACCTTCCCCTCCACCCCCCAATCTTCCTCCCTTCCCCTCGCACTACATCTAAGCCGCAGGCACACACACTAGACTTAGAGTCCAGCAGCACGTCTGGCTGGCCCTTTCCCCTTCTTCACGCCCGGCATGACAATCTGCTCCGCCTCCCTCGCAGTCCGCTCCTCGTCCTTCCTCCTCCTCATCTCCTCCTCCACCTCCCTCTTCCTCCTCGCCTCCGCCATCTCCCTCTCCATCGCACTCGCCTCCTCCTTCAGCTTCAACTTCTGCTGCAACCTACTCTGATGACTCTCCTTCACACTGAAAAACATCGGCCCGGCTTCAGCCAACCACCTCGGCTCAACAGCCGTCACACACTGCATATACTCCTTCGAAGTCAGCACCAGCTCGTGATAAACCACATACTCCGGGGTCGTTCCGAGCCCATAGAGAGCACTTGTGGGGTGCAGGTGGCACGGGGTGCCGGTACGGCAGCTCGCATACTCCCCCACGCCCTTCAGCTTCGCCGCGTGGTGGAAATAAGCCGTGCAGATCGCCCGACGCACCACATCCCAGTCCTGACCCGCGCTAGACAGCGGAATCTTCTGCTGCTTGAGGATATCGGCTAGTTGGGCTCGCACCTCGCGGGCTTTTCGCAGCCCTTTCACGTGGAGGTAGTGGTCTGAGCACCAGTCGCCGCGATACCCGTTGGATTTCCACTGCTGGAAGACGTTTAGGAGCGTCAGGTGGTCGCTTTCGGGCACGAAAAACTTCTCCCGGGCAGCGTCGGACTCCTCTTCCCTGTCCTTGGGGCGGAAGAACACCGACGGCACCGAGAGCATGGCCACCATGGTCAGCGTCTCGTTCACACACCCAAACTGATCCCCGGAGATCAGCAGTTTCGCCAGCGCAGGGTCTAAAGGAAACTCAACCATCCGCCTCCCCGTCTTGGTCAATGCTCCTGTGTTGTCCAGTGCTCCTAGAATCCAAAGCTGGTACATGGAGTTCAGAATGTTCTCCTGGGGAGGCGGGTCTAGAAAGTCAAAGTCTAGAAGGTTATCTATGTTGAGGGATTTGAGAAGAAGCACGACATTCCCGAGGTTGGTGCGCTGGATCTCCGGGACCGGATTCGCCAGCATCTCGTTTGCGTAGGCTGTTTCTGTGTACAGCCGGTAGCACGTCCCCGGACCTGTCCGTCCGGCTCGGCCGGCCCTCTGGTCGGCTGCGGCTCGGCTGATGGGGAAGACTTGCAGCGCGTCCATTCCCATGCGGGGGTTGTAGACCTTGATCTTGCTGTATCCACCGTCGATCACGTACAAGATCCCATCAACGGTCAGGGACGTCTCGGCGATATTCGTCGCCACGATGCATTTCCTGGTACCTTCCTCGGCCTTTTGGAAAATCTTCGCTTGGAGGTCGGCCGGGAGTTGGGAGTAGATGGGGAGGATGGAGAGGGGCGGCGGGGCGCGGGCTGCCCCGGCTGCCATCTGCTCGAGGCGGTCGGCGAGGGCGAAGCAGGTGGCCTCGATGTCTTCTTGGCCCGTCATGAAGATGAGGATGTCGCCAGGTGGCATGGTGACGTGGATGGCTAGGGCTTGCTTGACTGCTGCGTCTACTGGGTCCTCGCAGGGTGACTTGCTCCACATGATGCTCACTGGGAAGGTGCGCCCTGGGATGAAGAAGACGGGTACGCTGCAGAGAGTGGGGGGATGGGGGGGATGAGAAGGGCGAAAATGAGAAGGGAGGAGATGAAATAGGGAAACGGGCGAGGGCGAAGCAGGTGGCTTTGATGTCTTCTTGGCCCGTCATGAAGATGAGGATGTCGCCAGGTGGCATGGTGACGTGGATGGCTAGGGCTTGCTTGACTGCTGCGTCTACTGGGTCCTCGCAGGGTGACTTGCTCCACATGATGCTCACTGGGAAGGTGCGCCCTGGGATGAAGAAGACGGGTACGCTGCAGAGAGTGGGGGGATGGGGGGGATGAGAAGGGCGAAAATGAGAAGGGAGGAGATGAAATAGGGAAACGGGCGAGGGCGAAGCAGGTGGCTTTGATGTCTTCTTGGCCGGTCATGAAGATGAGGATGTCGCCAGGTGGCATGGTGACGTGGATGGCTAGGGATTGCTTTACGGCTGCGTCCACGGGGTCCTCACAAGGGGATTTGCTCCACATGATGCTCAATGGGAAGGTGCGGCCTGGGATGAAGAACACTGGTACACTGAAAGGGGGTTGGACGGGAAGAGAAAGAAGGGGGGGGGGAGGGAGTGGAGGAGGGGATGAGGCGGTCGGCGAGGGCGAAGCAGGTGGCTTCGATGTCTTCTTGGCCCGTCATGAAGATGAGGATGTCGCCAGGTGGCATGGTGACGTGGAAGATGAAAAGCAGAAGGCAAACCCCCAAGGCAACGCACTTATAACTGCTGGCAACGTGCTGCAAGGTGCGTCAACACATGCAATACCTGCCCCAGCAGCGCCCCTCACCTGCCGAAGAAGTGGGAGAACTTGTCAGCGTTGAGCGTAGCAGAGGTGACGATGAGCTTGAAGTCCCTCCGCCGTGCTGCCACGTGTTTGAGCACCCCAAACAGCACGTCCGTGTTCAGCGACCGCTCATGTGCCTCGTCCATTATGATGGCGCTGAGAGAGGGGGATGAACACGGGGAAACGGGGGAGGAGGGCACAAGAGAGGGTGTCAGAAGGGGGAGAGGCGAGAGAAGGGAAGAGCATGTCTGTGCCTCATGCCCACTCGTGTGATTCGTCCCAACCGAATGAGGAGAGTGTTTGCACAGCATGAGAGCTCAGGCATGGATGACACACAGCTCACAACATGGCAGCCCATGGGACTGTTCGTGGTGAGAAATGCTCAGAGGCCCTGATTGATCGGACACGACCACAAAGGAGTAGCGCTAAGTAGCATGGCACATGACACGCACCTGTATTGGTCGAGGTCTGGCTCTCTGAGTGACCGTGTTTTGAGTCGACTCAAACCAAAGCATGGCACATGACACATGGCACATGGCACATGGCACATGGCACATGGCACATGGCACATGGCACATGGCACATGGCACATGGCACATGGCACATGGCACATGGCACATGGCACATGGCACGCACCTGTACTGGTCGAGGTCAGGCTCTCTGAGAGACTCCCTCAGCAGCACTCCCTCCGTCATGTACTGGTGTGGGTTGGGGAGAGGGAAGACGATCAGATGAGAGATAAGGGGAGGAGAAGCTGCTAACAACTGCACAGGATCGCTAAGCACCACACAGAACCACACACAGGACCACAGCAGCACACGGTGCCTCAGACACGCACAAATTTCTCATCTCATCGGCTCCTCAGCACCACACAGCACCTCAGAACGAGAGTGCGAGCGTGTTTAGTCCGTGCTGGCGCCTCGTCATCGAGAAATCAGATGGACATCACTGGCAGCACCAGGGCTCAAAACTCATTACTGGTGACATCCTCGAACCGGACGGCATAGCGCACGGTGGGCCCCAGCCCGCACTCCATCTCAATCCATCCATCTTGCATTCCCCTTTCATCCCACCTTAACAGGCGTGTTGCTGCTGGTGACATCCTCGAACCGGACGGCATAGCCCACGGTGGACCCCAGCTCGCACTCATCCCACTCCCTCCCTCTCCCATTCCACCCCACCGCCCCAAACGCCCCCAATCCCTTTCCTTCTTCATCTCACCTTGACAAGAGTGTTGTTGCTGGTGACATCCTCGAAGCGAATGGCATACCCCACAGTGGAGCCCAGCTCGCACTCCATCTCGTCTACCTCCCTCTCTCATTCCCCGTTCCCCACTGCCCCTTACAGCCAGCCCCTTCCCCTTCCACCCCACTTTGACGAGTGTGTTGCTGCTGGTGACATATTCAAACCGAATGGCATACCCCACGGTGAACCCCAGCTCGCACTCACGACATCTCACTCCCTCCTCTCCTCTTCCCGTCCCCCACTGCCCTTGCCCATTCCCTTCCACCCTACCTTGACGAGGGTGTCGCTGCTGGTGACATCCTCGAAGCGAATGGCATACCCAACGGTGGAGCCCAGCTCGCACTCCATCTCTCCTCTTCCCCGCCCGCACTGCCCATCCCACCCTCACTCTCCGCTTATATACTCGGTGCCCCTTCCATTCCACGCCCACACCACCCACCTTAACAAGGGTGTTGTTGCTGGTGACATCCTCGAAGCGAATGGCATACCCCACAGTGGAGCCCAGCTCGCACTCCATCCCGTCCGCCACTCACTCCCCCCTTGCCTGCCTGCACTGCATGCCTTTTCCACTCCATGGCCACCCAACTCACCTTGACCAGGGTGTTGCTGCTGGTGACGTCTTCAAACCGGATGGCATACCCCACTGTGGAGCCCAACTCGCACTCCATCTCATCCGCCACTCGCTTGGCCACACTCATCGCTGCCACACGGCGCGGCTGCGTGCACCCCACCATGCCGTACGTCGTATACCCATCCTCGTGCAGGTACTGGCGAAAAAAGGGGGGAGGGAGGGGGGTGGGGATTGAGCCGAAACGAGTCATCCAATGAAGGAGCTGCGTGCACCCCACCATGCCTTACGTGGTGTAGCCGTCCTCGTGCAGGTACTAGTGGAGGAGTGGGGGGGGGGAGAAGGAGGGGAGGGGTTTCGGTTATGGTTGAAGAGCATGGGTTGATGGGGCTGCGTGCACCCCACCATGCCGTACGTGGTGTAGCCGTCAAATACTGCACATACTGCCTGGTATGGGGAGGTGGGGGAGGGAGGAGGCTTCAGGATAATGGTTGCGTGCACCCCACCATGCCATACAGCACACCGTGTACCCGTCCCCATGCAGATAGATGCTGCGAACAAACAGTTCACTTTACGTGCTGCAAAACAAACCAGTCGAATACTAAGGGGGACGAATGACAGAGAGAGTGTTTTAAAAGGCGTTTGGGAAATGGCATAGCGGCACATCAGATCGCCATCCATAGCCACATGGTAAGGAAGATCCTTGGCAACCCTGACACACGCCAAGGCCAAGCCCACCAGCACCCATCCATGCATTCACACACTTGTTGCGCGCCACTCACTCCAAGTTGCTCACCTGTGTCATCTGTGTGGTCTTGCCAGAGCCCGTCTCGCCCACCACCACCACAATCTGGTTCTCGCGAATCACCTGCGGTGATGACACACCATGGGGCAGTCAGAATCACCATGGCATAAAGGACAGGGTAGATGGGGCAAAGATGGCATGAAGGCATGAGAAGGCATGGTGGTATGGTGGCATGATGGCATGGCATGCTTCCAAGCCAACATGAGGGGTACGTGCGGATATGTGCGCTGTGGTGGCGGGGTCGGGTTGTATGTGTGCATGCTGTGACTTTTGACACGTCTCATCAGACGTCTTCTGAGACGTCTCAAAAGTGGTGGCTTGGTCGGGTTGTATGTGTGCATGCTGTGAGCAACGCGACTTACGATAGCACGCACCACCTGCAGCAGCTCGTCCGTCACAGAGCATCTGTGAGAAACGTCAAAGCTAGTGCTTACTTACTCATCTGCAAGAACTCGTGCAGAACGGAGTAGATGGGTGGGTACATGCGCTGCTCCGCTATGGACCTGGAGGGGTGCACGTGCCTGTGAGGCAAGTCAACAACACGAGACCCACCTGCAGCAGCTCGTCCCTGACGGAGTAGATGGGCAGGTACATGCGCTGCTCCGCGATCGATTTGTTCTTGGCAAAGTCACTGGCAGCACCGCCCGTGCTTTTCATGTGGTCCGCAAACTTCACATTGTCCTTGTAGTCCACCTCGCCCTCCGCGTCCACCTTGGCTGTGTCTGCATCCACCTGGTGTGACCAGTGTGCGTGTTTGGGATATAGTGGAAGGTGGGTTGAGGGTGCAGAGAGGCAGTCTCCCCTCCTCTTCATGTGGTCGGCAAACTTCACATTGTCCTTATAGTCCACCTCGCCTTCTGCATCCACCTTGGCTGTATCCGCATCAACCTGGTGTGATCATTGCGCGTGTTTGGGTTACAGTGGAAGGTGGGTTGAGATGAGAGTGCAGAGAGGCAGTCCTCCCCGTGCCCCTCATGTGGTCCGCGCACTTCACATTGTCCTTATAGTCCACCTCGCCCTCCTCGTCTACCTTGGCTGTATCCAAGTCCACCTGGTGGGATCATTGCGTGTCCCGGGTTAGAATATAAAGTAACAAGGTCCAGTGTTCTGGAGGCAGGTTCACTTGCGAACTTCACATTGTCCTCCTCGTCCACCTTGGCTGTGTCCGCATCCACCTGGTGGGAAGGCCGACAGGGGCGTTTAGGGCTTGGGAGGGTTGAAATTCAGAGGTTTACAGCCATTTGCAAACTGCACATTGTCCACCTTGTGAAAGATGTGAATTGAACAAGTGATCTCATTAGAGAGCAAACCTAGCATACATAGTTTGGGAAGAGAAGCTTGGAAGGGAAGGAGGAACCCAACCTATGGTTGGGTTGGCCTCACTTTGGGAAGTGAGGCAACAAAAGGTGGGGTGGGTTGGGTTGCCCACACTTCTAAGAAGTGTGGCAACCCTAGGCCCACTTGGCTTGTGGTGGCCTCAATTGTGAAGTGAGGTACCCAAAAGTCAAGAGGGTTGCAATTTGGGGGCTCCACCACAATTGGGTGGATTGGCACCCCAAAGTGCAAGGCTACACCCAATGTTGGGGGTAGTCCCAACCCAACTGTACACCACAATTGGTGTACAGTGCTTAGCATGCTACAATGTATAATTCTAACACACCTTGCCCCCTCACCCACCATAACTGTAACATCCACCTAATGTGAAGGGCAGCATGAGGCGGTTTAAGTTTTTTTTCATTAAAACAATTGTGCGAGTGAGGCTCAAGACATGTGGCATGTGATGCGCGCGCGCACGCGCGTGTGTGTGTGAGTGCGCGCGCGCGCGCGCATGTTCCATGTGGCATATAGCGTGTGGCATGTGGCATTTGGTGTCAGGAATGCGGTGTCTGACATGTGGCATGATACGATGTGGCATACCGCATGTGGCATGATGTGGCGGCATACTGCATGTGGCATGCGACATGTAGCATGTCGCAGATACATTTCATGCCACATGCGTGCCACGTGCATGCACCACTGACAAATTTCACTGGTGTCCCACACACACTCCCATTTTCCATTCCCATGCATGCTAAATAAATGCCTGTGATACTCACATCAGCAGCAGATTTCTTGGCGCCTAGGATGTTCCCCAGCTTGCTTCCTGCAAGCTCCCAGAACTTCTGCCTGCTCTTGTTCTGCTGCTGCTTCTCCCGGATCTGTGAGCGTACAGGAGAGCAGGCAGGACAGGACCACAGGAAACTGGATGGTGAGAAACAGACACAACTGAGGACAACACCTTGCACTGAGTTCAAGAACCCAGCAAATTCCAGGCTGAATGCGTTCTTTAAGTTTCTCAAAAAGCGATTTCAAGAACCCAGCAAAATCCTCGCACATCCATAGCACAACTGAACACACCACCCTCAGGTCCCTCTCTGACTTCACCACCCACACCTCTCTGACTTCACCACAGCACACCCCTGACTCCCGTAATGTCCAGCACAGCACACCCCTGACCCCCGTACCCTCACTGCGCATACTCTTTGACTTTGACCCAACCAACACCACCCACGCACCTCTCTGACGAGAGCAGAGCCTTTGCGAGCAATGATGGCCATGTCAGAGATGGGGTCCTTGAGCAGCATCACCGGCTCCTCACCTTGACCAGCCATCCCTGACTGCACAGCACCACCCTGAACTGAACCCAACACACACGCACCTCTCTGACGAGCGCGGAGCCCTTGCGAGCGATGATGGCCATGTCAGACGTGGGGTCCTTGAGCGGCATCACCGGCTCCTGCTGCTTCGTGAACACTATGCGCCCATCCAGGAACGGCGGCTTTGTATCTGCACGAGCAGAGAGGGGGGGGAGGGATGGACAAAGGGGCTTAGGGGGCATCACCGGCTCCTGCTGCTTCGTGAACACTATGCACCCATCCAGGAATGGTGGCTTCGTGTCTGCACGAGCACAGAGAGGGAAAGGGCGGGGGGCCACGTAACTGGAGCAGGTCACATCACACACACGTTCTCGTGCTCTTAGCCCCTTGAGCAAGGCACAAGTAGTTGCATAGAGAGCCTGTGGGATGAACTGGCGATGAGTACATAGATGGAGGAAGAGAGGGGAGACCTGCTATGCATGGATGGAGGGGAGACCTGCTATGCATGCACGAAGCTTGGATGTACAAATCCGCCTCTTATATTCCCTATGCATATTCCCACCTCTTATATTCCCTATGCATATTCCCACCTCTTATATTCCCTATGCATATTCCCGCCTTGACGAGTTTTGAGTCGACTCAATACTCGCCTCTTATATTCCCGCCTTGTGCATAGCGAGTCTCTCCTCTCCGTACGATGTATTCACAACGCGGAGGAGAGACGACCATCGCCATCAATACCCTTGGAATAAAGAGCACCATGGCAATGCTGCTTTTTAAGTGAATTGAAAGGCACATAGCGAGCCGACTCACAACACTCACCGTGCACGAGCAGCAGCACGCGGTTCTCATCCTCGTCGTCAATATCCGTGGAGAGCTCTGTAGCGTTGCGCACCACTCCCGACCGCATCAACTGCCTGTCCTCCCACGACGCCTGGTCGGCCGACAGCTGTGTGAGGCGCTTGCTGGCCGCCAGCGACATGGTTGAGCCGTCTGACCGCACCATACGCTGCTGCCGTGCAGCCGCTTCCTTTTTCTTCTCCTCCTTCCTCTCGAAGGCTTGCTCGTCGCCGAACCCCCCGAACGGGTTGCTTCCTTCGCCGGAATCGAATACACTGCCCGCCTCCTCCGAGTCATACCTGGGAGGGGAGAGGCGAGGGAGGGTGAAGGAATCAACAGGGGGAGGGAGGAAGTGAGGGAGAGATGGCAGACAGCTGTGTGAGGCGCTTGCTGGCCGCCAGCGACATGGCCGACCCGTCTGATGCGCTGCTGCCTCGCCGCTGCCTCCTTCTTCCTCTCCTCCTCCTTCTCAAACGCCTGCTCGTCCCCGAAGCCTCCAAACGGGTTGGCGCCCTCTCCCGAGTCAAACACACTGCCTGCCTCTTCTGAATCATACCTGGAGGGCGGGAGGAATCAAGGAGGAGAGGGTGGAATGAAGGGAGGGAGGAAGGAAGTAAGGGAGAGATGGGCGACAGCTGGGTGAGGCGCTCGCTGGCCGCCAGAGACATGGCCGACCCGTCCGACTGCACCATGCGCTGCTGCCTCGCAGCCGCTTCCTTCTTACGCTCCTCTTTTTTCGAATGCCTGCTCGTCGCCAAACCCTCCAATCAGGTTGGCGCCCTCACCGGAATCAAACACACTGCCTGCCTGCTCCGAGTAGTGCCTGGGAGGGAAAGAGGATGGGAGATTTGCCATCTGGCGGAGGAGGCACGGAGCTGGGAAGGGGGCCAAAGAATCTAAACTCACCATCTCTTCTGCCTTGCTCACTTCGTCTCACTTCACCCTTGGTCCCAATCCCCTCAACAACTCACCAGGAGCAAATAGCTTCTTCATCACACTGCCTTTCCTACTCGCTAAACATTCTCCTACGCTGCCTTTCGAAACTAACTTGTGTCACTTTTGGGAAATCTCAAAAGGGGCACAAGCGTACACAACCTGACTTACCAGGAGCGGTCGGCCTGCCTCTCCGCCTCCTCCATCTCCCGGCGCAAGCCTTCATCCTCCTCTGCGCCTGCCCCTCCTCCCTCCCCCGCCTCCCTGTCCGCACGGTAGTCCGTGTCCCACTCGCTCTCTTGCTGCGACGGCGCCTGGGATGACGTGCATGGGTGTGCAAGGTTGTGCAAGCAAGGGCGTGCAAGGGTGTGCAAGCAAGGGCGTGCAAGGGTGTGCAAGCAATGACGTGCAAGGGTGTGCAAGGGGATCGGGGCAAAAAGTAGGCGACAAGATGAGAAGGGCAGAGGATAAGCAGCGAATCAAGAGGTGCAGGCAATGAGGTCGATTGTCTACGCAAGGGGGAAGAGGAGGAGGGCAGGCTAGCAACAGCAGCAGAGTGTGAAAGGCGTTGGGGTCGCGACGTCTCATTCTGGTTCAAAATGAGACAAATCTGCAGGGGTGTCCATATCGAATACATGTAAACATCTGCGGTTTCAAGACCCAACACCGACTGCTATTTTTGAAACACAGCTGCTCTCTTTGGTCATTCAACACGTCCATGGTGTACGCTCCAATAGTTATAGACGGCCGCTCGCACGAGGCCATTGTGTACTATCTAATCGACTCCAATGGCGGAGGGGTCGGCATGTTTTCGACAGCTGATCGTGCCGTGCTGGAAGACAGCGCGCGAGGTTCACGAAAGGTTACTTTGACCTCGAACTAGCATACGTTCAAATCACCTAGCCGTACTAGCCTTGACACGGTGCTGGAGGAGCAATTTGCACTATTTGTTGCTTAGCCTTGGATCAAAACCACATGCAGGTGCCTTTGTCACATGCAGGTACGTTGCAAGGAAGCACCCATCAGTGCGGATTCTTCCCCTGTCCGTGGCCGACGCAAATAAACTCTGCGGCGGTGGTGGATGTGTAGTGATCTCAAGGCAAGCGCTGAACTACAGCATGATCGTCGTACCATTCGTCGTCAAGGTGGGCTTGGCGTTAGCGTGTCTGAATCACACCCACTGTTGGGTCCACACACGTCGCCGCCAAGCCCACCTGACGACAACTGGTACGACGATCATGCTGTAGTTCAGCACTTGCCTCGCGCTCACCATACGTTCACCACCGTCGCTGAGTTTATTCGCGTCATCCGCGGACAGAAGAAAAACCCGCACTAATCTGTGCTTTCTAGAAACGTACTGTATGTAACAAAGGCACCCACATTCTTTATTCCAAGGCTATGAAAAACAACCCGTTCCCAACAACCCTTTTTCTATTCTTTGGTCGTCCCATCTGGCCTCCCATTGTGCTTCAGAAATGGCTTCCACAGCACAGCCTGAATAACAACCCCTTCCCAGTACCCCCTTCCCAACACCCCCTGTCCAACACTCCCTTCTCTATTCTCTCCATGTCCCACCTGGCCTCCCGCTGTGCTTCGGCGTGTGCTTGCAACACCCTCCGAAGCGGACGAGTCAGCTCGAAACCGAAGCTTGTGCGACCGCCGAGCCCTGCCCCCCTCTGCTTGCACGCTTCCCTCCCTCTCCTCCCCGTCCCAACCCTGGGAGACAGGCGTGGCCGAGCCTGCCCGCACAGGTACGGGAGAGGGGGACGGGAGGTCCCACACTGACCCTGATGGAAGGGAAAGTGGGAACATCAGGGTAAGAATCCGGTCATGAATTCAGAATGAGATACAGGATCAGTAATCCATGTTGACATTAGAGGTTGGAGAGTATGGGTGAGAAGGGGCAGAAGGGACAACGGAAGGGTATGGTTGAGGAAGGAGAAGGACCGGCTCAGAACACTCACCCCCAACAGAGGGTGTGCTGCCGCCTCCCCCGCCATCCCAGGGCGACAGCAGGCGCGAGTCAGAGGGCGAGGGCGGCACAAAAGAGCAGGAGCAAGAGGCACACACACACATCCACACACATGGACACTCATATTACATAGACCCAAGCAGACTCACCCCCAATTGAGGGCGTGCTGCCTCCCCCGCCATCCCAGGGCGACAGCAGGCGCGAGTCAGACGGCGAGGGCGGCACAAAGGACGGCTCGCGGCGGTAGGGCGCAGGGGAGGGGGCGGGGGAGGGCGTCCAGCGGGGGGAGGGGGAGGGCGACGGCATGTCCCACTTGGATCCCCTGCTGCGCGGTGTGCTGCCCCTGTCCCTGTCCCCGTCTCTGCCTCTGTCCCTATCCCGCTCCCTGTCTCTATCCCTGCCCTCCCTGCCCTCCCTGCCAGGTGTGCTGTCAGCATCCCTCCGTGGAGTGCTGTCATCCCAGCGTGATCTGGAGTAGCCTGATGGGACAAGAGGGAAGAACGACACGAGGCGGGTTGGGTGGGGAGTGGAGTGGATGGGTGGGTGGGTAACTCACACACAGAGGGTAGGTCGAACCGTGTTTAGTACAGAACGTAGATTGTCTTTTTCCCTTCACATTTAAGCATCACTCGCACACTCACCATGGCGATATGAGCCCCTGTCGTAGTCCCTATCCCTGCCTCGATCGCTGTCCCGTTCTCCCCCTCTCCTCTCCCTGTCTCTGTCACTGCCCTCTCTGCCCTTGTCTCTCCTGCTGCTGTCTCTCGAATCCCACCTGCTCCCCCTTCTCCCTTCCCCTGTTTCCCCATCCCCTCTCCTCCCATCCGCATCTTCTCTGCTCCCAACATCTGTAGCTTGGAAACAAAGAGGAGGAAGTGCAGACAGGTGGAAAGAATGAGGAAGAGAGAAAAAAAACGGAACAAAAAAATCCGGAGCACAGCAGAAAACAAGAAGAATCCTTGAAAACCGACACGCTTCACTATTGATGCATTCCATTTACAATCGAACTTTCAGGCCCTTCACAAGTCAGGTTCCCAACAAGTTAATCAGGCTACACCAAAGGTTACACCGAGTCCAGATCATCAGTTTGAATCTGAACAACCTCCTTTCCTGACTGACACCCACCCACCTCCTCCATTGGTCACCAAACTAGCAGAGCCTGCCCTGTCAGCATCACCGTTTGCCACGTCAGCAGGCTCCACTCGCGTTCTTTTAGCACCTCGGCTTGCCTCGTCAGCCTGCATCGAGAGAAGGATGTGGTGGGGAGGGGGAGAAGGAAGGAGGAAAAGAGAGGGAAGAGGGAGGAGAGTGAGAGGGGGGAAAAAAGGCAGTAGATCATTCTCTGAAGTAACAGAACTTGTATACTCGGTCACAGTCTTTCACAAAACCATGACTTGACGACTGCCTCTCAACTGGCTGTGTCTGGGCGCACCTCCGTTGCCCCAGCCCCAGCAGCAGTGCCCCTTCGTGTGTCTCTGTCTGTCCGCATGTGGGCGGCACGGCACCACACTCATCAGGAGCATGCACTGTGCTCGCTCAAGAGAGATGAATGCATGTGCACCATGTGCACCACACCACACCATACGAGACAAACATACCTCACGTATCCCTGTCTGCATGTGGGCGGCACTATAATCTCCATATGCACCACACCATACGGAAAAAGCATACCTCGCGGGCGCCAGCAGCTGTGTCTGCTCGTGTGTCTCTGTCCGCATGTGAGGAGGTGCCACGAGGGGAATCCTGCACCCGGGGGGAGACGCCTGAGAGGTCTGCTGGAGGGAAAGACATATGGTTGGGTCGGGTTGGGCCTAGTTTTGATTCGACTCAAAACTACGCTCGTGTGTCTCTGTCCGCATGTGAGGAGGTGCCTCGAGGGGAATCCTGCACCCGGAGGGAGGCGCCTGATAGGTCTGCTGGGGGGAAAGACATATGGTTGGGTTGGGTTGGGTGGAGGGCATGGGCTTAAACAGAGAACCTGTAAGGTGCTATGCGGATGGGTTGAATAACAAATATTTAGTTGTAACATGAGAATCGGCCAGGTGGCAAGCGGATGGCCAGGTGGGATGAGGATCGGCCAGGTGGGATGAGGATTGGCCAGGTGGGATGAGGATCGGCCAGGTGGGATGAGGATCGGCCAGGTGGCATGAGAATAGGCCAGGTGGCATGGGAATAGGCCAGGTGGCATGGGAGTCGTCTAAGTGGCAGGCGACACGGTGACTCACCTGTGACCGTGGACACGTGTGTGGGCGTATCATCACCCCGCGTCACACGATACCGCCGCCTCTCCTTGCTCCCCCCTCCACCGCTCTTGTCCCCCACACTCCCTCCTCCCCCTCCCTCTCCATCCCCTCTACCCCCTCCCGCATCATCTCCGTCCGCTAGCCATTTTCCGCCTCCCCCCGCCTTCCCCTCGTCCCCCGCCTTTTCCCCCTCATCCTCCCCCTCTTCCGCGAATCTGGCCGCTGCTACAGTAACCGGCGGTTTCTCAGGGATTCCCGCGGCTGCTCGCTTGGCTCGGGCGAGCGCGTCCAGACCTGGGGATTGCCGACGAATGTGGAGGGAGGGGGGTGGGTATGGTGGGAGAGAAGAGGAGGGGCGGAAGCAAAATGATTTAGCGAAATACGGGACCTAGATCGCGCTTTCCAAATACATATCACGCAACTGAACCCCCCGGACCATCGCATCCCATCTGAGACCAGAAACCTCTACACAGCTCAGACCACGAACGACTTGCCGCTCACCCAAAACAGATTTTCGCTCGGCTGGGGCTTTAAAGAGCAGTCGCTCTCCCCCCACCCCGCCTGCCGGCTGCAGGCCTCCCCTCTGCAACCCCCCCTTCTGTAATCCGCCTTTCTGTAGGCCTCCACCCGTAAGGCCATCCCCTTCACCGGGATTAGATCCTTCGAGCGGCTCTTCTGACCCTTCCAGTCGAGCTACCTGGCCCGAAAATCCGGAGAGCATGGTGAAATTCGCACGATTGTTCCAAGCTTTGGGGTGGGCTAAGGTGTTCGCGATGCCAGAAAAAGGCGATTTACGTCTAATTAGGTGTCAAGAAAAGCGTTCTTATAATGTAAGAAGTCCCGGGATGAGTCGCGCCAAAGATAGAAGCTGGCTAGAAGACTGGAAGACTATGGCGATAACCTAGAACCAAACCGACGACTATGGGCACGCTGGGACAAGAGACATCCCAAAACAAGGGCAAACTAAGAGGTGAGCCGATACTTTTGTAGCAAGTCTTGATTACAGCTCAAAAGCTCCACAAAATTGCTGATAAAAATAGCTCATGATAGCCTTTTTGCATTATGCTCTAATTCTGTCACTAAAGACCAAATCAATTTATTAAAAAAATAACAAATTAAAGAAATCAATGGCATATCCAGCTACTTATTGATTCATCCGTTCAATAAGTACACTTATATCTACATATAAATGTGTGAGTGAGTCCACACAAGTTAGTCCTGTCATGCCTCTGTGCTCCCTCTGCGCCCCGTCGGGACCCTTCATGAGGTGCTAACGTACCTTCGGGGTTCCCATTACTTGTCCGAACGAAATCACCCCCGTCTCGCGTCGTTGCATCTTGGAACTCTCAGGCCTCGTGCAACGTTTATCCATGTCCATGGAAGTAGACGGAATGCACGACGAATGCTCGCCCCTCATTCGCTCTCCGGTATCCTCTCGGCAATCCCTAGGCCGTCATGTCCGTCGCTCGCCGCGAGACTGTTGCGACCTTGCACATAGCCCGATCGTTGAAGCGTTACTCGAACCCTTGGATCGACGATCAGAGCCCACCGCTACTGTCAGCGGCGACTGTAACACGGGATCGACGATCGCCTGCCACGTGGCACAGCCGTTCACAGAACGCAGCGCATGTCCTGGTCACGAAACGGCAGTCGTTCTCGATGATGTGTACCCTCAGGAAGCTTCCACGAAGGGGGAGCAGTCAGGGCGATGGCCATGGTCATGGTTACCAGTGTGTATAGGTCGGGATTCCGACACAGCCATAGGACGGACAGATACAGTGACGACTACAGGGAGTAGTATTGGGACTGATACAGGTACTAGTACAGGGACCACCACTACCGAATACACGACAGGGAGCACTACAGGGAGCAATGCATGGTCTGGAGGGCTGTCCGCGTGGGACGAGTGGCGGTGGGTATACTCGCGGGACGGACTTAAAGCCCTGGCTCTCGGCCAGCTCTTGTCGCTGCTGCTCACCGTCACTGCCACGTGTTCCGCCCTGCTGGCCGCAAGAGGTGCGTTGAAACGTTGCTACGTGGACGCAAGTGATTCGCGGAGGCATCAGCTTGTGCTGGCTCACGGCGTTTTAAATTCTGATTGTGGTCACACCCATGTTATCTCTGATTGGTGGTTTGGATTGTTGCCACGTGGCAGGAGTGAGCATCCCCACGACCCAATCACTGCTCAACTACGTGCTACTCGCCGCTGTGTATGGCGCCGTGCTGCTGCACCGCAAGGCACCTCTCACTGTAAGCCTGTTTCAACTACTTTAGAGACAACCCTCGTTGTAAGCACGCAATGTGCACGGTATGACTCACTTCACTACCTCTACGCACTTCATTGCATGTGTCCTCGTTATAGGTTCCACTTGCTTTCAGTGCTCTTTGTATCGCCAGCCAGCCTTTGCTCCTGAATCATTTCCGTGATTGATTCTGCTTGAATTATTGCTTTTGAGTTAACTGCTCTCTCCAAGTCCAGGCACCATAAATCTGTGCGTCCTTCTCCCCGTTCTTTACCCACCCACCACCACGCACCACTTTAGGTGCCGTGGCGTGTGCTCCTGCTCGCGTCCTTCCTCGACGTTGAAGGGAATTACTTCGGTTAGTGCCTGCTCTGTCCTCCTTGAGCTCACCCCATCTCCCTCGCATCCTCACACTTCCCACTGCACTTGTGACGTCTCCTCTTTTCCTTTCCCTTTCGCTCCAGTCGTGATCGCCTTCCCCTCCGTGACTCGAGTCACTCTCCTTCACTGCTTGGTGGGGTTCCCCCTAATCAACCATTGAAGCTTCTCGTTCTTCCATTCCCACGCTCTCCCTCATTCCTCTCCCTCCACTCCGTCCTCCCCCTTCAGTTGTGATCGCTTTCCGTTTCACCTCGTTGTCACGAGTCACTCTCCTGGCCTGCTGGGCCATCTTGCTCTCATTGGCCCTTGTTGCCTCTCATCTCTTTCCTTCCTTCCCCACGCTACCCCTGTCTTACCCATCCCCCTTTCAGTTGTGCTCGCCTTCCGTTTCACCTCACTGACCCGAGTCACTCTCCTCGACTGCTGGGCCATCCCAGCAGCCATGCTACTAGCAGCGCTCTGCCTGTCCACGCGCTACCATGCCTCCCACGTCATTGGTGCTCTGCTCTGCACTGCTGGGCTCGCCATGCTGCTGCTCTCTGACGCAGGTGCGAACTGAGAGGATGCGTGCCCGCCCATCCCAGCAGCCATTCTGCTGGCCGCGCTCTGCCTTTCCGCGCGCTACCATGCCTCCCACGTCATCGGCGCTCTGCTCTGCACGGCTGGTCTTGCCATGCTGCTGCTCTCTGACGCAGGTGGGAATCAAGCAGACGTGCGCCTATCCTTGCACCTTCTCTGCCCCTCTCTCCACGCGCTACCATGCCTCCCACGTCATCGGTGCGCTGCTCTGCACTGCTGGCCTCGCCATGCTCTTGCTCTCCGATGCAGGTAAAAAGCAAAGGGGCCTTCCTTCCTACCCTAGCGTCCCTTCTACCCATTCTGCCCTTTCTGCCCCTTCATGTACGCACCAACACGCCTACCACGCCTCCCGTGTCATCGGTGCGCTGCTCTGCACTGCGGGCCTCGCCATGTTGTTTCTCTCCGATGCAGGTGAGAGACGAGGGGTTTAATCCGGCAGGAGTGGTCTTCGCCTACGCCTACCTTAGCAGACTTTCTGCCCCCCCTTCTACGCACGCACTACCATGCCTCCCACGCCATTGGCATGCTGGCCTGCGGCCTGCCTAACCCCAGGTTCATCCAAGCATCCATGCGGCACTGCCACTGGCAGCAGCAACGCTCCCCGGCATTGAGATGATTGTCGAGGCGCCTTAATAATCACCTCTACGCAGCGGTACCATGCCTCCCACGCCACTGGCATGCTGGCCTGCGGCCTGTCTAACCCCAGGTCCATCCAATCCCAGCATCCACGCGGCACTGCCACTGGCGGCAGCAACGCTCCCCAGCACCACGCCCCCCTTCACCTTGGAGCCCTTCACCTTGGAGCCCTTCTCACACAAACATCTCTGTCTTCTTTTTATTCTCCCCCACGTCCTCCTCCACTCTCTTCCCTACCGCCCTCCCTCACTCACCCTCAGGCCCATCCAAGCATGGAGACGGCAGCACTGCTAGTGGCAGCAGCAGCAGCAATGCGACGTTGGGGAACGTGCTTGTGCTTCTCGGTGCTACTCTATATGCTGCTTCCAATGTCACTGTGGTGAGTCCTGCTGCAGCAATGCCACCCTATATCATCTTTCAGAGTGTGTCTGTGGTGTGAGTGTGGGGTGAGAGAGTGTGTGGTGAGTGCGTGGTGACTGCATGGTGAGTGCGTGGTGAGTGCATGGTGAGTGCATGGTGAGTGCGTGGTGAGTGCATGGTGAGCGCGAGGTGAGTGTGTTGTGAGCATCCCCCCGCACACTCTTTCTTGGACGGCCACACGCACACATCCTCTGCAGGAATGAATCCCTATCCCCATACACTTTCTCTTTCTCTTGTCTCGGATGGCCCACCTCTCAAAGGATTACATCGCCTATCTAGTCGAGACGTCAAAGCTGCTGGCCTTTGTTGGGGGTTGCTTTCCAATGTGGGAGATTCGTGACAATTCTTGATCATTCTTGACAATTCTTGTTCATTCTTGACAATTCTTGACCATTTTTTACAATTCTCAAAGACCACTCTTGTCTGTTTTCTCCACCTCTTTCAGGAGTATCTCGCTCATCGAGTGGAGACAACAGAGCTGCTGGCCTTCATTGGTTGTGCGGGATCCCTCATTAGCTTCTCACAGCTGTAAGCACACTATGTCCATACCTCATTAGTAGCACACTATTTTTTTACAGCACACGTCTGTGAGAGCACTGTCTCCATCCAACCCGTGTATTGCCATCCATCCTTTATATGGCACGTGGATACGTCAGTCCATGTGTGCATTGTGTGCACACATACATGGCTAGTGTTTCGTGACTCGTCTATCCTTGCGCACACATCTTTCTCCCCCTTGCATCCGTCTATCTGCCCCTCACACCTATCTGCCCAATGCAGTCTTCTCCTGGAGGGGGCAGACCTGCACTCCCTCCCCTTTGATACCCACACTGTATGCTCGCATTCTTGGACCCCACTCTCTCTCACCATTTACTCTCTTTCACTATTGACTTTCCCTCGCTAACTACTCTCTATGACTAGATGATTTAAGACTGCATACTCTTTGTGACTCTCCACTCATCTGATATCAAGGCTACCCTATTTCCTAGCTCCCCAGCCTGCTACTAGTCTCCTACGTGAAATAGGAGGGCCAATCTCTGCTAGGCTGTTACGGATAGGTTCAGGTTGTTTTACATCCACATGTGTGCATCGATGCTCTAGATGTAGTGTAGAAATCGCATATCTATGTTTCCCCCTATGGCACCCTTCCCATTCTCCTCTGCGCATCGCACCTCCCGCCTCCCTCATCCGCTACTCAACCCACAGGTCCTCCCCATGGTGCTCTTCTCCATCGCCCTCTTTGCCTTCTACTCCCTCACTCCCCTCATGCTCCGTGTAAGCTCCCCTCCCCACACACAAGTGCTCTAGACACATTCGAGAAAATGTTTTGTTCTTGTCTCTTTTCCGAAACGCACTCATTCACTACCCAGCCTATCAATTGTATGCTAAGCCTCAACACGTCAAACCACATAACCAGCACTATATTCTCAAGCTTTACTCAGTCCATCTCTCCCACTCCACCATCACTTACCTCCCCTTCCTCGTCCCCTTCCCTCCTCTTACCCAGCTGGGTGGCGCGGCTCTCTTCAATCTCTCCCTTCTCACATCTGACCTTTGGGCGGCTGGAGTGGCGGCTCTCGTCTTTAACCAGCCTGTGAGTCTGCGCTTTCGAGTCTTTGAGACTTGAACTCTGAGTCTCACTGTTAGAGGCTCTTGATCAATAGGCCTATCTCTACAACGTGCCTTGTCAGCTCTAGGATTGTCTCCTGTTCGAAACCGGTCACGGGGTTTGAGCTTTGAGTTACAGTAGGAGCCATGAGTCAAACTCACAATTTGCAAGCCAGGTTGATCGCATGTAACAGGGGTCTGTCCTTGCAGTTTTGTTTGTGTTTGTATACCGTGCCAGCATACTGACAAGGAATGTATTTTATGCTTTTTTTTTTTTTCTGCAGGTTGAAAGCATTTATTTTGTTTCTCTTGCGGTGGTTTCAGTGGGCCTAGTAATTTTCAGCTTCAGGTGAAGTACAACAAGCATAAGCTGTATGTATCCTGTACAAGTAATTTAAGAAATTTAATTGTCCATATTTTTTGTAAGCCTAGGTAGTGCTAATGCGATGGGCGGGAAAAGCTTGTCGCTGCATCGGTTGGCTGGGCACTTTTTGCAAAATATTTCCGAATTATGATTTGAGGTAGCTCGTACTTCTTCTACCCTGTGAAAATACTCCTGGCACTAGTAGGGCAGGAAATTAGTTCTTTTGCTAAACTGTTTTCTGTCTGAAAGGCCGCTAAGCTAGCTATCATAAGATGCGGAACTTAGCATCTGCGTCCAAGCTTCATATGTGTGTGATCAACAGCTGACAGCTAGAGATGAAGGAGAGGGGACGGGAATGGGGTGATATACCTCAGCGGACGAAATCTGCCGCCCAATTTCGCGGTTCAAAAGGGACAAGGCCCCCCCTCGGGATTGACGACCTCCCGACGACCTCCGAGCTCCCAGACGGGCCCAAATGGCGTCCCAGGGGCCTCGGGAGCCCTCGGGATTGTCGACAATCCGACGACACCCGTTTGCGCTGGGAGATTCCTGAGAAGGAAATCTCAGCGGACAAAATTCGCCACGTCGAGCCGCGGATGCATCGACGCGGACCAATAGGGAGGTGCGAGACCCGCCCCATGGTGTACAAGGCTGCCACGACGTGGGCGTCGTGGCCACGCGTCGCTCTAGCGGTGTTTTTTCTTGCGCGGGAAGTCGACGATCACGCACAGCATGATCCACGCGGCGCAAATCGGACCGCCCACATCTTCATTGTCTCGTGGCATCGCGGGTTGCGAGGGAAGTCGGTGTCGACCAGATCATCCCAAGGCACACAAACCAAGCCACGCGGCACGTTCTCAAAACAATCCAGGTTCAATGAACCTAAGCAATCAGCCAAGCGCGCCGAGTGGAAGTCGGCGCCGATCATAGGCCCCCCACGGCATGGTTGCCACGCCGTGCTTGAGTCATCCCGGGCCTCCGGGAGATACGTATCGGCATGCCGCAATTTCGGCATCTGGGGCGCCAATGGCGGTCGCAAGCCACGTAACGCACGCCCATTCCGACGTGGAATGGCACTGGCTTACGCCCCTTCCGTGCAGCGCGGCGCCCAGCTAGCCATGCCTGGCACGTGCCACGTCGGACAGTGCGCCGCCTTTACGAGGACGCATGCACGGCGGCGGATGCTTTGGGGGTGTGCGTGACGCGCGGCAGCATCGTAGTCGCTCAGGACCATACCCGTCCGTTGCCCCGCGAGCCTGCTCATTCGCTTGTCCGTTCCTGCGTTCCTTCCTGCTCTCTCGTTCCCTTAGAATTTTCAGCTGCCAGTCTGTCATCGCGCCTGTAGGTTGCTCGGTTGCCGATTGTTCGTCCAAGTCGGCACAGGTTCCACGTCGCGAGTCGACGTAGCAAGTCGGCGACGCATGGCCAGAGGTCGCCCTAGAGCCCAACAGCCGCAACCCATCCCACCCCCCGCCGACTCGGTAGACGCCGACATCAAGGCGCAGCTGGAACAGCTTGAACTCGAAGCCGAGTTAGACGCGCTTGAGCGAGAATTCGAAGAAGACGAAGACCGCCTGACGCTTCGCGCGTTCGCCGCACCCGTCACACAGTACCGTCTCTGGTTTACCACCCCCCGCGATCTCGAGGTCGACGCCGAGATAGACGTTATTGAGGGACATCTCGAGGACGACCGCCGCGCAACTGTTCGGGCGTACACCGCACCCGTGACTCAGTACCGGCAGTGGTTTAACAACCTCCCCAACGCACACGGACGACGGTAGAGCAGCAGACGTGTACCGACATGGCCGACGTCGACATGTCCGACGCTAGGCCATCCACCGACCACAGTCTGACGACCACCGACCACAGTCCGACATCCACCGACCACAGTCCGACATCCACCGACCACAGTCCGACACCTACCGACGAAGACAACCTGCAGTTACTCTACGATCTGGACAAGCTGACGCAGATCCCAGAAGGGGTGTTCACCACGGACGTTCCGCCACCGCCGATAGGGAAGTTCAACAAGAAGAAAAAACAGACTCCTACGCAAAATGGTCGGCCAGGTACCTCGTCGGCACCGGCCGCCCCTGGAAACCAGGTTGATGTCGAGGACGCGGAGGAGGAGGAGGAGGAGGAGGAGGAGGAGGAGGAGGAGGAGGAGGAGGAGGAGGAGGAGGAGGAGGAGGAGGAGGAGGAGGAGGAGGAGGAGGAGGAGGAGGAAAGCGATGACGAAAACGACGACCGTCCACCACGTAGCACTAATCCGCGCACCTTGGACGAACGACTCAGGCGGGAACTGCAATTCATCGATATACTGTTCGAACAGGACGAGGACGAGGACCAGGAGAACTTGGCGGTGCCGCGCGAACAGTGGAGAGCGGCAGACTTCGTCGAGGAGGACATGGTTTACGCGTGCGTAGACGTGCTCGTCATGGACGCTCTTCGCCACCTGCAAACCGTGGAGAGGAACAGCACGCTGAGGCAGTACACCTCGTGGATCTATCACTACAAGAGGTGGGCGGCGAAGATGTTGAAGCAAATTCGCAACAAGCTTCCGCAGGAGTACAGGCTTAAGCACGTCGACGAGATAGGGCACTACATCCGGGAGAACAAGAAGAAAAACTGGGACCAAGAGGCCGATGTCCCCCAATCTCACGTGTGGCTGCACGGCCCTAGGGTCACCAAGGACCGGCTTCGCGCATACGTGAAGTACATGATTCGGGAGTTGCACCTTGATGCCGAGTCCGGCAAGGGGGCCGACAACGCCACAGGAACACAGCCGGTGCAGTCGACAACGGTACACACGCTCCTCGGGCGCATAAAGGCATGCCAGATGGCGGCGAGAGTGGAGGCGACGCTCTTCCGGGAGACGGAACTGAGCATCATGAGGGAGATATCGGTGGTCAGGTCGGAGGTGCGGTACATGATCCGCACCAAGAACGAGCGGGACATCAAGTGAGTTTATGTTTTAACCTACGTCGACCACTCTCCTGCTGTCATGATCTTTGTCGACGCCGCCCTAAATACCCCTTGCCCATGGCATTGTTGGCAGGAACTGCGCCGATCGCCGTCGCGGAACCATCGGCGATACCTACACCGCCGAACAGTTCCGCCAGATCATGTTCAGGGTGCTGCCGGCGTGGGCGGCCAAGGCGTGGAACCCGCGGGGTACGGGTCCTTCGCAGACGCTGTGGAGGTTTCTTCTCTTGAAGGTGCTCACGCTACTCTCCCACCACTCTCTCCTGCGCGGTGCAAGCATCCGCGAGATCACTCTTCCCGATATCTTCTTGTACCGACTGGCGAGCACCTCCTCGATCAACCCGGAGAACCAGCCGGTCGTCATGGTCATCGCAGCGCGGAACTCGAAGACGTCCAAGGATGCTCGTCTGCAGCAGAGCTACGCCGCGCGGCACCTCGAAGCGGAGTTGTGCGCCGTCGGCGAGACGGGCCTGTGGTTGCACTTCGTCCTCGATCAGATCGGTCAGTTTCACGGCGTCCGCCTCATTCCGCCGGTCGACACCAGCACACGCGCTAGCTGGTACAAGAAGCACCTGTTCTTCGCCAAAAACGACACCGACCAGGGTGAGCTCTCTGCGGCAACCCACCAACGCTGGACGCGGCAGTTGTGGGACACCAACAAGGTGTTCTGCAAGAGGAACGTGCACGCCGCTCGAGCGGGCGGGGCCCAGGAGCTGGCTATCGACGGCACGCCGCGCGCCGAGATCGCGGAGCTTGGACACTGGGCTCTCGACAAGATGACGCGAGCGTACATCACCGCCATTCCGGTGGGGGTGGTGATGAAGAAGGCCGGGTACTCTGGGTACAAGCAGGACTACTTCTTCGGTCGGAGCAGGGTGCCGCCCTCCGAGAAGCTCCTGAAGCTCCTCGCCGAGCACATATTCCCCGGCGTCGACGACATGCTGAAGGAGGTATGTTAGTCGACGCCCTCGTAGCCTTGTCGCCGAGTCGTGTTGCCGACCTTGTCTGAGCTCCCCGTACCCGTGACAAATGGCAGGCGGAAGGGAAGGCTGTCGAGGGGTCAGACGCCGACAAAGCCGCGGTGCACTTCTGGCGCACTCTCCTGATGCTGCGCCGCATCGTCGCCGAGGACCTAGCGGTGAAGCTAGTCCGCACACCATGGCACCCGTACGTCCAAGGTTCCAAGCTCTGCCGGATCCCCCTCTTCCAGCACTGGGCGAAACGGGTGGAGAGCGTCGACACCGAGACGATCAACAAGCGTCGCGACCCGACCCAAATACAGCCAGAGGTAAGTCGACGATACTGTCGCCGACGTGCAGTAGGGAGTGTAAACCAAACCACCGCGGCCCTCACGTTTTTCTCCTCCTACTGCTGCAGGAAATCTCGGTGCGCATGGACACCGAAAACTACAACATGTCGCTCAAGGCCCAGATGCAGAAGGAGAAAGAGCGCGCCGCGAACGAGAAGATTGATCTCCTAGAGGAGATCGAGAAGCGCGACGACACCATCGCGGGACTCACCGCCGAGCTAGCCCATGTCACCGAGGCACTCCGCTTGTCGGAAGCACGGAGAGTGCCGGTGGCCCCGCCGTCGGCTCCCGCGCAGGCTCCCGGCGCTGGTGGCTCGGCGGATTCGGCCAACACAGGTGCCGGAGCCAACAGACGGAACGATAAACCCCCGCCACCACCACCAGACGGACGAGGAGGCTCGTTACGAGCTACGTCGTGCAACCGTGGCGGGAGGCAAAGACTGTGAGGGACGCTTGGCGCCTATGGAACTCCGCCACCGCCCACGACACCCGTCGTCTTTGCGACAGGGTCGCCGAGCCGGGATTCGTCGCCCGCCACACCCTCCTCACAGGAAAGGGCGCGACGCAGGGTGCACTCGACATGCAGGTGCGCCGCATGATGAGGGCCATGGATGCGGTGCGCCAGCTACGCGCGAGCGACGGCGACGCCGACACCGAGGCCGTGGTCGATGCGCTGCACAGGATCGCGGCACCGGGCATCGGGACCTTCTGCGACGCCCTCACGGTGCTCAAACCGGGTACGAAGGCGATGAAGTCCGAACAGCCTGGCATGGGAGTCAAGGGGCTGGGCCCCAAGGTGGTCTCGAAGCTTCGCCTCGCCTGTGGGCTTGTCGCGCTCAATCTGAAGCAGAGTGATTGGCTCGAAGCCCTGTTTCCAGACACCTGGGAGGAGCAGATGCCGAAGACCAAGGCCGACCTGGCGAAGCCGACCGCACCGGCCAAGTCGACAGCACCGGCCAAGCCGACCGCACCCGTGCAGCGTCCTCCGACCAAGCGCAAGAAGTCGGCTTGAAGCACCCCCTAGGATATGCGTCTGCGTCGTGTGATGCTGTTGGTTTTGGCAGACTTAAACAGCCCCCCCTCCCCCCCCCCCTCCCCCTTCGACTAATGTTTCTGGTAGTTTGTAAACAACCCACATCAAGGTCGTTGCGAACCCACATGATGTTGTCGGTCATTGTGGTCTGTCGCCCAGGACGATGTGTGTCGCTAAACTCGATGTCGACAATTTGGCCACAAAGTTCACCGCCGAGAACCATGTTTCTATGCTGTCACAGTTCCTCAACGAGTAGCACGTGCATATCATGTCGGCGTGTACGCCGACGTGGCTCATCGGTGATATTCGGTTAGCATTTCTCTATGTGGACACCGACTTGATCAACACTAAGTGAAGCGTACAGTAATGTAGCAAAAAAGACGGTTGTTATCAAATCTATGCCAAAATCGGCGCCGGCCATACCAAGATATTACACACCCTAGCAACCTAGCACACATCCCCCCGCCGACTACGCATCCGTGCTGGGCTTGGCCTTCTTGGCCGGCTGCTTCCTCTTACCCTTGCTGACCTTGGCCTGCTTGACCTTCTCCCCCTTCCTCCCCCTGTGCTCCAAATCGTACTCCATCTTCGCGTCACACGGCACGTTGATGCCCGCCGCTTTCAGCTTGGGCCCGGCGACGGGGCACATTCCCCAGAACGCCAAGGTCTCGACCGTCGCTCTTGCGATCATGTCGGCCTCGACTTCCTCAATTCCCGCCTCGAAGGCCCTGGCCACTCCATAGCGCTGCAGCTCTGGCGCGACGTTATGTGCAACCTCCCCAAGGGGAGCCTTCCGACTGCGTGCATAGTCGATCACCGCGTGCATGACCTTCTTGAAGTTCTCGGCCCTCTCCGCCTCCGCACCTGCCACCATCGCGGCCGCCTTCCCTTCGCCCACAGCACCGAGCGGCGACGCCCCGGTCTCGACGAAGCACCAGAGGGCGCATGCAGCTGCTGCTAACGCCTGGCCCGCCATCTCCTCCTTCTCGTCCGCCTTCCCCTCCGCGCCTTCCATCCCCGCCTCCTCTCCCTCCTTCCCCTCCACGCTCGCATCGACCTTCTTACACGCGACTCTCGCCGCGACCTTCCCATACGCCGCGCACATCGACACGCGATTCACCATCGCCGACATGTTGGCGTTGGTCTCCGCCATGCCTTCCTCCGTGTTCTCGATGATGGGGAACCAGATCGCCGGCGCGAGCACGTCATGAAGCGCATCACCCGAACCCGCGTACCCACGGCACCTGTTGAGAATGTCGTCGAACCTGCCGCGCAAACACATACACAAAGGGTTAATGACACCGACTTGGTCGACAAAAATCGGCACGACGGTAACCGACTTACCGTGCTCTCGGATGGCACAATCCTCTGGCCCACATCACCGTCCACATCCCGGTCGGCAGGATTTTGACCTCCTCCCACACCGCCTTCCATTCATCCAACTCTCCCGGCGTCAAGGTGGTGAGCTCCTTCATGAGCACCTTGCTCACGTAGCCGTTGTAGACCAAGTACGCAATCGCGTGCTCGTAGGCCAGCTCCATCTTGTCGCGGGACTTGCCGATGTACCGATTCTGGGACTTAAACTTCATCTCGCCCACCCACCCCTGCCCGTCGCCAGACCTGTCTCGGCGGATGCCATGACCCCGGCGTCCATGCTCTTCCTCCTCCTCCTCTTCCTCCTCCTCCTCCTCCTCCTCCTCCTCCTCCTCCTCCTCCTCTCCTCCGCCCCCTCCTCCTCCTTATCCTCCTCCGCCTTCGCCTTCTTCTTCGCCGGCTTACCCTTGCCCCCCGTCTTGTCCTGATTCCGTGCCGGCTTCTCCTTCCCCGCCGACATCGCCCGCGTGCTCCTCTGAGACACCGCCTTCCCTTTCTCGGTGTCGTCCTTTCCCTTCCGTCCCGCATTTCCGCCGGCGACAGCACCCGTTGCAGCCGTCGGCTCCGCCAAACCCCCTCCGTGGATCCCCGACGGCTCCGCATGCACCGTATCCATGATGGCCAGTGCAGGGGCGTGCTCGGAGCGTCTGGCTGCATCAAAATGGGCCAGAACGGCGGCGAGGCCGGCATGCTTGTCATGCTTGTCTTCTCGGCCGCCGGTGGCGAGCGCTGCACTCACCCCCTTCTCCGCCATCACGTCGACCATAGAGGCACCTGGCGTGGAGCGGTCGCGTTGGCCGACGTCGGCTTCGACCTTTTGCCGGGTTCCGGACGAGGTGGAGCTGCTGCTTTGCGTGCGCCTATATGGGCGCGAAGAAACGCGGACTTGGGGTCCGCATTCGGTTGGGCGGCGACCGTAGGCGCGGCAGGTGGGGCACCTGACGGTGTGCCGACAACCTGCGGAGTGACGGTGCGACTTGCTGTTTCGGAGAGGCCGGCGTCGACGACTGGATGCTGCTGCACGTCCCTGCGATGTGACTCCATGGCGTGGAGCAACTTCCTGAGCGCGTTACCACCGGGGGGCCCCTTGGCCGATGCCGGAGCATCGCCCTTAGCCGAAGTAGCCTTCGCGTCGCCCTTGGCGGCAGGGGCGGCTGCTGGAGCTGGCGGGGCCGCACGGGCCTCCCCATCATTGTTCGCACCCGACTGGCCGGCAGGCGCGGCGGTGGCCGCAGGGGGGTTATGGGGAATCGGGTTGGTGGTTCCGGCGACCGTAGCAGAAGCAGCCTTCGACTTGGAGGTTCCGGTGACCGTAGCAGAAGCGGCCTTCGCGTTGCTCTTGGCCGCCACCGCGACGGTCGGTCCCTTGGTGGTTCCTGCGCCGCCATCTTTCGCCGCCTGAGCAGTAGGGACCTCCTTGTCGCTCACGCCTTTCTCACCGGCCGCCTGAGGATGGGTCTGCTCGGCGACCGAAGGCGGGCCAGGCGGTCCAGCGACGTTAGCGGCGACCCCGTCGGCAGGCCCACCTGGTGCCCCCCCGCTTCCGCCTCCCTTGCTGTTCGACGTCCTTAACACCTTCCACCCGGCCTTCTCCTTCAGCTGGTCGACCACGCTCTGTGCAGGAGGCTTCGAGCCGCGGCTCCCGTCCGATGCCTTGCTCCGCTTCGAGCTCTCCTTGTCGTCACCGTCGCCCGTCCTCTTATGGCCCTGCTTGACGGCCGCTCTCCTTTGGGCTTGCTCGGCGTCATTGGCCGACGGCGACGACCCACGTCGACCAGGCGCCATAGTGCCGATCATCTCGGTCAGCATCTTCATCCCGGAGGCCGCGAACGACTGCTGGGTGGCCTCCGTCACCGTCTTGACGATGTCGGCCTTGAGCGATTTCAAGAACTCTCCCGGGAGGACGGGCGGGGTGGGCTGAGGCGGTGGCGGCGGCTGCACGGCGATCCTGGATGTCATAGCGGTGGCGATGTTGACCTGCGCGGCGGATAGGTTGTTCGTGATGTGCTCCTCCAAACCCTTCTTCGCGGCGCCAACAACCTTATCGACGTGGTCGGCCAAGGCGGAGACCGCTAAGGCGCGTTGATATGCCGCATTTCCATCCGGGTTGTCGAAGTCCTCCAACCACGCCGTCGCCTGCTCCGCGAAGGTCTTCATGGTCTTCCACGCTTCGGCGAAGCTGCCGGTGATGTTGCCCGTGATGGTCTTCGACAACTCCTCTGTCGCGTTTCGCAGCTGTTCCGCTGCAAACTTGTCGGTGTCCTGGACCTGAACCGCCAACACCTTCAGGTGGTCGACGAGTCCTTGCAACCCAGCAAAGAACCTGTCCAGCCGAGCCTGCTCTTCGCCGAGCAACGCCGCCAGCCGAGCGTTCTCCGCCCTCAACAACAGGTTCTCCCGTCGCAGTTCCTCGACGTCGACCTGTTCAGGGCCCTGCCGACCAGATGCTTCCTCCGTCTCCTGCAGGCCTGCGTTGTTCGCCGCTTCACCGGCGTCGACCGACACCTTCCCACCATCGCCGGCCGCCTGCTCCTGGCCCTCGTCCTTCGTTGCCTCCACGCCGACCTCTTCCTTCCCCCCATCCGCCGACGCCGTAGCATTACCCGCATCGCCATCCTCCGCTTCCTCGTTATTTTCATCCGCCGACCCCACCGCCACAACCGTACCGTCTGCGTACTCCAGCTCGTACTGCACCTCGGCCTCCACCCCCTCCTCGTCGTTCACCGCCTCTTCCTTCCCTTCCTCCACCTCCACCACCTCATCGTTTTCGTCCTTCCCCTCCTCCTCCACTTCGTCATCCTCCTCGGCCTCGTCCTCGTCCTCCCCCTCCGACTCCGAATCCGACGACTCCGAATCCTCTTCCTTCCGTCCACGCCCTGCCGCGGCGTCGCCTCCTTCTCCTCCTGCACCTAACGCAGCGTCGCCCCCTCCGGACACGGGCAAGTCCACCTGGTGCTGGGCGGCAGCTGCTGCTTGGGGCGCCGTCTGACTTTCCGCGCCGTCGTCATCAATCGCACAGTCGGCGGATCCGTCGGCTCCTGAAGTCGGCGCCGCTGATCGTTTTTCGGCGACGCGATTGCAGATGTACTTTACCATGCTATCACGGAGCGACTTCAAACCCTTTGCCTTGATGTTCTCGATGCTCACCGCACTTCGAGCCTTGTCGCCCGTCAGCAGGTCGATCTGCTTGGCCACCCACCCGAACGACGTCGCGGCAAGCATGCCGGTGCCGACATGCCCGTCCGACACTGTGCCCGGCACTTTCTGCATACAACACAGGCAAGCGCGGAACAATATGAGCGGTGCATACAGATACGCGCAGGCCGTCAAGAGCGGAGCTTAAATGTGCAACTCACGTCGCGGATAGGGTCGTCGCAGTCGGCAAGCCTTTCCTCCACCACTGCTTGTGATGGCGGCGCCCCGTCCCACTTCCTACCGGGACGCCCCAGCTCGGCCAGGACAGCCGTTCGGAAAAGCCTGCGTGCATCGTGGTGAAAAGGAGGAGGTCAGCACGAGATTCCCTGTGTCGGCGACTAACAATCGGGAGAGCGACGATTATTCACAACTTACTTCAGGACGCGGACGGCCTCGTCGCGGTGCTTCCCTTTTCCGGTGTGCGGGTCGATGTGCCGGATCGAGGTCCTGCAGACCTGTCCCTCGGCCTTCAGCGGATCTCCTGGGTAGAGGATGGCTATGACGCTGCAGTGTGACCCTGGAAGCGGGCCGCCGCTGCACATGCAAGACGGCGTCGACCACAGCATTAGGCGATGATGCGACCGACTACACAAAACGATAACTGGACAACGTGGAAAGAGCTCACGTCGATTTTAATGGGATAGCGGCGATGTCGGCGTCGAAAGCCGTAACAAAGCAAGAATGGTCGGCGGTCTTCATGGCCGATCGAAGCGGGCCGACTCCGATTACCCACAACCGCTGGTCGTCCCGCCCAATGCGAAACCAAGCGAACCTGAGCGCACAAGTGAGCATGAGGGAATGATAACATGGCTGGTGAGCAAACGCGGACTGTACGTGGTCGACGCTTGCTATGTCGACCGACTACCCTGGACGGGGAAGCGGCCTACTGCCTCGCACGCCGACGCAAGTCGGATGTCAGTCGGCGACTATGCGACCCCCTAAGGCGCCGACGTTTTCCCTTTGCGCCTATCTAGAGTTAGTCGGCGCCGACATTTTCCCTATGCGCTATTCGACCAGCGCGACTACCCGAGTCCCACCTGATGCCGAGTCCGAAGCATCTCTCGGTGAACTCTTTCTTTTGGTCGCGAAGGACGGCGTAGTCGTTCCACTCTAAGGTGAAGCTGAGACCGCGACCCATTCGCACACGAAGGGGAAAGTCAGCCGACGTCGGCGCCGACTTATCGGCGTCTGGGCTCTGCGCCGACTAAGCGAAGACGCGGACGGCTAAGGTAGGAGAGAAGGGAGGCGCAGTGCTATCAAGGTATGAAAAATCGAAACGAGATGCGGAAAATGAGGAGCGAAGCCACCTTCCACCAAGAAAAGGAGGTGGTGCCCCACCCCAGGCCCGTTCAGCATCGCCCAAGGGTGTGGGGCCGGGCTCGGCAGGGCTCGGAGGGCGCACGTCTCCGCCTTGGCAGAGCGTCGACTTCGCGTCCGTTGGCACAGGTCGGCGAGGGACGCACAGTTCGCATGCGCGGGGAGCAACGCTACGGCCGACACGTGTCGATTTCGTAGCGGATCGCGATGCTAGAGGTTTTGAATTCGCAGCGTCCGAAATTTCGCATGCGCCCCGATGCGAAGTCACGGGCGAACACGTGGCGTCACCGCGACGGGTCGCGAAAATGTCGAGTGTCCCGAGGGGGCCCCCAATTTTCGCACGGCCCTCGCCTGCCCGTCCGGGCAGGCCGCGATGGGTTACTAGGACCTCGCGGGCAGGTGGCACGTGTGGGCTGCCTTCGCCCGAGGGTAACTTTCCCTCGCGCGAGGGGTCGCCAGTTCGCCGACCCCACCCGGTAACGTGGGTCGCTGTTCCCTTTCGGAGCGGGGCTGCGTGGCGGCGGTCGTGCACTCGGCCCAGCCCTGGGCCAGGCTGGCGGGCCCGCACGCGCGTCAGTCGCCCGCCTCGTCAGACCCGGCTTTGACGACCCCTCCCGTCGACACTGGGATGTTCATACGGCGCGGCTCGGGAAAAACCCCGCCCACGCCTTGGGATGCACGGGGCGCGGAGACATCGGGGGACGCGTGAGGCAAAGTCGGCCCTCCAGAAATCCACCAGTTTTGGACCTTGCGCGGCCCTGCGTGGCTCAGTGAAATCCACCAGGTTCCCACCGAAAGCTCCGCGCCCCCCCAAAAACCGAAAGAACCCACCTCGTTCTTACGCGCCGATGCATGCGCGACACGGGAAATACCCCACGCGATTGGTCGGTAACTTTGACAGGCGGGACATTCCACCCATGCAACCGCGCGATCGGAAAAAAAAGGAGTGCTACCATTGGTTGCGAAGTCTCGCAACAAATCGCGAACCGAATTCGCCCATCGATAGGCTTGGAAAGCGCGACCCTACAATCGGTTCGGGAACACCTGGCGCGATCTGGTAGGCTCCATGCTGGCTGACACGTGCAGCATTTTGAACGAGCCACACAGCTGTCGCTGTTTGGTCGAGACGCGATCGCAGTAACGTGTCATGCACGTCCACGCACCGGCCGGTCATTACTCCCAGCAGGCCCACATTTTCGCTTTCCGCACGCCAGTTGCACCACAGGCTCCTCCCTCTCATGCCACACAGGACTCACCTGACTTGACGGGAAACGGGACACTAGTGCCGCGTTAGCGATGTAGGCCGCGTTCGAGAACCAGTGAGCACCACGGTCGCGTTGTACAGGTGTACACTTCACGCCGGTAGGGATCGCGCATCATGTTGACGCACGCGGTATATAGGAGTAGGGGCAATTTCGCGCGCTGCATGCATACCGTGAATCGCGTCGCGGCGCCAATACTTGAAGCCTCCATCAATGCTTCGGCAAACACTTCTGCGGCCCAAATCCATAATGCCGATCCGCCGAGCGCTCCCGTACATGACATGCACGCGCATATCCCCACATGGAACACCTCACAAGTGCAGCCAGTGGTTTTTGGGACGCCTTTGCCCGCGTTCCATCCACAGCAACTGGTCAACGGGCTCCACCTAGCACCGCGGACACAGATACCGTTTGCATCGTCGACGGTCGCGTTTCATGCCCAGCAGGATGATTTGAACTCGCGTGGAGTATCCACGCCGCATCCCGGACAACGGATTGCTGAACAACAGACCGCGTACGCGTCCATGCCCTCAAGCCAGCTGTTTGGGATGCCCGTGCGTGGCTTCGTAGGGCCGCAGTACGGGAATGTGGGATTCAGGTACGGGTACATCGGCGTACAGCCAGACCCCATGTTGCACGCGCCCGTAGCTGTCGCGACGCCTCCAGTCGCGCCGTCAACCCCATTCCCCAGCGCGAATCATCCGGAAATCCAGGCACCAGTGCAAGCCCCGCGGGACCGCATAGACCCATTACTGATGGGTGTGGACACCCATGCGCGTGCAGACGGCCCTTCGACGGTCGCGGTTCCCGATGGTTCAGTGCGTGCGGAGAATGTTGGAGCGGGGATGAATGCCAGCGCGCGTGCACATTCGCCGCCAATATGGAACGTGAACTCGCTGTTGCCGGGAAACCCGGACGTCCACATCCGCACCCCCGCTCAACCGACCGCAGCGGACGAGAACTGTGAAGGTGAACAACCACAGGCGAACGCGGGGAACGCGGTACGGGGAGCGCGTGCAGTTGGAAACGCGGGAAGAGGAAGGGGGACTGGTGCAAGGGGTAACGCGGGAAGAGGAAGAGGGACTAGTGCGAGAGGGAACGCGGGAAGAGGGACAGGTGAGCGTGGGAGAGGTGCGAGAGGAAGGGGTGGGAGTGCGAACGCGGGACGTGGGACAGGTGTGGGACAGAACGGAGGTAGTGCGAACGGGCGGAGCGCGCCTGGGGTGGTAGGCAACGGAGGCAGAGGTACTGGTGGTAACGCGACCGGAGGTACCGGGAACGTGCCAGTCAGTACACCGCGAGTAAGGAGGCGGCGTGTCGAAGTCGTGCCTCACACGGCATGCCTCGGATCGCGAGAGGGGAGCGAGGGGGATAGCGATGAGGATGACGAGGAGGACGCTAACGATGAGGAAGACAGTTGGAATGAAGATGACGAAAACTACCTCTCTAACTCGTTGTCCGCGCTCAACGAGGGGGAGGAGGAAGACAACGAACGAGTGCGTGGTACGCGAACGGACTTGGAGGTTCCCATCGCGGATTGGAACAGGCTTGGTGTGGATGACACGCCGGCCGCGAAAAGAGAGGTGTGCATGGGCATCCTCTACGGTGTCTCTGAAGCCACGCTGAAGAAATATCGCGGTTGGGCAAGAGAGTACAAGCTCTTCATGGCGCACGAGCTGCCGAAACTGGACGCGAATAGGTTCGGTGAGGAGGCCGCGTTGGAAAACGCGAACCCCGACGAGATCGGGGCCGCGCTAGAGCAGAACATGGGTACTGACTGGAAGACGGCGACGGGCGACGAGCAGTGGTTCCACGGCCCTGAGACGAATCCGTGGAGGTTATGCAAATACGTGACCTTCCTCGCTAACGAGACGGTCGCACAGGCGGACAGGATGGCCACACTCAAGCGGCCCGACATATCCTTGAAGAAGAGACGCCAGTGCTCCCCTGCAATGCTGATGGGGCGTCTCAAGGCTCTGAACATGCTCATCAAGCTGGACGGGGCCATCTTCAGGAAGCCGGTTCTGAATCTGCTGCGCGACTTTGCGGAGTGTCGCATCTGGGTCCGCGTCCAAGTCTGCGACCAGTACAAGAGGTTCATCGCGTAAGTATACGTACTCAGTGAACGCGTATGCCGAGTATAAACCGCGTTCGAACGCAGGCTCACTAACTTCGAACTGGTTTACGCAGGGAACACATGGATCGCCATCGGGGCACGGCCGCGGACACGTACAACCCGGACGAGTTCAAGAAGATGATGCGGAAAACCAGCATGGCCGCCATCGTGAGCAGCTTCACACTAGCCAAGCAACAGTACACGCAGGCAATGCATCGCGACCTCTGCATCAGGACGATGACGGTCCTCGGTCATCACACACTAGCTCGCGGGTGCACGATCCGAAACCTCCAGCTTCCAGACATGATGATGTGGAAGCTCGGCGCAAAATCCGAGACGGATCCAGTGCGGAATGCGTTCGCGTTTGTCTGCGCGTGCAGGACGGGCAAGACAAACAAGGACTTCTCGCTCAACTACATCTCGGCAGTGAGACACATAGATTGGACTCTCTGCGCGGTCGGAGCCATGCTGCTATGGCTGCACTGGGTGTACGACTTGGTCCCTATCCTCTACGGGGACATAGCCCCCCCTCTCGACTTCACGGAACCTTCGACGTGGTACGACCAGTACCTCTTCTTCCCCCTTCGCGCGGGCACTGAGAAGCAGATACCGCCCACGACTCATCACGACTGGGCGGCGAAGATTCTGGGGGACGCGGGAATCACATGCTCGCGTGTTGTTCACGCGACTAGGGCTGGAGGGGCTCAGCACGCGGCCGCGGACGGAATGCCCTCGGATCAGCTGGCGAGACTGGGGGGGTGGCGCTTCATCGACGTGATGACTAAGCACTACCTCACAACTATTCCGAGGGAGGCCGTGCTCCTGAAGGCTGGCTTCACAGGGGTTGATGGTGACTACTTCCTGGGTCGCGCAACAGTTCCGCCGAGCGAGGAGCTGGAGAAGCTGCTGAAGAAGCACATCTTCCCATGGGCCGCCGAGGACAAAGGGCAGAAACAGGTATGTGTGGGCCGCGCATAGTAGTATCAACACACCGCGATCTTCCTACATAAACCCCTAAACCCGCGATAACTATCGCGTTGTTGTGTTGCACAGTGCCATGATTACAACAGCAAGATGGTCAAAGAGAAGAAGCCGGAGAAGCAGGACACCGCGGGTCTAAACATACTGAAGGAGCTGAATGGGGAGGCTAGAATGGCGGTCGCACAAGACCTGGCCATGTATTACATACACCAGCCGCGACACCCGTACGTGGTCAACAACCCGCTCTGCCAGACAGAGGAATTTGCGCGGTGGGCAGCAGATGTCTCCTTGGCAAATCAGCTGGCCATAGTACAGCGAAACACCCCTACACTGACCCAGCCCGCGGTGCGTACTGTTTGTTCGCGTTACTAGTTCGGCTGTCATGTCTATGCGTACAAATCACATTTTCCGCGTTCGCGTTATGTGTATGCAGGAGGTCAGTACCAGGATGGACGCGCAGAACCAAGTGGCCTGCCTCACTGAGTACCTGACACGTTCACAAGCGGACAACACCAGGCTGGGCGTAGAGCTGGCCGCGACCCCAAGACGGGTGAAAGAGCTGGAGGGGCTGCTGGAGGATCGCGACCGGCAGCTGGCTGCGAAGGACGAGCGCGTGAATGATTTGGAAGCCCAGCTGTCGCGTCTCACCGTGAGCAGCTCAGGGCCGACCGCGGAACCGAGTCCGGCAAACACGTCTGGAGCCGCGGCCGCGCCTACCAATACCGCAACCCCCACCGACCAGGGGACGCGTAAGAAACCAGCACAGCCGACCAGGGAAGAGACAATTCGGGACGCGATCATGAAACCATGGGTGAACGCGACCAAGCCGTCGGACGGATGGAAGCTGTACAAGTCCACGCACGCGCTGGTAGGCGAGAGTCCAGAGTCGCTACTGGCCCAACCCCGTGGTGCAGTAACGCGAATGGCCGAGCTCTTGGGGAAGGAGAAGGGCGGCCAGAACGCCGCCCAGAACGCGATAAACCGTGTGAAGCGAGTCATGGACTTCATCTCCCGCAGGGTGGAGCAGGGAGACAACATCGCGGTCGTGCTCGAGAAGCTCGACAACGTGTCCCGAGCTGTGGGCATGTCGGGTGTGTCGGAAGGGATCGCGGTGAAGAAGAAGAGTGTTGATTCGTCACAGAGCGAGCTGAAGAAGGGTACTCCTGCGGAGGTGCAGTTGCGGGTTAAATGGATGCTTGTACGCGACCGCCTCATCGATGCCTCGCTTCCCGCGTCAGAGTTTCCGGTCGCGTGGCCTCAGTACTGTGACCAGATGCCCCCGCTTGCGTGATTGGGTGGTCGTACCATGTTCGCGTTGTGTTATTAGCGAAGATGGTGCTTAGTGTTAAACCCAGTAGCATACTTCTAAACTCGGGATGTAATTGTACCGTTGTCGAATTGCATGGTTTGTACTGTTTACGCGTTTAATGTGATCGCATATGCGTTTACGAACTGCCCGCTTTATGTGATCTTGCGCGAACCCAACCGCGCTGTGAATGGCGAGGTTATGTTATAGCCACGGGTGGATTTGCGCAAAACAATGGCCGCGAAAGAAGCAAAAGAGTTGTATTACAAGAAGAAGAAGGGGGGGGGGAGGGGGTTATACAAAGCATAGACAGAATGACCACCGCGAGAAAAACTCAAGCAGGGTGGGCAAGCTACCTACACTATCAAGAGTCTCATGCGACCACACAAACAAGTGTCCACATCATCTAGCGTTAACAACCTCTAACTACCACCTTCACGCGGACCTCTTCTTCACGGACAGCCGCTTCTCCGGCAAAGCGAGGTAGAGCCCGTTGGCCTCCATCGTCTTGGCCGCGATCTTGCAGTCGCACCAGGTCATCAACACGTCTACCGCCTCGTGCGCGACCATAGCGACCATTGTGGGGTCGCCAAGTCGCGCGCCAAGGCGGTTCACGACCGAGGTCTCAATCTTCTCCGCGATCACCTTCGGTGTAACCTCGGGGGCTTGCTTGCGTTCATTCTCCTTCCTGGCACGATTGAAAACCGCGGTCACGATCGTGGCGTGACCGCGGGCCATTTCCTCAGGCGTGCCGGCAAGCTGCGCTGCGGAGTATCCAGCATCAGCGACAGTCTCGAGTTCGCTGCCGTTGCAGGTCTCCCACACCATAGCGACGGCGCACGCGACCGCACCAGCGAACAGTCCCACTTGGGCGCCGGTGACATCGGGCTCCTCATCTGCAGCCTCCTTCCCCACCGCGGCCGCCCAGGCTATCGTGTTGCTGATCGGGGACCCGCGGCGGGTGAGGTCGCGGTATGTCTTGAACATGTGGTGGTACCTGCAAGCATGGGGAAACACGCAACATGGTTAGGCACGAGTGTGACCGCGTTCGTGTTCAAGAAACCAATGAGGGATCAGAAGGCCGTACCTGTCAACATTGCCGCAGAGGTTGCGAAGGTGCATGGTGGTGAAAAGTCCGGTGCACAAAGTCCCGGCCGCGGAGATGTCCTCGGCCCACTCACTCTTCTGCTGCGCAGTCAGCTTGAGCCCGGGGTCTATCTTCTTGTCGTAACACATCACCGCGATCGCGGTCAGGTACTGCACCTCCTGGAGAGAGTGATGTCCGAGCCAGCGACGTCTCCCGCCCAGCCACGGTTCGCCAACCATCCCCTCCCCACCCCTGGGCGGAGGGCGGATCCCACAGCCCTTGCGCTTGCCGCCTGCGCCGCTGGTGTCGCCCGGCCCGCACAACCTCTGCAGCACCATCTCAACCTCATCGTCCGCGTCCGAGTCGTCATCGTTGCGTTCAGTCTTCACCGCGGCTGCAGGAGGCTTACAACCACTGCGGCGCTGATTCTTCGCCTTCACATCTGCAGAGGGGGGGATGGCAGGGGCGATAGAGCTGGGTCCCGGCTGTCCAGGCGCGACCGAGGCGGAGTAGCCCGACGCGGGCACAATCGCGGTGGTGATGGCGGGTGGGGTGGTGGTGGAGGCGGGCGGGCCGTCCTCGACCTTGGCCTTGCCTTTACCAGCTTCCCCACCCGAGGTCGCAGGCGGTGGCCCAGCAGCAGCAGCAGCAGCTCCCCAGGTGGACCCTGCAGCACGGTCGACGACCGCTCCCCCCTTCTTAAGAAGGTCGACGACGCTAAAGATCGCGACCCCTTTCTGCCACTTCCCACCCCTGCTGCTCTCACACTTACCTGTCTCCTTGTCCGCGACCCTCTTCCCTGTCTCCTTGTCCGCGACCTTCTTCCCACTCTCCTTGTCCGCGGCCTTATTCCCACCCTCATTCGCCGCTACCTCGTCCACCACCTGCCCCTGCGTTCCAACCGGGACCTGCTGCGGTGCGGCACGCCCGGATAGCATCGCGATCATGATGTTGAGGGAGCTGGTGACGCCACTCGTGTGGATCGCTTTCTCGGCGGTACCCGCGATGTTTGATGACGCGCCATCGATCTTCCGCGCGACCTCGTCCGTGAGCTTCTTCTGGGCGTTCTCCATGGAGTCCACAACCACCCCCTTCATGCTTCCCGCGCAATCTTCCAGTCGGACCGCAGCGCGTTTCAGCACCTCCCGCATGTCGCGATTCTCCGACCTGTCCTTCGCGGCCAGCTTGGCCTCCCTGCGAACCACCAGCTCCGTGTTCCGCGCGTGGGTTAGCGCCTTCTCCACCGTGGCCTCAAGATCCTCGTACTTCTGCGTGATCACCACCGCGAATTCAGCACCGGGCACCGTGGACGCGACCTCGTCCAGCTTGCGCTTCTGATTTTCCAGCTGCTGGTTCAAACGGAGGATCTCCGCGGCCAGCTTCTCCGGAGCCATCTTCACCAGCTCCGCGTGTTTCCGCTTGCCCAAGACCGGACTCTTGCCCGCGTACTCGCCCGAGTGGGTCGCGCTCCCGGGGCGGGGGGACAGCACAGCCTGCAGACCGCGAATACTCTTCCCTGCTCCCGCTACCGCGCCCGTTGGACGCCCGGCATGGGTGGCCGCGACTTCCTCCACCTCCTCCTCCTCTTCCTCGTCCTCTTCTTTGTCCTCTTCGTCCATCTCGTCCGAACCCTCGAGCTCCAAATCACCGCGCTGGTCATCCTCCGCGGCATCCCCTTCGTCTTGATCGCGACCGTATCCCTCGCCCTCGTCCGCCTCCTCCTCTGCATTCCCGTCACCCCCACCCTCCTGCGCGTTAACAGCGGCGTCCTCTTCGCGGTCGGAGCTCGAGCCCTCCTCCTTGTTGTCCGGTTTCCCCTGGTCCCCCTCCCCTGTGTTCGTGAGCGCAAGAGCTGTGTTGAGAGCGACGTTATCACGACCGGAAACGTGAGATCCCGCTGGTTGTTCGTGCGACTTCTCGCGGTCACCGCCGTGGGCATCCCCCCCATGACCGTCCGCGATGCCGCATCGGGACCTGAACGCGAGCTCTTTACCGGCACGTTTCGCATCCTGTCGCAAAGTTGTCAGCGTCCTAGCAATCGGCTTCGCGATGCGAGGAGCAGGTTCGTGTCCAACAACCGCGTCGAGGTCGTTGAGGACTCTGTCGAACGCGAACCCACATGCGAGTGAACCGCAAGGGGCCTTCCAGGATGAGATGTCCTGAAAGGAAACAGGGGGGGAAACAGGGGGGAAGGAATGAAGGGTTGTAGACTAATGCGGCGGTGTAGATAAACGCGGCCAGGAAACGCGAACATTAACCAACTCACCAGGTCCACGAGGCGCGTCGGCTCGCCCAGCTGCCCTGCCCGGACGCACTGGACCGAGTCGTTCCCGTAGTATAGGCAGACGCGACCGTGAAACCACCTGCACGGTTCAGAATACGTTTCTTAGATGCATAACTATGATAGCAAACATGCGTAAATAAAGCACCTCTGCAACAGACTTACTTGACAATCTGGTCCACCGCGGCAAGATGCTCAGCCGCGGGTGTGGGGTGACAGACGCGGACAAAGCGAGTTTTCCAGGGAGCGGTCGCGTCAAGCCCCAGGTGGTCCGGCCGCAAGAGCAGCAACATGCCCGCGTTAGAGGCCTTCTTGTCGCTCACCTCCCTGACAAGACCGCATGAGACACGACGAAAGGCATCAGCAATCATCTACAACCCCGCACACAAAACATAACCAGCCTACAACAAGCCGCGCTGTACTCACCCGGACCAGATGCAGAACGCGACCATCTTGCAACCAACCAAGCCGTCAAAGGCCACATGCGTGGCCTCACGTCCAGCGACGATGTCCGCGACAACATTGGAGGGCACCACCTTAACTGCCTCCTGAAGCGACGGGGACACGCACTTCCGAACTACCACGCTGCACGGAACGGAAAAGAAAGTCACTTAATGATCGCGGTCGAGGTGTCGCGATATAAATGGAAACAACCCAGATGTTTCGCGGACATGAGCAGTTAAGCTAAGGGAGGCTCAGACGGATAGTCATGCGGGCAAGTTGGACACGCGACCCTAAATTACGCGACCGCGATGCACGGATCTGTGGATGACATTAGCTAGACTGAAAACGACGCTACGCGACCCAATACAGGCGCTATAACCAAGCCCAGCATGACAAGACCTACCAGGCGAGAAAGTCGAATGAGGTCGCGGTGAAAGGGTGCTTATCATCGGAGAAGCACTTCCTCTGTTCTGGGGGGAGCTCCACAGTGGCGCCAGCGATCGAGATCGTAGCAGTGTAGGTAGCGCCCTGCTCGCCACTGTTCAACAGCGCCTTCAATTCGCGACCGGCCATGGCGGGGGCAGAACGCGTGTACTTCACTACTCGCGACGGACTGACTAAACGCGAACGCGAACAAAAAACTACAGCTCAGAAAGTCGCTCGCACCGAGAAGTTGCAGGTTGACAAGAAGGAAAGCAAAGTTGGAAAGGTAAAATGAGCTTGTGAAACCCTGTTTCACAAGCCTAATAGGGACGGGACGCATCCGGGATGGGGGCAGCGCGAGCAACAGGCTAGGGGGGGGAGGAAGTGGGGGGGGAGGAAGTGGGGGGGGGGGGGGGGGGGGGGGGGGGGGGGGGGGGGGGGGGCATTGCGCGATGCGGGGAGGAACACGCGGGCCCCTTCGGACATCCCGATGTGGGGGGCGTTCCCGTCCACGCATGCGGGTGGAACCATCACCCGCCATGTGGCTCTCCGACCGCGGTCTGCATGCAAGGGGCGACTGTTACCACCTCGGGCGGGGTGTATTCCTCGTCGCGACCGCCAATAAGCAGGGTTACGATCGCAATGTACCCCTTTCTACACAAACGAGTAATACACTACACGCGATCATAAATGTAAATCGCGTTTAATTGAGCATAAACGGTGTACTAAAGCGTCCGAAAATTCATACGGAAATTAAAATTAAGGGGTGATTTAAATTCGACCAGTAAACCCCTTCCGAAAATTAATTCGATGAACAAAAATGAGGGGTGGTTTTAAGGTAAATTTTAAGATTAAGGAAAATGCCATGTGAATTGCAAATCGCGTTCAGTTATTGGGATTAATAAAAAAAGTGTAACACCAATGCGATGGGTGAACACTGCCCCAAATTGCGGATACACTTGGACGAACCTTTGCGACCCCTCGCACTCGCGAAGTGAATTTCGCGAAGGGTTGCCGAAGCAGGGATCCGGTATGCGCCGTCACCAATTGGCAAGCGCGCACAGGCGACGCTTCGCACGAGCGGCCGGGCGTGCGTAGTGTTTCGCTGGTGTCGCTGGTGCTTCGCAGCGTTTCGGCGCGCTCGGGGCCCGGGTGGTTGGCTCGCGAGGGGTTTCGCGAGGGGTTTCGCGAGCCAGGGCTGGGTTCCGGGGGGCATCCGGGTGTGGTCCCGGGCTGCGTGGCGCTGGCGTGGAGGGGGCTCGGCGCGGGGCCAGCTGCCAGCTGACTCCCCCGCCCGAATCTCGCTAGGGACTTGCAGCAGGGCGGGGGACTCCCGCTCGCGTGCAGCGGCCGGCTGTGGGCCGCGACAGGGCTTGCATCCGCGTGCGGCCCTGGTGGAAACTCGGTTCCACCAGGAGGGGGGCCTGGTGGAAACCCTCCCACCAGGGCCCGGATGGACTGCAGGGATGGTACGAAAGCAGCCAATTTACGTGCTGAGCTAAACGCGGTCCGGCAATTATGACACATTTGGATTGGATCCTCCTCCTCTCCCTCTGACGCACCGCATTCCCTTCGGCTTACCACCTGATAGAAATTCCTCGATACTACGGCTTCATCAAAATTGGACGATCGTGCTTGTCTTTCGTACATTACATGTTAATGTATGCTACGTTGAATTCAAGATTCATTAGTTACACCACGTTGGTTTCGATCTTAGCTTATTGCTACGTCATGAACAAATATGATAGTCATCAAAACGAAAATCTTTGAGAAAAAAATACGATTCTCCTGTTTCCAACAAAGGTGACGATGCTGTTGCGAGGCAATGGGTGCAAATGCTTGCTAGTGCTGCTGTGTACGACATGACCAGCATAAACCCTAGGATAGAAGAGCAGAGGTGCAGGCCCACCACTGCGCTCTCTTCATACATGACGCGACATGCGAGAGGATAGTTGGGAGTTGAGAGGCATTGAGACAGGACTGGAAGAAAAACATGACAAAGCAAGCACTGACAGCAAGTAAGTGCCACAGTTGCATATGGGCAGCACTCCTGCAATTATGATATATATAGATGGGACGGAGTGGAGAGGTGAGCAGCAGGGTTACAGATCAAGCAGCGCCCCTTGCAAGGGATGCCCATGCCATCACCGCCACTTGGTGCCATTATTGCAGAGCATGATTTCCTAAACATAATCGACCCAGGGACTGAACCATGGTGTTCACACGAGGAAATACTTCTGGTGTGATTACTTCAAAGCAGATAACAGAGAGAATGCTCGTTCCGTTATGTATGCCTAACGGATATCTTTAACAAGGCCTAAGTATGGAAGGAACCACCTATGTATAACTTGGAGGGCGCGTTCACGAGGAGATCCCTCGCGCCCAGCCAAACTCTAGATTTGGGTTACGAGCCGCTCAGGCACCGCACCCCGCACACCTCCGCAAATCTAGCGCTGTAAGGGGCCGCATTGCTGGAATCCGTCGCAGCTCCCCTGACTCAACCTGCTGCTGCTGCTGCTTCGGCTGTTGCTGCTGCTGCTCCTGCTGCTGCTGCCCCTGCGGCGGCTGCTGATGCCTTCTGCTTTGGCTCCTGCTCCGCTCGTGCTTCGGTCGCTTATTGATTCCTCTCTTATTTGAAAACGTTGAGAGTAATTTAGTCGCTGCTAATTGTAATCTGACCGCGAACGGCGCCAAGAGGGTACGCGGGCGTTTTCACGACGATGTAAAACTGCTTAGGGTCCTTGAGAATCGCTTGAATCAGCTGCGTTACAGTCTCGCCCGATACAATCTTATCCTCGCTCGTCGCGCTGTAGGTTCCGCTAAGCATGTAGTTGTTCCCCTGCGTCGTCCGCGTTACAAGGCGCTTCGCGTTGGGGTTAAAGCGGCGCCAGTTGGCCTTTTCGAAGCGAAAAATCTCGGGGCCGTTGGCGCGGGCCCGAGCCACGTGGATAGCGGCGGACACGGGAATCTCGGTGTTGGTGAGCTGCGACACGGTCACCATGTAGTTCAGGCTGAAGTCGCCGCGCCACCTGTAGGGCGGAGAGAGAGAGGAGATGAGAGGACGGCGGGTAAGAAGAGAGCGAGAGGAGCAGGCCTTTCGGTATTGGTGAGCTGCGACACGGTCACCGTGTAGTTCAGGCTGAAGTCGCCGCGCCACCTGTAGGGAGAAAGCAGCCGGGAGAGAGAGAGGATGCGAGGACGGCGGGTAAGGAGATAGCGAGAGAGGCAAGCACCTCGGTGATGGTGACATGTGAGACGGTTACCATGTAACTGAGTCTGAAGTCGAAGCGCTAGCTGAGGGGAGAGAATCAGGAGCGCGAATAATACGCATGTAGGAAGGGGCCGAAGGTTTGTTTCCCGAGCTATTAGAAAACGCGGCCAAGGGGGCGGTTGGACTAACGGCAAAGTGCAAGAAGCTTTCGTATACCGACCTCACGGAATTTCTGTCTCCAGCGATGGACGAGCTAACGCGGTTGAAGCACACTCACTTGTACACGACGAGGTTGGCCCAGCCGGTGGCCTGCTGATCGCCTGTGGTGGCGACGATTTCGCTGCTGTTCATGCTCGCGTGTAGCTCCTCTGTAACGAAGAAGGTGGGGGGAGAATGTGGAGGTTTAGAGAAACATGTTGATTCTTGTGGATTTAACATCTAGGCATAACTCCCCGTCCACCCCGTTCCGGGCCATTGACGAAACGGACGCCTGGAGATTTTGCTTGTAAAAACAGTTCATGTCGTGGTAGACTGAATAATCTGTTTAAGTAGGTTCAAAACGAGCTTTTAGACTTACTATAGGGTACTCTAAGAACCCCTGCCGTCAATCGCGTGGTGTTGAAGACTGCCGCCCAGTTGATGGCGCGGCCGTTCCGCGTTTGCGCGAATGAGCCTGCGTTGTAACGGAGGCATCGCATAAAAACGACAAGGTTTAGCGTCGGACACGGTGAGGGGAAGTGGCAAAGGTGGGAGAGAGAGCAGAATGGAGGCCGATTTAAAACAACGAAAGTATCTGGTTTTAGCTGAATTGAATAGCTTTCCTTCACACAGAAAGGATATTTGCGAGATAATTTCAGCGCTTCCGAACGTACATGTAACGGGCAGGAGTAGGACCAGAACGAACAACAGTGTCGTTCTTGATGCCATTTTCACTCCTTTGCGAAGAAACACACAACTCTAGTTCAGCAGAAGGGCGCCTACAGTGTTCTCGTATAGATAATGGCCTGATAGAAGGGGAGCACCTAGCGTAACCCGGAATCCCGTACTGATCATGTATGCCGAAAGTTGTGGCTTTTTAGAAGCTATAGTAGTTGTCAATGGTTGTTCTTGTGGTTAGCGACTAACGGTTGTGACAAATTTGAAGAGGCGGAACCCTTGCTGCTCCTGGAATGCTGATGAAATTGTGCACGACCAAATTGGCTGGAGGAGGGTGGGATTCAAATTGCGGCATGCGGCGCGTCCAGGTGCGGCTCGGACTACGAAGGGTGATAGGTTTGGCTCTGGCTGGATGCTTTCGTGCGGGTTTTGCGGAGGGTATGTCGTGGGGGGGAAGTGCTGGCGCCCAGATTTTGGACGGTAGCAGCTGGCACATCTGAACACTCTGGCCACGAAACCCCGCACTTGTCGCTCGCATCAGCGACACTCCTGCCATCCAGGATTTGTGCGACGAAACCGCTTTACTGGTAACCAGAAAAGTTTAATATGAGCGGTACAGTTCTTTCACGGAACACTTCAAAAAACTACTCTTAATGAGGGGAAACACGGACGGATTAAGTGGTACAATCATCTTCTTTAGAATCATATGCAATGTTTGTTAATAATCGAGACCCGACTGTCTAATCTAAAGAAGATTGCGGCCAGTCTGCTCGCCACTCCCCCGGTGACAGTTGCACAACATTGATTGCCCAATGTGCAGCGGAGAGCTTCGAACACAAGCACAGAGAGACCAAGAACACAAAACCTTACAAAATTGGTGAGCAAAAGGTGGGGAGAATGACACTAATATCGGGATAGTAAACAGAAAATCGAAGTCTATGCACGCTCAACACTCAAGACTCACCTTGTCTAGAAACTGAGAATACTCTGACGCCATCCAGGTACCTGCCCGAGCCTCCGCCGCCTCCACTAGTGACAGTCTCGACGAAGCTCCAGTCCCTGGCGAGCCTGCATTTGGGCCTACTGCATTCCGAGCCTCTTGCCAGATCTCTTGGAGGGCCGTGAGAGCGTGGATGTACGCCCGAAGCACGTCCGCATTCGATGCATCTCGATGAATGAAGGGGTGCACATGCGGCAACGATGGCGATGGTGGTGGCGGTGATTGTGACTGTAACGAAGGTGATCTTGTGGGTGCAAACACCAGAAGGTAACGACCTGAGGGAAATGGAGATAAAGTGATTGCAGAGAACAGAGAGGAGCGTAGGAATAGGGGAAAAATGTTGAAAACATTCGGTTGGCAATAGGGAGGGATATGAGTAAGTATTCTGCTCAGAGCAAAGTGTTGTGTTGGGAATGGAAGGGGTGGGACAACCTAAAATTTGCACAGGCCATTTGAGACCGCTGGGAATCAAAGGTGATAAGGACAAGAAAGCAGGAAAGCATAGGCGGAATGTGCGACGAGAGGAGGGAGAGAGTAGAGCCCACTGTTGCAACGATTTAGAATGAGGCAGATGGAGATCGGCACAACGAAGCAGAGTGTGATAAGAGGCAGAGTGAGATGAGCGGCAGAGTGAGATGAAAGGCAGAGTGAGATGAGCGGCAGAGTGCGAAAAGAGGCAGAGTGAGATGAGAGGTGGATGGGAATGAGAGGCAGTGTGCAAGAGTTTCAGGGCGTTCACAAACACTGCAGGCTCAGAGTTAACGACTTGCATGCTCACCTTTTGCATAACGTCTGATGGCTTGCCACACCGCAAGGTCTCTAGCGATGGGGTGATGGGCAGACAGGAAGGGCCGGCAGGGCAGGAAGTAAAGCAGACAGCGGGTGGCAGGAAATGGGGAGAGGAGTGGAGAACGAGGGCCGTAGTGAGAACGAGAAGCAAGATAGGGGATGAGCTCAAATTAAGAAAGGATGAGTCAGCTTGAAGTAATCAAAATGACGTGGCACAACGCAACTGGCATTACGAAGTGAAGAGAAATGAGGTGGGCAGGCAGGTGAGCAGCCAACAATCAGGATGACGGGAAGGTCAAAGAAGGAAAAAAAAACGTTTCTGTAAGTGTGTGTGTGTGTGTTTGTGTGCGCGCGCGCGCGCCTGTGTGTGTGTCTCTGTGTGTGTCTGTGCGTAAATATTTATACAAGTCTATGTATATATGACGTGTCTACATACAGTTTCTTGCCGTGCAAGTCACTCAACCGAGCTCCCAAGTGCACATGCCGCATGAGCATGTGCACCCTGCCGTGGCTGTCCTGAGGCAGGAAGGGAACAAGGCGCTCCTGCAGAGAGACAGCAGTTGGTGAGAGGACTGCAGGGGGGGGGGGGGTGGGGGCGATTGGTGGGGAGTGGGAGGGAACGGAGGGGAGTGTGAAGAAGGGGGGGAGTGGGAGGGAGAGGGAATATTCAGTGTTCAAGACTAGAGCACAACGCAATAAGAACCCCCATAGATACCCAGCACTACCTAAACGATCGCTCACCTCTTAACCATGAAGAACTGTGCATCCCACAGCTTCCTTATCCCCAATCCACAAGGTGAATTTTGAGTCGACTCAAAAGTCGCTTTATTCCCAACCCGTGCACTTCTCTATAACCCCCACCTTGTCTCTGCTCGCTCCTGCACCCCTCTACATCCCTCACCTTGCTTCTGCTCGCCCGTGCACCACTATGTACCCCTCACCTTGCTTCTGCTCGCCCGTGCACCACTATGTACCCCTCACCTTGCTTCTGCTCGCCTCGGTACGCCAGCAGCAGCAGCGCAGCCCTTTCCCGGTTGAGGCTCGTGAGGCACAGGCTCTTCACAGCGCGGTAGTTGGCTGCTCTGTTTGCAGTGTGGGGTTGGGGAAGGGGGTTGTGGGAGAGTGAGAGGTATGGGGAGTAGCAGGAAAGGAAGTATTGTTGAGTGTGTCAGGAAGGAACAGGTTCTTCACATCACAGCACGGTAATCGGCTGCTCTGTTGGAGAGGGGTGGAGGGAGGGAGTGGGGGAGGCGGGAGGAGGGAGCGGGTGGGGAAAAGGAAGGATGGTGGGTGGGGAAGAGAGGGGTATGGGGAGAAAAGGATAGTATTGCTTGTGTATGTGAGTGTGAGGCACAGGCTACTCACACCGTGGAGTGCGAAGCATCGCGGGCAGCATGGCGATTCACTCCACACTGTACCATAGACATGGAAGGCAGTGAGGGAGAGGAAGACAGCCCGCAGCAGCAGCACGCCCCGGCCACCAGCTGTGCCACCACCAGCATCCCTGCCAGCATGCACACAGCACACAGCACACAGCACACAGCACGCCAATCCACACTGTACCATAGACGTGGAAGGCAGTGAGGGAGAGGAAGACAGCCCACAGTAGCAGCACGTTGCCCGCCACAAGCTGTGCCACCAGCATCCCTGCCAGCATGCCTGCCATCGTTGCTGCCGTCTCCTGACTGCCCTCCTGCCATTGTGCATGGGTCCAGAATGGATGCGGGATAAATGGTGAGAGGGCAGGATATATATGGAATAACTATTCCCTCCTCCCTCCTCCTTTTGCCGCACAGCTTAAGAAACGTCTTTGCACAGGGCACATGACATGAGAGCGAAAAAAATCAGCTGCATTAGCACTTTTCTACAAGGAGTGCCCACAAGGTACCTTTGCGGAGATGTCTGCCGCGTTTTGCCTTTTAGCAAAGTGCTGTGTAAGTGCCGCTCTGGTGGCCCCACTGGCAGTGCCGGCTGAAGGGATCGAGTGAGATATAAAGAAAAGGGAGAGGAACTGAGGGGTGAAAAATGAGGAAGTGGGAGTGGGAGAGTAGGCGAGAGACGGTCATGAAAAGACCTCAACCTGAGATCTAGTCAATCACACAAGATGGAGGAAGCGGAAAACGGATGGCATATAAATGATAAGAAAAGAAGAAGGAAGAACGCTTTGAGGCAAGAGATGCTGTCTTGCAGGTTGAGCAGAAAGGAAGGGCCGGTTGGAAGAGGGGGGGACGGGGTAAAATGCTGGCACCTTCAGACACCTTCAGCTTCAATAAAGAGGTGCACTAGGTCCGGGAGATGCTGTTGTTTTGAGGCTTTTATGATTTTGTCGTTTTTTTTTTTAGGCGTACTTATGGCTCGGGAAATGCTGCCCAGGCAGAGCAGCGGCAGGAAGGCGGAGGGCACAAGGGGCGAGAGCAGATCGAGAAGCATTCCTGTGCGCCCATGCGGGAAGGTGGGAGGGAAGGGGATTAGGACGATGAAAGGGAGAAAGGACGGGACAGGGAAGGAGTGGTGGGGGCGAGAAACGTGGGGGTAGGAAGTCGGAGAAAGGAGGAAGTGAAACGCTGAGCTGAGATGTGGTCGTCTGACAGGTTTGAGACTAGAGGAGAGGGAAACTGGGAAAGCTCGGCATAATCAGAAGGCAGAGAAGGGGCAGAGAAGGGGCAGAGAAGGGGCAGAGAAGGGGCAGAGAAGGAAGGGGCAGAGAAGGGGCAGAGAAGGGGCAGAGAAGGGGCAGAGAAGGGGCAGAGAAGCAGCAGCGCACCGACATCATTGATGACGTCAGCAGCCAGCCTCCACTGCTTGGCATTGCTGTCGAGATTCGATCCCTGCAGGCAGCGACAGAGAAGGTTCGGGTTAGGGTTTTAGCGGTTACAGCTTTGCCAAGAGGGGTTTCTGTCTAAGTTGGGGTTAAAGATTTACAAAAAGGGAGTCACAAGAAGAGTCAGACAGGAACTAGTTTAATAGATAAAAGCAAGTGCTTGGCTTAATGAACAAGCGTCGGTACTGGAAAGAAATGTAGTTGCACGTCGCATTTGGAAATAGCTGGAAGGTACAGAGAAGAGTGCACAGAATGAGCACCCTGTACATGCTGAAGAGTGTACATAGTGAAGAAAGTGGTACGGGTAATAGCAATAATAATAATAGTAGTAGTAAATGTACTGTGCCATTACTGTACCTTGTACATGGCAAAAAGAATCCCTCCAAGCATGCCGGTGAAGTCACGTACGAACCACTGCAAGGGCGGGGCAGGAGGTGCGAGACAGAGACGTGAAATCAGATTTATAGGAGAAGTACTGGAGGGAGGGCCGAACGAACATCTATTCGTGATTTGCTTGAAACTGCAGGGCGCAAGAAGCGGTTGAGGCAATGCAAGCGGCACTTAAAGCCTGACCTGGAACGTGGCACTGATGGCAGAGGCAGATGCCCGGCCCACTCCCAGCCCTGCCAGCAGCACCTGGAGGACGCAGGGCAGGATGAGGGGGGGTTGTGAGGTTTGAGAAGAGATGCAGAGAGGTCGAGAGGCGGAGAGGCAGAGAGGCAGAAAGGGGAGACGAAGAGAAGCAGAAGGCAGGGACGGGAAGACATGCTGCGGTGTACCTGCATGGATAGCATGCTGTGGTGTACCTGCGTGGATAGCATGCTGTGGTGTACCTGCGTGGATAGCATGCTGCGGTGTACCTGCGTGGATAGCATGCTGCGGTGTACCTGCGTGGATAGCATGCTGTGGTGTACCTGCGTGGATAGCATGCTGTGGTGTACCTGCGTGGATAGCATGCTGCGGTGTACCTGCGTGGATAGCATGCTGTGGTGTACCTGCGTGGATAGCATGCTGTGGTGTACCTGCGTCGATAGCATGCTGCGGTGTACCTGCGTGGATAGCATGCTGCGGTGTACCTGCGTGGATAGCATGCTGTGGTGTACCTGCGTGGATAGCATGCTGCGGTGTACCTGCGTGGATAGCATGCTGCGGTGTACCTGCGTGGATAGCATGCTGCGGTGTACCTGCGTGGATAGCATGCTGTGGTGTACCTGCGTGGATAGCATGCTGCGGTGTACCTGCGTGGATAGCATGCTGCGGTGTACCTGCGTGGATAGCATGCTGCGGTGTACCTGCGTGGATAGCATGCTGTGGTGTACCTGCGTGGATAGCATGCTGCGGTGTACCTGCGTGGATAGCATGCTGCGGTGTACCTGCGTGGATAGCATGCTGCGGTGTACCTGCGTGGATAGCATGCTGTGGTGTACCTGCGTGGATAGCATGCTGCGGTGTACCTGCGTGGATAGCATGCTGCGGTGTACCTGCGTGGATAGCATGCTGCGGATGTACGTCGACAGTCCCTGCCATGGAAAGGGGACGGGGGGTTGGGGCGGGGCGGAGAATGGGAGATGCGGAAGAGAGAGATGGAATGGTGATACAACACAGGGGGATAGTATGATTGCGCAGTGATCACTGATGGCATGCACTGAGAGTCGTTCCATGAACAAGGAGCATGGACGAGGACGGAATGAAGAGAGGCGGCAGTAGCATTGGTGAAACGAAAGGCCAGGTGATGACACCATGCGGGTCATGGTGACCACGTGGGTCATGGTGACCACATGGCTCATGGCGACCACGTGGGTCATGGTGACCACGTGGGTCATGGTGACCATGTGGGTCATGGTGACCACGTGGGACATGGCGACCACGTGGCTCATGTGGGTCATGATGGCTCATGACGTCTCACAAATCTTGAGGCGAGTTACATCACCTGTAGGGTATCCCACGTTTGAAACGCCAGGTAGTCGTCTGTAACGCTCTCAGGGTAACCCTGCAACCAAAAACAAAACCGTGAAAAGGAGGAGACGGAAGAAATGAACACCATGAACTCGATTCAGCGCACTAAATGAGATCCTTTGCTGCACCACGTGCGTCTAGTGTGCGTCTGACCGCGCACACGTGGTCTGAGACACGGACTGACCGACACGTGGTCTGACACGTGCCGCTTCACGTGCGTGCATCTGGCATTAGAACGACTGGTGAGACAAAAGAACAAGGCTGTGTGGAATTCAGAGACTCTTTCCTGGTGTACAATCGCTACTCCTTCTGCTCTCCTTCATTCCTGGAAGCCCCAGCCCCCTTCCCCTTCACTCTCCTCCACTCTCCGCGCACCTCTGGCAGGAACGCCCCGCGCAGTGTGCGCGTGAGGGAGCCGAGCGAGCCACTGCCGCGCGCGGACCTGGGGAAACGGCGGATCGCGGAGGTTAGGGCGCGGGGATACGGCCAGGCGGAGAAGGAGCAAGTGAGACCACAGAGGACAGTCTAGGCCTTTAGGCGTCCGCGGAATCGACAAACAGTCTGATCGCACCCGACGTGAGGGAGCCGCGAGCCGCGCTACGAACGTACACTCACGCGAAACGAGCAGCGATAAGCTAAAATACGGCGATTCTACGCGAACTGGGGGGCGAGGCGCACTTGAGAACGCGAATGGACGACGGCGCGTCCATGAGGCCAGCTAGCGCCGCGGGCACCCTGCCGGTCCTGCTGCCATCCCCGCCGCCGCCGCCGCCGCTGCCGCTGGTGTTGGTCTCCTCGACCCAAACAGCTGTACGCGACGCGTTCGGGCCGCGACCGAATACCTCCTCTATAAGCACATCTCCGGTTAGCGAACCGTCCAGTTTCGTGCTGTTCGCCATCACGTCGGCGAGATTTCCGTTGCTTGAAGCGAAGGCCCACGTATAACGTGGTGCTAGGTCCGCATTGAGATGAAAATATGGCGGGGATGGGGAGACTGTGGTAGGAAGCTGTTTCAGCGATAGTTCAGCTAGCGCCCACCCATAAAACTGCCCATCTGTAACGCGAAAAAAGGCGACCTACATGTCTGACAATTGGCGACGCTGGTCTCCCCAACCAAACCCAGCGTTGCCGTTCAAATCGAGTGGCTTTGATGGGAGGCTTGATAGGGTTACTCGGTCGTAGATTTACGAGGAGGACATGCTCGTGCGAGGTGGAGACGATTCACAGATTATCGATCGCCCGTTTCGCCAGATACTCTCATGGCGGAAGATTTGGGGTGCTGTAGACTTTCGCTCATCACTCGATTACGATCGTAATTTGGCGAGAAGCATATCGCTCGTTCGTATGGGGAACCTGTTTGGAGAAACAAGAGTAACGAGTCCGGTCGCCATTTTTCGCGAGGCCTCGATTATGTCGCATAATGCACCCCACCAACGCTTTCTGCTTGCCCGCCTTAGCACCCCGCTCCCTCACCCGCCAACAACACCCACACGCAACCACAACACGATAACCCAAACCTACTCGATGGGTAACGCACCACTCTGTAACGCGGAACATTTCTCTCTGTTCAACCACACTGTTGAATAACGTATCCATAATCCATGAATGCATGAGTGCGCTGCACTGACGGGGCGCCATGATGGCGAGAATCTGTTTTTGAGTTGACTAAAAAACAAACGCGCTGGACTGACGGGGGCGCCATGATGGCGAGACGGTCCTACTCGCGGGGAGGGCAAGCCGGCGCCTTCCCCGCGGCTCTGTCCACGGAGCATCGCGGAAGCTTCCGCGTGGATGACTCCGAGCGCAAGGCGCACCACCCCTCCCTCCACAAGCTCCCACGCGGCGCGCGCGTCGTTCTTTTAGCCGGCACCGTTATAGTCACGTTTCTCGGGTTTGCCGCGTTCGCGCTCTCAGGGTCCTTCCGCCAAGCCCTGCTGAGTCAGCTCCGCCCATCTTCCGCCAATCCTTCCGCCGACCTCGCGCTCGAGGTCGATTCCACAACTAGTGCTCGCGGCGATGAGCAGGTGGCGGAGGAGAGGGGCGGGGAGATCCGCGCAGCGGAAGGAGAAGTTAACCAGGCGGAAGGAGAGGGCGGAGGGGAAGGGGAAGGGGGAACAGAAGGGGAGCAGCAAGGGGAGAAGGCGGGAGATAGGGAAGAGGAGACGCGCGGGAATGAGGGCAGGCGGAGGAAGAGCAGGGGGAAGCGGAGGAGGAGGCGGAGGGTGGTTCAGGGCGATCGCGACAAGTGGGTTACCGAGTTACGGAAGAAGCCGTCGTGGCGAGTCGTCAGTGGCTTCCAGGTGGGCGCTGCATGCGGGATCTTGAGTCCGCTTTTAGACCTCCAATCTGCTCATTTCTGCTCACCTCTGCTCACTTGTGCTCATCTCTGCTGAAGGGCCGTGCTAAATCGATGGGCTAGCAAGAAAAACCACAATCACAGTCACACTCGGAGACTCTGTGCTAGTTTGTGTTGCATTCTGGGTCGTCTTGACATCCAATCCCTGACCGTCCAATTCCCGACCATCCAATCCAATCCCTTTTCGTGCAATCCCTGATCGTACGTACCAGGGCGTGCCAGCAACTCATCTCATCGCGGATTCAAACTCCCTCGCCTGTGCCCTCGTGGTGCGCCGCGCCTGCCACTTCTGGTCGCCCTTTGGCCTCCCCACCCCCTCTTCCTCTGCCACTGCTGCTGGTTATTCTGTTGATGGTGGTGCCACTGGTGCTGCTGGTGAAGCTGCTGCTGATGTTGGTGCTGCCAGTAGTGAGAGTGGGAGTAAAGCCACCACGACCCACGGGCACTACAGTGGGTATTGGTACAGCATGGACGGCAGGGACTTGTCTCTTCTGCGCTCCAGTGATGACGTGTGCGGGCACGGCACCAGGCAACTCCCCAAGCCTTTTTCACCCAAGAGATTCGGCACCACAGACAAGTGCGTGTGTTTTACCAAATGTGTGTGTTGCCCCCAACTTTGTGTGTTCGGGTACGTGTATATATTCTGATGTATGGCTTCAGTCGTTCAGGTCTCTGCTGCGATGAAGGCATACATCAGAATGACCAGTAAGATGCAACTGCACGTGGTCGGCAGGTTGGTGGGTGGGTAGCAGCAGATGCAATGACTAACGCCACGCGCTGCTCTTTCTCCGTGCAAAATACCAGCTCGTTCTCTCTCTGCATGCCATCGTAAAAAGGTTCTCTGGCGTTCGCAGAGCAAAGCCCCTTATCACGTCTCGCTGCGTCTTTCAAGCACTTGCACAAGAACGCAGGTTGGCCTCTGCATGCCATTCTTTGCGGACGACACGTGAACGTGCTCCATGTGCTTAAGCTGATGTTTGATTCGACGCAAAATTCACCTCGTGCACCATACGCTTAAGCTTATTCCTGTTATGGGCATGTTGTGGACCGTGGTGGCATGTTATGGTGCATCGGGGTGGCATGATGGCATGGCATGGCATGGCATGGTGGCATGATGGCAGGATCCAGGAGAAGATGGGCATCTTTTTGTCAGCAGAGCAGCGCGACAAAATACTGCAGCAGCAGTGCAAGCTGGGCCACAAGGTGATGCTCTTGCTGCCATCACGAACCCTACAACAAAAGAAGAAAAAGGAAAGGGATTAAGAAAGGAAGAAGAAAAAAAAAAACCAACAGAAGTCTAGGCTGGGAGGCAAGATGATGGTCGTGCGTACCATGATGTTCCTCCTGGCCCCTCACCTCCCTACCCTACCCCCTCCCTCCTGCTATTTCTCCCTCTCTCTCCGCCCCAGCCACCGGAGTGGGCAGATGTGACCTCCCCCGGTCGCCAGCTACCCAGGTACCGCCGCGCAGTGATGTCACCGCACGACTCGTTCCTGGGGCACTTCTGGGAGCGCGTGGGCGTGCTGGCGGAGCTGCTCCTCGCCCTCCATCACTCCCTCTCCCTCCCCCCACCCTCCCCTCCGCCCTTCGCCTCTCCCCCTCCTCCTCGCTCGACTGGTGTGGGGGAGGAGGGAGGGGAGGGTGTGGATGGGGAAGAGAGTAGTGGGGGTGGTGGTGGTGGTGGTGGTGGTGGTGGTGGTGGTGGTGAGGAGAGTGGGATGGCAAGCGGAGGGGAGGGAGAGGAGGAGGGGGGAGGGGAGGAAGGTGCAGAAGAGAGGGATGGGGTTGCTGTGTCCATTACTGCTTCTTCAACTGCTGCTGCAGATGCTGCTGCAGATGGTGCTGCAGATGGTGCTGCTGATGGTGGTGCAGGTGCTGCTGCGTTCACCCCAGCGGTGCTGACTCCCTCGCCCCTCACGCACACTGCAGTGATGTTTGGCACCGACACTGATGGTAGGGGCGTGGGGCCGTCCATGTGGCATGGGGTGACGTGGCATGGGGTGACGTGGCATGAGATTGCATGACATGTACCATATGGCCTGCAGCCCTTGCATACACAAATGGTACTACATGGCCCGGACAAATGCACCCATACCAATACTCTTTCTGTCCTCCTTTTCGACTGGACCCCCCCTCTCGCCCCTCCCCGTTTCCCACCCACCATCCTCTTCGCTTCAAGCTGAAATCGGCATGTTCACATGCAATCCCAGCTTCACTCTCTGACTTCGCTACTGCTAATCGTCCTTTGTCCTTTCAATACCAAAACCAAGTTTCTCTCCATTCTTTCTCTTTCCTGCCTCACCCCATCCCCTCCTTCCCCTCTCCCTCCCCCACCTGCTCTCTCCGCGTGTAAAGTGAAGTCGGCACGTTCGCCGGCAATCTGAGCCGCATCCTCTTTGGCGCCGCCACGCCTCTCATTCCCGGCCGCCGCCTGCACTGGGGGGATGAGCCGCACCTGTGCTTCGGGGAGGTCATCTTCCCCTTGCATACCGCTTATTCCACGTGAGACGTCCATCCATGCTTCGCTCACTGCATTCACTGCACTCGCTGCACTCACTACTCTTACCGCATTCAATGCAATCACTGCACATGCTTTGCGTTGACTCAAAAGCCGCACCTGTGCTTTGGGGAGGTCATTTTCCCTCTGCACACCGCTTATTCCATGTGAGCCGTCCATGCCGCAATCCGCATTCATTCAGATGTAGGAAGAGCATGGAGAACCTTTTCTGTGCCATTCTCGTGTCGCATGCTTCATTCATGCTCTGTCAGCGTGCCCCTCCAGATATTCGTCTCTTGTAAACTTGTTGCTCTCCTATTCTCAAGGCTCATGCAAATCTCATCGTTCTGCATCCCTTTGCACACCTGCCCACATTGCCCTTCCTGTACCTGCTGACATGCTCTCTCGCTTCCCTTTCCACTCACAGGAACGCTACAGAGTATGTGAGGAGGAAAGCTTATGCCTGGGCTGACGCGCGACTCACTGCTGCCGTCACTGGCGCCCCTGCTGATGATACCGGTGATACTGATGGTGCTGCTGGCACTGCTGGTGCTGCCACTGGTGCTGATGCTGGTGAGGGGGAGGAAGCAGACTCAGAGGATGGAGAGGAGGCAGAGCAGCAGCTGCAGCAGCGGAGGGAAGCGGAGGAGAAGCGCAGAGAGGAGCAGCTTTCAAAACTCCCATCTCCATTGCAGGTGAGTTGATTCACGCCATGCCATGCCATTCCGTGCCATACCACACCATGCCATGCCGTGCTATGCTATTCTATGACATGCCATCCCATGCCCTTCCATGCACTACGGTTACACCCGCACCGTAATGTTTGCAGGTGACATGCTGGTCCATATGTTTCCGAATTGCCGTACTGGTCTATCCGATCCGAGGTGACTTCTGAGTTTACTTCGAAGTCACTTCAGCTTAGTGTCACACTCTTCATGCTTTTGATTGCTGATCATGTGGCCGTCATCCTGAAATTGTATCCTTCCTCTCCCATCTGCTGTGCCTACTGCAGGTGACATGGCTGTACCGGTCCAATCGTCGCACGATCACGAACGTGGGAGACGTGCTGCAGCTGCTCACAACACACTTCCGCATGCCCATCCACATCATTGAGCTCTCGGAGTCCACACCGTAAGACCCCTTCCTCCCCGCGTCATGCTTGCCAGTGGTACGCCCACTGCTTTATGCCATGCTACCTGCTCACAACACACTTCCGCATGCCCATCCACATCATCGAGCTCTCAGAATCTACACCGTAAGACATTCAAAGTGTTCACCATATGATTGTACGATGTGTCTCAAGTGTGAGCATCGTTGACCTCTCTAGCATTGTGCATCTGCCTCACGCCGTGCTGTTGCCACACTTTGTAGCTGCATCAATCTTATGTTATGTTTCCCTTTTCTTTCCTCTTCTTCCTGCTTCTGCCCTCAGACCTCAGTCTTCTCAACTCCCACCCATCACCCTCACCCGCACCCTACTTCTCTCTCCTCATTGCATCCCAAACCCCATCACAGCGTTCGACCAGGTGGTTCACACGATGCGCCATACAGCCTTTGCCATCGGAATGCATGGCTCTGCCCTCGCCAACCTCATCTCCCTGCCCTCTGGAGCCTCAGCCCTGGAGCTCATCCCCTACAAGTACCGCCACTTCCCCTACCTCACTCCCTCCTCCACCATGTGCCCTGCAGGTTCGGCAAGTGGTGAAAGCAATGTGCCACACAGTCCCGACCGCCAACCTCACCCTCACACCTCATTCTCACACTTCACCCTAACCCTCACCCTACATCCCCTCTCTCCCCACCCCACTCCACCTCCCAGGTTCGACCAGGTGGTTCACACGATGCGCCATACAGCCTTTGCCATCAGAATGCATGGCTCTGCCCTCGCCAACCTCATCTCCCTGCCCTCTGGAGCCTCAGCCCTGGAGCTCATCCCCTACAAGTACCGCCACTTCCCCTACCTCACTCCCTCCTCCACCATGTGCCCTGCAGGTTCGGCAAGTGGTGAAAGCAATGTGCCACACAGTCCCGACCGCCAACCTCACCCTCACACCTCATTCTCACACTTCACCCTAACCCTCACCCTACATCCCCTCTCTCCCCACCCCACTCCACCTCCCAGGTTCGACCAGGTGGTTCACACGATGCGCCATACAGCCTTTGCCATCGGAATGCACGGCTCTGCCCTCGCCAACCTCATCTTTCTCCCCTCAGGGGCCTCCTGCCTGGAGCTCATCCCCTACAAGTACCGCTACTTCCCCTACCTCACCATCGCTCCCCTTTTCAATATCAACTACCACCAATGGACCAATGAGAAGCGCGAATTCGCGTCGTTCGATGACGGGTGTTTTGAGGGGAAGTGGGCGAAGCTGAGTCCGTCGGATTGTTGGAAGTTAAGGCCGTGCTTGCGGTGTGTGCGGGACCATGCGCGCACGCATGTGGATCCTGAGAGCATTGGGCCTGTGCTGGCTGATATTGGACGTGAAGTGCGCATATGGATTGGCATGTATGGCTTGCCGGCTGGCCTCTCGATATCAGGGTAAAACACCCTTATGGCCCTTACTATAAGGGTGGGTTTAGGTGATCACCCTTGTTTTTAAAAGTTGTTTTATGACACACCCTTAGCAGAAAAAGTGTTCATTGTGTTAACACTGATATTTAAGACAGGGGTACTGACGCGATTTGGGCCGTGATTAGCGGCGTTTTGCCTGAGTCAGCAGATGTGCACGGCGCCACTGCCACTGACCCGTCAACTGAACCTGGCTCACCTGCAATTTCCCCACCTGGCAATGCCGCGCAGCGCCACACACACCTGCTTCGTGCAGGATGTGTGTCCTGCTTGGAAGCACCTTCTTCCCTCCCCAGCAGGCCCCCACCCACCGACCAGTCTCTCCCACGCACCCAACCCAGTCTCTCCTCGTTTCACTTCTCCTGTACTGCCTCCTCGCTATCTCGTCCGGTCGAGGGTTTGCAAACCACCCCACCACCACGCTCTCACACAGCTAGTGTAGGCCCAGCTCCTGCATCCATCCCTCTTGCCCTCGCCATGGCTGCTGACGAAACCACCGATGGTGACGACGAGGCACGTCGTCACCAGCAAAAATCACTCCCGCGTACGGGCCTCAGCTTTCTACAAATCCCCGCTAAGAAGCTGTTAGATCCGGAGCCCGTAGTTGCTTCAACAGAGGATGAAGCCCACGTGGATGAAGCGGGGCGAGACTTGCGGTCACCCGAAGTTTGCACTACCACGACGGAACCTGAACCTCCAGAAGCGACGGCTCCAGAAACAGAGATTGGCGATGCGGCTGGCGACTCTGCGAACAAGAAGCGCAAAGAGTCAAGCAATGGCGGTGGCAAGCCGTGGTGGCGACAACCGAAGCCCTCTTCGAAGCGGTCGGCCCGTCCAATCCGACGAGTGGAGGACGCGGGGAGTGACGACGACGAGGATGACGATGGCCTGCCGACTGTCGAAGAGATGGCCCGTTACCCCGAAATCGCTTTCGCTAAAGCGCATAAGCGATTCAAGACGTCGTGGGAGTCTTTGTTTTCGTGGCTAATTTTAACTCGTGATGACGTTGGTTTCCCCATTTTGAGATGCAGCACGTGCTTGGAACATGGAGCTGAAGGCGCGAAAACGGCCTATGGCAAGGGAGGCAGTGGAGGGCGTGACATGCAGAAGGGGAGCATCCGGACGCACCAACGGTCCACCGCACACCAGGACGCACACGCCGAGACGAAGTCGAAGTTGAGCCGGAAGCTTCGTCAAACGATGCTGAGCGAGTTCGAGGGCTTGGATCGCAGCACGCATCACATCATCACAGCTCTCAAGACCACCGTGTTCATCTGCAAGTCGGAGGCGCCAATCACCTCGTACGTGGGCACGATCAAGTTCATGGCCGAGCTCGGAGTCCCGAACCTTCCCTTGGATTCCAAGGGAAACTACTTCTCGGAGTAAGTTTCGGGGAACGCGCTGTCGTTGTACTTGTTCCGTTAGAACTGACTTGTTCCGTGCTAACCACTGTGCTTGTATCATGCAGGTACGGTTTCGGGGAGCTACTAGATGCTGCCGCGAAATACATGCGGCAAGAGCAACTGAAGCAGCTCGAGGCGAGCCCGTACATCTCCATTCAGCTCGATGAAAGTACTAACAAGGCGCGCGGCAAGCATATGATCGTCTACGTCCACTTCATGAGGGAGGGAGCGAGCGTCTGTGAGTTCCTCACGCTGCTGACAGTTGACAAAGGTGACGCGGCTAGTCTCGTCGACGTGCTACTGACCCACCTTGACGCCGTGGGCATTGACATGTCCAAGATCGTTGGAATCAGCACCGACGGCGCCAGAGTCATGACGGGCACCAGCAATGGTGTTGTGGCGCGACTCCGCCTGCGGAATCCCTATCTCGTGTCGTGCCACTGCATCGCACATCGGTAAGTCCGTATATGTTAATGGCTTTATGACATGTGTGTAGTGTTGATCATGTACTGCCCACTCACATCAGTCGTTCGTTTTCCTGTTCTGACTTGAGCAGGGAGGCGTTGGCCGCGAAAGATGCTGCTGAGAAGGTGACGGAGTTCAACATCATAGACCAGGCGGTGCAGAACGTGGCGGAGCAGCTTTCTAGGTCGAGCAACTGGCACCGACGATTCGAGCACCTTCAGGAGTACATCTGCGAAACCAACTTGGAGCTGCAGGGGATCAACGACGTGCGGTGGCTCTCTAGAGGAGAGGCAGTCAAGCGGTTCGCCAAGGTTCTGCCGGCGACGATCGTCCTGCTAAACGATTTCAAGCACGCGCTCTATGAAACGGTCACCTCCTTCAAATTCCACTTCATGCTTTTCTTCCTTGCAGACATTCTTGCCATGCTCAACGAGCTCAACGCCAAGTTCCAGAAGCAGCAGGTGATATGTGGAGTGTTTTGCTTGTCCTCGTTTGCGGTTGTTTCACTACCATGTTCCCGGTTGTTGTAAGTGGAGATTGTTGTACATCAACCTCTGGCAGCAACTATTCATCCCACCCCCACTCCCAGGTTGACATCACGGTGGTCGCGGGGGAGGTGTCGCTCGCTTGCAGGACGATCGAGGTGCGTTACGTGGACTGCGAGGATCGTTTCGGCAACGATCAGTCGCCCCTGCTCTGCGCGTTCCTGAAGAAGCACGGCAACCCGGAGCACCGCGAAGTCATCGTCAACGGTGTGGACCAGAACGGAGACGCTGCAGAGCACAAGTTCGTGCTTCACGAGCGCAAGATCCCAGGCCATACGACTGGCGGGGACTACTACTCCTGCAAGGCGGTGTGCCAGGAGTTTGCGAGGGTCTGCGTTGCCCGACTGGAGTTCCGACTGGAGTTCCGCCTGGAAGACCTCAAGGACCTGGCCGGCTCCAAGCTTTTCCGGCCGTCATGCTATCCCGACGACAACGAGGAGCGGATGAAGAAGTGCCGCGAGTGGTTGCGCATGCTTGACCGCATGTTTCGCCACCGCCTCTTTGGTACGCCGCCTGGTTGTGCCTGCAATTTGCTGTCTGCTCTGCGTGTGTGGTTACCTTGGTGTGATGTTAAACACCACACCTCCCATACGCCCCGATCGCCCCTCTCACTGCTCTGCTCTCCCATCTTGGCAGGTGTGTGCTTCAAGGCGTGCGAGAGGGAGCTACCGTTGTTTCTCCACACCATGGACACCAACCACGGCAACATGAGCTTCCATAAGTCGCTCGCGCTCATGCTCCAGTCAACTGACTGGCGGGGAGCCTACCCGAACCTTGTGCAGCTGTGGCAGGCCGTAGCTGTGCTTCCCCTCAGCACGGTGGAGTGCGAGCGCGGCTTCAGTCGCCAGAACCGTATCAAGACGTGGAAGCGGACCTGCCTGGGAGACGCCCGACTGGGCGATCTGATGACTGCAGCTCTCCTGCCCAGCGATGGTCTGAACTGGGTGAATGTGGTAGACGTGTTCAATGCCAGCAAGAAGCGCCGTCCGGGCCAGGAGTTTCTGTATTGAGTTGGTGTGGTATTCTGCTCCACCATGTAGTCGTGCTGCTGTTATTGTTCTAGTTGTAGGCTTGTAGATGTAGTTCTTTGTTACAACAATACATGATGGTAAGTAAACATATAATGGTACAAGTAATCGAGGTGCACAGCACACTGACGAGCAAGAGTAACACTGCAGCCAACACTGATAAACAAGACTGAGGTGGATGCCCCACCCTTACTGAAAGACCAGCTTTGGCAAACTGCCCTTTCGACCAAGAGTGCTTCCAAACCTATCCAGAGGCCAGCTTGCCGGGTTCCTGAAACGCCATATAACCTACCACAGCAATTTTTCCTTGAACATATCGGTTGAGAATAAGGTAGTGAGTGAATGTATAAAAGGAGCAGTGAGTGTAGGTGCTGGTTTGCATGCACTTCATTCCTTAGCCGTTCAATTATATATGCAAATGGCATTGCTGCCACCACACTTATTACCAGTACCATGATTATCCAGCCTCTGCAACATACACTTCAGAACCCGCCTCTGTATAGAGACAACCCACACACCATGCACCGCCTCACAAGAAGTAAAGCAATGCATAGAACGAACAAACCACTCAAGGGATAACCCTCACGCTGCCCACAGCCCAGCACTACTGTATCACACCTCTACTCAGACATCAAATGGCAAAGAAGCAGCTCAGGGGTGACGGTTGCTGCAACCCTCTCCCCTGAACAGCTTCTCAGCCTGCACCATGCTGCCACCTCTTGACTCAGCCCCGCCAGCCACTGTAGACAACTCGACATCCACCTCTATGCACATCCAGTCGGATTACGCCAACCTTCTTCTCCCAGCCGCTTATTTGCCTTCACCACCTCCTGACTCAGCCCAGCCACCTTCCCCAACTTTTTAAAGTCGACTTTATAGTCACCTCTATGCACATCCAGCCGGATCACTCCAACCTTGGCTGCTCAGCTGCTTCTTTTCCTTCACCGCCTCTCAACTCAGCCCAGCCACCTTCCTGAGCACTGCTTCCCTGCGCCCTGCCACCAGCCGCACTCCTCCCCCTCCCCTACACCAGCCCAAGAAACTTGTCTGCATGCCAGAACAGCAGGGCCTCCGCACACGTAATCACATCACTCCAACCCTCACCCCTGAGTTGCCTCTCAGCCGCCGCCACCCGCATTGCTGCGACACGCCTCCCACAACTGCTGCTTCGCCACCACCACCTCCTTACTCAGCCCAGCCGCCTTCCTTAGCACCACCTCTCTATGCCCCGCCAGCAGCCGCGGAGCTCCCGCCCCCCCACAGAACTTCAGAAAGTGATCCGCATGCCAGAACAGCAGCGCATCCATCGCCTTCCTCTTCTTCAGCCCAGGTGAATCTCCAGGAGAAAGAAACAGGCAGTTGCCTGCTGGCGGCCAGGGGATGTCCCAGAAGCGGAGAGGGGTGGTGCCAGGGGTGCAGCTGCTGGCAACACCCGCTCTCGCTGCTTGCTTCCGGAGCTGAGTCACCCTGCTTGAGTACTCCTCGTAGGTCATTGGCGCAACTGAAGGGACATGCATGCACGCACGTATGTGAGATCACAAGAGCACATATGAGTACATACGAATACGTACAACACATTTGTATGTTTGCTCACTCCACCCCCATCTCCCCTCCCACAAGCATGCACCCTATCATCCAAACGCATCCAAAGATCGGATACACACACATGCAGTACAAGTGTGCAAAAGGAAAAGCAAAGAGAATGAAACGAACTCTGCAACGAGTAACTCTGTGCAAGCAGCTAGCATCTCAGTACAGGCAGCCATGCAGCTCGTCACCCATTCTCACCTGCTTGCCGCCGTTGCCACTCCTCCTCCAGCTGCTTCATCTTCTCATCGAATGCCGCCTCCTCCTTCCTTGCCCTCACCCTCTCCTTCTCCTGTGCCCGCCTCTTCTCCTCCTCCCTCTTCGCTTCCTCCTGCATCCGCTTTTCCTCCTCCTTCCTCCTCACCTCTTCCATCTTCCTCTCCTCCTTCTCCTTCTTTCTAAGCTCCTCCTTCCTCTTCTTCTCCTCCTTCTGCCTCGCCTCTTCCTCCTTCTTCCTCGCATCCTCCTTACTCTTCGCCTCCTCCTTCCTCTTCCTCTCCTCCTCCCTCACCCTATTTTCTTCAGCCTGCACCCTCTTCCTCTCCTCCTCCTTCGCCCTTTTCATCTCAGCAGCCTTCCTCGCCTCTTCCTGTTTCCTCCTCGCACCCTCCGCCTTGCTTCTCTTCACCTCCTCAGCCTTTCTCGCACACTCCTCCGCCTTCCTCTTCTTTAACACCTCTCCCTCAGTCCGCAGGATCCTCTTTTGCGCGGCAGCAAGAGCAGCTTTCACACGGGCCTCCCACTCCCGCAGCCGGGCGTTGAACGAAGCAAGTACGCTCGCTGACGCGTCATTCGGAGGAGGCGGGGGCGGGGGACCCTGATGTGCAAAATTTAGAAGAAGGGAGGGGAGGGGAAGAAATCAATGGAGGGGGGAGGAGAGGGGAGGTGAGAACATCACTGGCATCAATGGAGGGGAGAGGGGAGGGGAGTAGCATCTGAATTGCAGAAGAGATTAGAAGGACCGAAAAGGGCAGGTTAAACCAAAATTGAGAGAAAGGCCAGAACGATGGGATGGTAGGGGAGGGAGGGGAAGAGAGGGGAGGGGAGGGGAGGAGAGGGGATAGGATGAAAGTGGAGGGGAGGTAAGAGAGGGGAGGGGACGGGAGCTCATGAAAACTAGACAATGATTGCAAGTGGCAACGGTACTTACAAAGGCCACACTCTCGTGCTGCTGCTGCTGCGACCGCTGTTGGTACTGCCTCTCCAACTCCTCCATTCTCACCCTAAACTCCTCCTCCAGTTCCTTTCTAATCTCCTCTTCCCTCTTCTTCCATTGCGCCTCTTGCTGTGCACTCTTCTCCTTGGCCTGCCGCTCCTCCTCCTCCCTCTTCTTCTCCCCTTCCCTCGCAGCATTATTATCATCAGCAACAGCAGCAGCAGAATAAGCAACATCGGCAGCGGCAGCAGCAGATGCAGAATCAGCAGCAGCGGCAGAAGCGGCAGCAGCAGCAGAAGCAGCTGAATTCTCACCCTTCTCATCATTCTCCCTCTTCCTGTCCGTATCCTCCCCAGCCTCTCGCTCCACCTCCTTCCCTTTCCTCAAACGCTCCTCTGCTACCTTCTCCTGTTGCTGATTCGCCACGCTCTCCCGCATTGCCTTGCGCTTCGTCGGCCGCTCTTCCCCTTGCTGCTGCTGCTGCGACTGCCTTCGTTCCGTTCGTTGCTGCCTCGCCTCTCTCGCCCTCAGAGCCTGCAAAATCACAACGTAATAGTCCAAAGCAGTCAAACCGAATCAGAAAACCAGGAAATGGTCATCGAAGCTCAAGGTACAAAAGCAAAAGCACTCATCGTATGCTTACCTCTTCATGCCGTTGCCTTGTCCGCACGTTCTCCTGATCCTTCCGTCCGCACGTATCGCACTTGGGGGGGACACAAGGAAGCTTCCCGGACTGGACAGCCAAGATAAATGTCTTCAGCCTTGCGAGTTCCAAATGCTGTGGCATGGTTCTCACACTGCACACCACCCGAATCGTTTCGCCGGAGCATGTTCCTCCTTCCACGTCCAGCAAAACTCGAGTCAACTTTCCTGTTGAGCCAGGTGTTGAAGAGTGAAGATACGGAACGTTACAGAGCGCTTGATACTTTAGTTGCCTGGAGATTTTGCGAGAAGCTGAAGAGTTTTTAGAAGTTTTGAGACAGGATCACGCGGACCTTTGTTAAGATTCGAGAATTTCTGAGAGTTGAATCACGAAGATCTGAGTCAAAGAGAGAGATACGATTTGAGTGATGGTTTAAAACAAAAAGCAGAACGAGTCAAGGAAAGGAGAGTCGGAGAGGTAAATGAGAAACATTTTGCCGTCCCACGCACCTCTTTCAAAAGATGATGATCCGTGGTTGAGCTTTATATGATGGAGGGCGATAACAGCCCCAGAAGAGGCAGTAGCAGTGTTACAGCCCGTCGGTGCGGCAAAATGCAGAGCCAGCACCGAGCCTCCGCTGTCAGAATCTTCATCACCGTTCTCAAAGGTTGTTAAATCTATCACGCCTCCTTGGGAAGGAATCCGGCTTCTTGGAAGGCGAATCACGGTAAGGTGGCCTTTCCGAATGCGCTTTGGACCGCGTTCAAAAACAGTTGTGACGTTAAAGCACCCGAGGTGCTCAGGTGCCCAGAGCGGGTTCACGACCATGACGTTGATCGACGATGAGTCGTGAATGGAGTCAAGACGAAAGCAGGTGACGACTTTTTGAATTCGGAAGCAGGAGATGGTTCGGAGACGGAAAAGGAAAGCGATGAAAAAAAGGGGGTTTGCCTGTATTTCCAAAGACGGATGCAAGTGCGAATTTGGGTCAGGTGGCTGGTGGTTTGCGAGTCCTCTTAGTCGGAGGTAGCGATGATAAGATAGAACGAAAAACAGCTCACGAAGAGGTGAAGTCTGAGTCAATGGTTAGAATCAATTGCTAAATCTATCACCAGCAAATCATTGACCAGCAAAAGTGACCATCGGTGTGGTCCTACCAACTAGCAACCAGATGGCGTGCTTGTACGATAAACGACCTATATCCAAGCGTGCAAAAAGCATCGCCGTCAATGGAGAAACGAGGCGACATGAACGGCGGGCGGGATGACGTGACAGACGACAATGGCTCAAGACTCCAGTTTCGATGGATAGTGGACCCTCAGATGAGCGAAGCGAAGCGCGGACACAGGGCCTGGCGGGACCAGTGTAGTTAGTCGCAGTGCGCGAGCCGCCTTGAGATTCTCCGCTGGCAGAGAAGTCAGGAGCGCCAGAATTGGGGGAGAGGCGGGAGTGGAAAAGGCGGAAATCCAATATAGGGTGTCCCGTTGAAACCACTAGATAAATGTTTTCCATAATATGGATGAAAGAAGCGCATACAAAACCGCATAAACCTTAAAGCTTCTTGTGTCCTTGCGTAGTACATTCCCTAGTTGATTCCTCACAACAAGCCGATGGCATGTCTCTTTCACCCTATTCTACCGTATAAGCAGAAAGTTGGAAAACATCTACAGAACTCTCGGTCTACCGGCATCACATATTGCATGCGTAATGCAATGCTTATCGGTCCATCATGGTTACTACACACATACATCCAATAATAAGATTTCTGCATACACTGCGAAACATAGCACTACCCCAAGTTTTATCTATCCAAACCAGCCAAATTATTAAGATGCAGCCTTCTTGTTGTGTTGCATAAATCGGAGGGCTAGGTACGTGCCAATCCGACATGCTGTACAGAATAGGATGAGGAAGAGCCAGTCGTAACCGTATTCAGGGCGGATAGAACGGGCAGTGGATACGTATGTCCATTGAAAGCTGCTGCTTCCCTCGACAAGCGGACAAGCGCAACCGTGGCATGATGAAACAAGAGTAGAACAGCTCGGACTCATACAACTGGAGATTTTGGTGTCGCAGTAGAAGGCTATGGCGGTCATAGCATTCAATGCATACTGCAAGCAGATGATACAGTGAACGACATGTTAGACCAGAGAAGCAAGAGTAACTTCGTACCTGTAAAGGATTGGTCCAATAAAATGGCTTGAAGAAGAAGTGCATTAGATTGTATGGGACCACATATCCTGCTGTGCTTATCCATACTCCAGATACCATAGGCACGAGCATGAATGCAAGCTGCAGAGATCATGGCAGGTCAAGAGATGTTGGAAGTGAAAACAGTATGGCAGGACAGACCATCAATGATCAAGGGCCTGGGGCCTTAGACAGCCCGTAACTCACTCTCGGGTTGGGAAGAGCCACAGAAAGAAGAAACCCAAGGTAGGTGATACCGAGGGAGAAAAGGAAGTGGGAGAACCAAAATGCGAAGAACTGTGACAAGCTGGAAACTGCAACCTGAGCTAGGCCCGCTGATATGACAATAAATATCAGAGTCGTTACAATAAGATAAGGAATCTGCAAACAGAAAAAAGAGGTAAGAACATCTGGTCCATGATACAACTCCAGAGCTCAAAACACAACCAATGTGTTGCGTACCTCAACCAATGTGAAGGAGATGATATATGTGGAAGCAAAGTACTGTTTATTGAGCCTTTCTCTGTTGAAGACATGGCGTATGCGTGTCAGCATTCCCACCACAGTTCCTCCATTAGAGGTGGGCCCAAAGATGAGCAGTGTGAACACAAATCCAGCACGGGCTGAGATTTGGAGGAGAGTGGAGCAGGGCAGGTCGAAAAATAGGGAGCCAATAACGAGGCCCAGGACACAAGCGACAACTGCACGGGACAGGGTATAAGAGGTGTTCCGCCAGTAGAGGACGTTGATGGACCAATACACCTTTGCCAGACGCGACATGTAAACAGACTGGGGCAAGCACCCGTGACTACTTTGTCGCGTGGCTTTCTGTGAAGTTTCTGCCTTATCAGTAAGCGTTGAGGTGGGTCTCAGAGCGCTTCCAGGCTTCCTGAACTGCAGAGAAGGTTCTTCACTGGCAAATACAGTGCTAGTATCTGTTCTGCCTTGGTTTGAACTCGCAGCCGGTGATGACATAGCAGCAGTTGAGTCTGATGCTTCTGAAGCAAAGAAAGAGTTGGGATTGCGACGAAGCTTCCGCAGGTGCTGGGCGTTGCTCATGGCCAGGCTGCTGATTCGATACTCAAACGCATAGTCACGTGCAGCTACAGACCCTGAAACGCCTTCTCCCATTGCATACTGTAAGAAGCTGATGGGGTTCATGTTGGCAGGAAGCATGGGAGTGCCAGGTATGGACTGGAAGTATTCCTGAATATCATGACGAGAGAAAACATTGAGAAAGAGAGAGAGAGAGAAAAACAGAATATGGAAAACAAGCTATATATTTCAGCCAAGAATGTCCAGCTCCAGCACCCCAACAATTTCACTCACCACAATGGCAGAGCCAAATCGACCAGCAGGTCCAAAGTATACCATTTCACCTCCACTGCGTAGCATGAGCACAGAAGTGAAGCTGTTGAGCTGAACCACCGTTGGCACGTTGGCCGACACTATCATGGCCTTGCCCCAACCTGTTGCCACGCTCTGAAGTGCACATGAACAGTGAAGGTTCATATACATCAGTAAACGTGACAATTTCACATCGAAGGAGAATGCCTGCCATGTGTTTACTCACTTCCAGAATCTCTGCAAACTGCACAATCTGCTGCATGTCCATGCCGATGAAGGGGGTGTCAAGAAAAAGTGCTGAGGGATTTCCTGCAAGCTCCATGGCCAGCACGATTCGTTTTTCCGTGAATACCAGACCGCTGCCACCTGAAGTAAGGAGGTCATTTACCAAATACTCTGCAAGGTCATGTACTCGAGTGATCTTCAGAATCTGAAACACAAGAAGAGGAGATAATGAGGACGAGATAGGCATGTGTACACATCCATGGGAATATCAGAACTTAAAAGGTCTCACCTTGTCCACAAACGAGTTACGCGATTTGCGTGACACTGATTGTGGCAGAAGAAGGTCGGCTCGATACATAAGGCTCTCTCGAACTGTAAAATACGGGTAGTGCTGATGGCCTCCTTCCATGTATGTCGTGCATCGGATGAAGGAGTCAAGGTCACGAGGCAGACCATTAACAGAAATCTGGCCTGTGATTCGCCCACGAATTTTCCGCCCTGTCACAAGAGAAGGCTGAGAGATGAGAGGGGTTCAAACACAATAGAAAACATGAAATGTAACAGCAAGATACAGGACTGCTTACCAGCAAGACAGTTGAGAAGGCTCGTCTTGCCTGTACCCCTTCCTCCCACAATCCCTGTAATCTCACCAGGTTTGACCCAACCTGAGATGCTTTTAAGGACTTCCCTGTCTCTATCCGAGTGGGGGGATGGAATCTTGTAGGACAGGTTCTGCCATGCCAGCACCATTGGCTCAAACGGAAGACATACAGCCTGCCATCGCTCCGTCTCCATTCCAGCATTCCTGACTTCTATCTCTCCAAACTCGACGGCAACATCATGGCCATTGCGAGGCTCTAATGGCAAGACATCTATGCCAGGTCCAATGCGTTTGCCACAAGCTGACTCCTTGGACTCGCTTTTGGCTGTTAGACAGCTTGGCGGCAGTATTTTGGGGTGTGGAGAGTGCTGCTGGTAGTAACCTGGAAGGAGGCAGATATAGCTAGCCAGGGTCCAGAAAATGGTCCAGGCGACAAGCACAAGTGGACCAATCAGAAATACGATCCAGTCATAGTTCCAACCATTGGCTTTGAGGTATGCCATCCCCACTGCTTCAGTTGGGTGGGCTTGACAAAAAGGATAAGGACTCAAAGGCAAGAGAGGCAAGGCAGCTGAGGAGTTGGAAAGAGATGAACTGGGCATGAGATATGCAGGCGGAAGGACTACTATGCAAGGAGTATTGAACTTGCTGCTGTGGAATTCATTGGCTTGCATCATGGTTGCGGCCCATTGGAGAGCATCAATCCGGTACACCCATATCCAGTAACCACGGATGAGGGATTGGGGAATGAGGAGATGAATGAAGAGGAAAACGGAAGGGCCCACAAGAAGTGCAGAAAAAAAGGCAGCAGCAGCAGGATTCCGGGTGGAAAAGGCAATGAACCGGATCATGGCTGACCCATGGAGGACGGTGAGAATCATAATGACATAGAAAATCCAGAAGTGGACACCACCATCACTGAGTGAAAATCCAGCCAAAAAATACACGATGATGGACCACACAGTTGCCTGAAGAAACACGAGGAAAGTAAGTTACACATTCTTAAGAAAACTTCAAAACCCCAAGTTACTGAAACGGGACGTACATCTATGATTGAAAAGGGAGCTCCAGCCAACACATGGGCCAACAGGTAGGTGTATGTGCGGAAGCTTTGGGCAGATGAATGTTTGTAGTAGACCAAACTTTCCTCCATGAATATAGGTAGCTGACTGAGGTTGAACAAGGTCATCGCGACAAGCGAGAGAAAGGTTATTCCTCGACGAAGGTTCAGGTTGCCAACGGTTGGGGGGTCGGAGGGCATCTGAAAGAAGTTGAAGCCATGGAAAAGGGACATGACCAGAATCTGCATCACCAGTCACGAAAACGTTAACAAGAAATTCAAAAAGCATGCGTATAGGCACATTCATGACAATGCAAACCTGAATGAATCTTGCCATCAATGCAAATCGGTTCCTGCATAGTGATAATAGCTGACGATGCAGCAACAGCAAGAATTCTGGCCAAGGGTCCAATATGAACCGAGTCTTCAACTGTTTCATCTCATCTTGTGCTTCCTTGACCTGATCATGGAATGTCAACAAATGGTTGCTCAACAAGGAAAAGAAACACATCACAGTTGCCATCTTCAATCACCTTTTCTTCTGAAGACATTGGCTCTGGTCGTTCAAACTGAAGCTGAACCATGGTGCTACTGTCTTTTAGGTTCTCGAGAAACTTGCCAAGGTCTTGTGGGTCCAGGTCACCACCGACATTCCTCGCATACTCAAACTGCCTTCCCATAAGTGCAAACCCAACAAGCTCATCACCTTCTTCAATAGGCCCAGTCAGGACCAGCTCACCATCCTTGCTATCCTCCTTGCATTCTGACTTCAGCACGACTATTCTTAAGGGTTTGGCAGAGGAGTTCGCACCGGAGGAAAGACTGAGAGTGATGCGCATGAGAACAAGCTTGGCTGGTCCAGATATCCAGATGGTAGAGCTGATGCCTTTGTTGTTGACAATGCGCATTACATCACGATGAAGAGGAGAGCCTTCATATGCTCGCACTGTACACCATAATAAGGCCATGTAAGAGTCACTTTTTAAGTGGAGAAGGATGAAAGGTGTGAAAAAACAAAACAGCACAGTCCTACCAAAGCCACTCAGGTCCAGCTTCTCATAGCCTGGCTCAAGAAGCTGTGCTCCAGCCTCTGTGGATACAATCTGGAGAAACTCTGGCTCCGATATGTGCTTAGGCTTCTTGTACCTGAGAAACAGAATAGTTACCATAATTGATGGTCAACTACGAGCACCTACACCTCTTGAAAGGCAAGACTCATACCCCAGGTCCACAAAGTAGCTTGTTGAACAAGCAGTTGGGCCTTGATAGACTACTCGGCCAGAGTTGAGCACGATGACACGATCAAACAGGTTAAAGACGTCCTGAGTTGGCCATTGCAAGCTGCATACCACCACTGTCTGTCGGACCTGGGCATATTCTTTCAGCATGGACAGGGTTTTGAAAGTAGATGGACCATCATATAGCTCACTGATGTGATCAAACACCAAAACCTGAAAAGAAACCAGCCTCTGTGATTAAGATGATTCAATGGACAGAAAGAGAGAGACACAACAACGAAACTTACTGGGTAAGCCCCAACAACTGTTTCTGCTGCTGTCAGCCGATGCCTTTCATCTTTTGTCAAGCCTGCTGATCCTACAAGTGAGTTTGCCTGACTTGTCAGACCAAACATCAGGAGCCTAGATTCCACAAGCGGATCCTCTCCAGCATCAAACGCTTCATGCAGGACAGCATGCATCATCTTGTTGTGCTTCAGCTGTCGGAGGGTCACAGCACGGGTGAATCTCCGAGCATACTCCAGTGTTTCACGAACAGATAGAAGAGGAAGATGATGGTCCTGCTCTGGAACCATGCCAACAGTGCGGTGAACCTGGACACTTGTGCTTGGCGTGTTATTGAATCGAATAACACCTTCAGAAGCTGCAAGCTGGCCTCCAATGAGCTTCAACAGCATTGATTTTCCACTTCCTGTGTGGAAATAATGAGAACGATTAGACAAATATCATGTGTCACCTCGTATTGTTCACTGTAAAATCTCAACACACCAGCTGATCCAATAACAAGGGTCAATGTGCCTGGCATGAAGTACCTGCAAAACCAATGGTGGTGAGGTAAGTACAGAAAGAAGGTAGACTTCCAATGTAAGAAGGTAGAACCCTCGAAATTAGTACCCATTTATGTCTTTCAACACTGGAACATTCTCCTCGGGTGTCAAGACGTTCTTCAGGCTTAGATACCCCTGCAGTGTTTCGGAATGCGTGATTTTATTTTCCTGAGACATGAAGCTCGGACTTTACGATAATGTATGAGGCCCAAACAGCTTACTGCGTTCCAGCAATTCCGTGTCGTGGTAGGGAGCGGCTTCGATTTGCCAACATACTGAAGTCCTTGAACCTTGATTACCTACGGAGTCACACTTGATCAGCAAGAATCGTGTGAAGATGCACAGACGCGGTCCTGGACCATAGTATACCTGAGTTGGATTACGAGGCAAGTATGGTTTGATCGAGAGTAGATAGTTTCTCAGTCCAGTCTTCAACAGCAAACTTGTTCCATGAGGCATTTCAAGCTCCTCAATCTCCTCGTCTCCCGTCAATGCTGAAAATTCCTTCACGGCTGAACTGACAAGGTTTGCTGCTTCCTTAGACAGGCCATGGCTCTTGAGAACATCGTGATAAGCCTTGATAAGATGGATCAAAGCTGCTTCGCCAACTCCATTTAGAGCCTCAATCAAACGCAAGTCATCTGTTTCTGATATTTGGGAACTAAGACGCCGAATGGCTTCTGATAGTCCTGAGCTTTGCCGGCGAACAGAGTGTGAGATCCCTGAGGATTGGCGACGCATAGAGGCTGTATGTGATCCCTCATACCAGTTGTCCACCTCCTCACTCAGCCGACGAGGTGGTTGAGGGGTTTCAACATGGGGAACGATGGCTTTCTCATCCATGGTTTTTTCTTGTTCTGCCAGTGAAAAAAACTTGCAGAAATCTGTCTGTGATGTTCAGCTTAGAAAACTACAGACATTGTGCGTGGTTTGAAGCTCACAGACTAATAGCGCATAGCCGGTCGATTGCTCATTCGACCTTTCTAACAGAACCAGAACTAGCTTAGCCGCTGAAGATTTGGAGAATGCCAGCTGACATAATCAGACAAGCCACTTTCGTCCGTTGAACACAGCTCACTCCGGGCGTGTTCAAAAATAATCGTGAAACGGAGACCCTTCGTAAACTCACACAGTAACCCGCGTGGACAGGATCGAACTGTATTTGCGACGAAGTGTGCTGTATTTGCGACGAACTGTGCTGTGTTTGCGACGAACTCAAAACCGACATTTCTCAAATGACCTAGTTCACCCGAACGAAGAACAAGCAACATTTCGTGTTCCGTACTGCACAAACGAACCGAGGCGGTACAGATCGTGAGGCAGGGACAGGGTCTTCGATTCGATCAGGTTCATTCCAGAATAAACACATCCTCACGTCGGGTCAGCATCAGTTGAGTATGAAGCAATACAGTACGGTGCTTTTTGGTTTGGAAACCTTCAAGTTGGTATTTACAATCACTGACGCATTCTACGTTCTCCTCCGCCAAACAAGGCGCATGGTCCGTTTTGTCTCCCCTATTCTCCCGCTCCCTCTGTCTGTGGTCTCTCTCACACAAAGTTTAGCTAGAGCTCAGAAAGGAGTGCTTGAGATTCCGCCGCTCTACGTGTAGAGTCTTCCGATCCGACCTGGCGCCAGCGCGGCCTGACGATAGCTGCTCAACAACCAACCAAGCCCTCGAATATTTGCGCGATACTGTACTTTCGGTTCAGCAGCGTCTCACCAACAACTCCCTCACAGCATCGAGTCCACTGCGAGAAGGGCAAAAGTCATTGTCCTTCGGCTTCAGGGCGAGGAGATTCTTGAACTTCAGGGCAAAAGCAATTGTCCTCTGCCGACTGTTTCTGTCGTCCTCGCGCAGAAGAGGGGAAAACTAGCAGTCAATCCATAATGGCGGCATTTCCACCGCAAAATCCTCCGGGGCCTCCGCAACCGGCCGTGCCGTCATTAGATCTCACGGGCCTCTGTTTTCGCGACCAAATATTTCTAAATTTCGTTGGCGGATGCCTCGTGCCGGGTAACGTGTTCGACTATTTCGCCAACTCGCCGTTCTACGATCGCACGTGCAACAACGAGCAGCTGAGGATGCAGGGCATTCATCCCCTTGACACAGCGCGCCTCAGGTGGCTTCAGGTTTTGACTTAGTTAAGCATTGGTGCTAGGTCTTGTTCGTTGCACGTTTTACATGATGTGCCCCGTGTTGATCGTCTTTCCCCCGTCATCTCATGTACCCCGCCATCTGCATACTGTAGCAGCAATTTCCGAATGACTGTCGCCTCATTCCCAGATTTCTGCTTGGCTTGTCTCCCCATTCCCTTGTTCCCACTGCCTCCTCTCACAGCTCCGCCCCCATTGTCTCCCCCTCCTGTGTAAATTCTCCTTGACCAATTAACCCCTTGACCACTGGCCATTGCTTAGCTGGGAGATGGCGGAGCGGGAATCGCGCTTCGCTCCACATAGGTTGGAAACGCCGCACAACTCATTTCCTCCCTGTCCCTTGTTTTGAGACGTCTCACAACCCGTCTCTTCTCTCCCATCGTCCAGGGAGGTAGTGGGCTGGGATGTATTCGCTGCACATGGCTCAGGAGCCGCTTCAAATCCTCCGTGTTCTGAAACGTCTCAAAACCATTTTCTTCCCTCTCCCGGGAGATGGTGGGGTGGGTTGTATTCGCTGCACATGGCTCAGGAGCCGCTTCAAAGTCTCCGTGTTCTGAAACGTCTCAAAACCCGTTCCTTCCCTCTCTCCTCGAGACAGAGAGATGGTGGGGTGGGAGTATTCACTGCACATGGCGCAGGAGCCTCATCTGTTTGTGCTGCGGAAGCAGAAAAGGGACGGTCCAGATCGCACCACGCCCGTGGCTGCATACTACATCCTGGATGGGTCCATCTACCAGGCTCCGTCACTGCATGCCGTCATCGGTTCTCGGATCGTGAGTCACTTCGTCAGTCTGACCGACTAGTCAGGCATTCAGTCAGTCAGTCAGTCAGTCGGTCGGTCGGTCGGTCAGTCAGTCGGTGCATCAGTCAGTCAGTCAGTCAGTCAGTCAGTCAGTCAGTCAGTCAGTCAGTCAGTCAGTCAGTCAGTCAGTCAGTCAGTCAGTCAGTCAGTCAGTCAGTCAGTCAGTCAGTCAGTCAGTCAGTCAGTCAGTCAGTCAGTCAGTCAGTCAGTCAGTCAGTCAGTCAGTCAGTCAGTCAGTCAGTCAGTCAGTCAGTCAGTCAGTCAGTCAGTCAGTCAGTCAGTCAGTCAGTCAGTCAGTCAGTCAGTCAGTCAGTCAGTCAGTCAGTCAGTCAGTCAGTCAGTCAGTCAGTCAGTCAGTCAGTCAGTCAGTCAGTCAGTCAGTCAGTCAGTCAGTCAGTCAGTCAGGCCTTTCGGTCAGTCTGTCAGTCAGTCAGGCATTCGGTCAGTCTATCAGTCAGTCAGGCCATGTCAGGACATACCTTGTGCTTAATTTCTGTGGAATCTTTAGTCAACAATTGCCATGTCTAGAGGTCTGCTTCTACAGGTCCAGTCGTGCGGCCTGCTGCAATGGAGTTATGTGGGCCCCACCCTGTCATTTGGCAATGATGCTGCCAGCCGTGCTTTCACTCCAAGTCTTTTGTTTCATTCTTCTTCCTCACCCCTGTCAATTCCTGTGCTGTCGCGCGTGCATTATCTGCCATGTGTTGCAATTCTCCTTTCCCCTTCCTCTCCTTGTCTCTTTGCTCTCCTGTCGCTTCATTTTCCCCTTCTCCCCTGTTTCCTCTTGCTACCCCTTCTCCTCTGGATGTCCCCTTCCTCTTTACTTTCACGCCTTCCTATCCTAATCCACTCCCAATCATCAATCTCATGCCCTGTTCCCCCTCCTCCCTCTTCCCCCTTTCCTCCATCCCCCCTCCCCCCATTTCCCCCTTCCCCCTTCCCCCTTCCCCCTCTTCCCTCCCCCCCTCCCCAGTGTCGTGCCCTGCATCATCTCCGGGCAGCCTTTTCCATGACCCGGGCGGCTCTTGACAATCCCGAAGCTGCCCGGCCAAAAGAAGGTACGGGGCATGGTGGGAACGATGGGTTGCTGTAGAGATCATATCTACGAGGAGCAACAGGATTGTGGAGCCCCTTATCAGGGTCCACCCGTTGTTCGCCCTTCATGTTTAGCCCCCTTATTCTGAGTGCTTCTGTTGAGCCCCTTTCGCTCTTGGTGCATTTGCACTCACCTTATGCACTGTGTTGGAAGATGCGCTCTTGCCTTGATGGATATCGCGTATATACGAGAACGTATCCAGAGTGAATTGTTGATAACGTTCTTCTCCTCCTCCGCAGGACGCTGGCTGACAGTGATGCAGTTTTCGGGGGTTCAGCTCAGCTCATTACGCACCCAGCCAGAGCACGAGTACTACAATCCACCATCCATTTTGGGGGGCTATTAGGCTTGCCAATTTTCACCATCCACCACCCTCTTCCCCCTTCCTCACTTCTCATGTCACCCCAGCAGAGCGGACAGAGTCAGAAGGGGCGTCAGTTGATGCCCCTGACACGCCAGCAGCATCAGAGGCAAAACCAACCGCATCAGACGTGCGGGAGATGGCACGACTGGACCACGTGATTATGACCGTTGTCAGGAAGCTCACCCCAGCTCCACCTCCCCCAGATATCGCCTTGCCGGCGCTGCCACAGCCCGCAGCAGCAGGTGAAGCAGCAACTGCAGAGGACAAGACGGGAGGGGTGGGTACCTCTGCTGCTGGCGCTGCTGCTGGTGCTGCTGCTGCTGGTGGTGCTGCTGCTGCTGCTGCTGCCGCTCCTGCAACTGGTGCTGGCGCGACTACAGGTGCTGGGAAGAAAGCAGGGGCAGGTAAAGCGTCAACAGCAAGGAAGGCAGGGACAGCGAAGGCGAGAGCTGGGTCAGGTGCTAAGGCTGGTGCTGCAGGGAAGAGTGGTGGTGCCGCTGCTGCTGCCAATGCTGGTTCCGGTGCTGGTGCTGGTGGTGGTGGTGGTGCTGCTGCTGCTGCTGTTGCTGGAGGGACCAAGACAACAAAAGCTGTTCCGAAGCCCACACAAGAAGGGGAAGTACGGAAAGTAAAGAAGGCCAGAAAGGTCTAGTTTATGCTTACGCTCCGCATTTGTGGTTTTAGTTGGCTTGTATATGTGGTGTATAAATGAGCTTGTGTGTGGTGTATAAATGATACCCTTCAAGTGGAAAAACTACACCACAGGACAGAAGCTTGTCCAAGGATGATGGCAGGTGCCAGTATCCTTTCACGAGTGAGCATATTCTGCTCTTGCAAAGATAGCAAGTCATCCTGGTGCTGCATCTTCCAATGCATATATATTATATATATACAATGCATAGCTGGTTGGTCAGGCCTAGTAAAAGTGGATCATTGGCCCTGCAACCCCCCTTGCATAGTCCTAGGTCTGCCCCGTCCGTGACTCAACCACGCAGGTACGGTACTCAAGCTACAGCATCTGGGGGCAAACCACCTTCAGACAGCTCGTCGCCATCTGCAAAACCCCCACCACACCCACAGTTTTTCTCTCCCCCCTCCTTCCCCCCTTTCCCTCCCCCCCTCCCCATCCCCAATCCCCACCTCCCCCACATCCCCCCCCCCCCCCCCCACATATGCCCCTTTTCCCCTCTATGCTCTCACTTTTCCCTACTTCCGCTTCACCATCTCGCTTTGTACACTTTCCGACCAGCAGATATCCAACCTATACAGGGCTCGTTACATGAGATACGGTAACTCGCCTTTTTCCCCGACCGACCATGTTCCCACAGGCACCGCGCCGCCCACCCCAACTTCTTGCGTATCATAAGGTAGAATGTGGACGGAGTTTCGTGTCCGCCTTTGTTTAATCTCCTCTCCGCCGTTTACTCCTGCATCATCAAATGCCGCGCGCCGAAAAAGGTAGCGGCGAGCAGGACGGCCACGATTCCCGCCACCACCAGGGTTGCGGCGGTGTAGCTTCCGCGTTCGCCGGGCTGCTTCCAGAGCGTGTCGTGCGCGTGGCGCGCCTTGCGGTGATCGTGCCCCTCGTGCCGCCCCATAACGCGCCGACGCTCGGCTGACGGTGGCATGTGACGGACCTCTGAACACGCGGGAAGAACGGTACAAGGAAAAGAAAGTGAATATGGCAGGAGTTTGAATTAGGTGTGAGAGCGGAGGAGTGGAGGAGAGAGATTAGCGCGAAAACGGAAGGTTGAGAATGCTGCATAATGGAAACGAAATAATGTGCAGCATGCGAGAGCTCGAGGTGGACACCTGTTTTAGCCATTTTCCCAACACTGGAGTCGTGGGAGTGCGTTAATCCCACGAAGAGTGAACCTGCCTTTGTCATACGAAAGGGATAAAGCAAATGAACTAATCCTACAGGTAAAAAACCAATGGAGTTTATTCTGTAGTCACGACGAATAACAAACGATTGCTGTGTTCACATGCAAGAACAGACGCGGTTCTCGCGTATTTCTATACGAACAGAGCTGGAAGTCTTGACATGAATCTGTGGAACCCGAAACCAGGGCGCTCCGTCATTCCCTCCTTCTCCCATGTTGAAGGCGACGACATTGGAAAGGGGAGAATCTGCCCGACGTCTATGGTATTCGGGCAGTCTATTGTGTCTGATTCCCCAACTTTACATTAAACAAGTTGAGAGAGGTGTTCAGACTGCTTCCAGATTGTGATTGCGTGGAAGTGGGTGAAAATGATCCCTATGTATACCGCAAAACTCTACCCTACATTTGCTTTTTTAAATATGGGGCGTGTGTCGTGTTTTACCATACATTTCCATTCCATAAAGCCAGAACAGCACCATTTTTGCCTCCGTTGCTGGAGAATCCAGCAAGGCCAGAAAGTGCGGAAGCCCAATGACGGAAAATCAGGCGACACAGGTTACCATAGCGACGATAAGCCTTGTCAGCTTTTGCGAAAACTGTTAACCAGCCAACATTGATTTGCTGTGCTGACTTGGTGGGACGCCACGTCACAGAAGAACTTGCGTGCGTGGAGCAGTCTCGACATATCCTTTCTTTACAATCGGTCCTTGCAACGCACGAGACTCGTTCGTTTTTCAGAGGTCTTCAGAGTAGTTGTGAGGCTGTCTTTATCGAGTGCCTTCTTTTCCCGCCACGCATTCTCTGGCTTTGTCAGCCGAGCGGCGTCATTTTCATGTCGCTAGCATTTGGCATCATCCAGCCACGGGATGACCAGTGAGTAGTTGCGAGCCGCAAGGGAAGCTGGGAAATGGCGAAACGCTGGCGGCGAGCGCATCGACCTGCTGGTGACCTAATCTCAGCATTCAGATTCATCATTTGGAAAGATGTGCGGTCCGTCACCTGGACGAGTTCTATGAGGGATTCGGGTTTCGGGGATAAATGCGTCGGATAACCACACCTCAAAGAATCCGAAATCTCCAGCACGCTTGAGACGCTTGTTAGAAGCGCGTCCCTTAAGGCATCTAGATGGAGATAAGCAGGCAATCTGGGACAGGCCCGCTGCCGATACGCTGCATCAACCACGTTTCCATTAAGTGCGCCTCAGTACAGAAGTCTCTCGACTTCTATTCACGCGTTTTAGGCTTTCAGCCTGTGAAGCGTCCCGAGAAGTCTCTTAGCTTCGACGGTGCATGGTAAGGAATAAGGGTAAAGGTTAGGCCGCTACGTAAAAGTCTCGTTCGTTTTCCTGTCAAAGTTGTTCACTGACAGCCGTCCTTGGCAGGTTATTTAACTATGGAATCGGACTTCACCTTCTAGGCGACAGCGTTTGCCCTCCGATGCCACGAACCCTCACCCCTCGAGATAATCACATCGCGTTTCAGGCAAGTTACAGGCTTGCTTCTTCAGAACGCTCAACCGACAAGATTCTGGCCTTTTCCTCCCCAATCTAACCGTCGACATATTTTTTCTAACGCCTATTTTGTCTTCTTGCAGTCAGACAATCTTTTTGAAGTCGAGAGGAAGCTAAGCGCCTTGGCAATCTCATTCGTGAAGCAGCAGGTGGTGGAGGACGGGATAGTGGTCGATCAGATATTCTTTTTCGATCCTGACAACTACATGATCGAGGTCTGCAACTGCGACCTCCTTCCCATCGTACCCATTGACCCCTTTGAGCTGTCCACGTCAGCTTCGCCTTCTCAACAGCTCAAACATCAGGAGCTTCCAAGAAGGGTTTCAGGTACTCCTCCTCGAAGACTATCTGCTGGCTGTGTTCCTGAAAGTGGCACTGCTGCTGGTGCCCCAAGCCCATCAGGGGTCATTGTGCAATCTGGAAGCACACCGCTCTGTGTATAGTATACTGGTCCTGGTAATAAGGCATGTCACTTTAAAAAGAGTCAGTACTGTCTCCATTTCCAGCTGCATCTCTATCTATTGATTTTGGGTTACGGTATTTGATGGGCACGACAGTAAAAGTGTGGCTCCAAGCAAGACTTGCAAGCAGATGCTTTGAGTAGCATAGCATGCATCCTGGTGAAGCAATACCGAACATGTCACAGAAATCACCATGTTTTATGAACGGGTGCATCAAAAAACACTGATCAAAGCCAAACACTGCAGCAAGTTTGAATCAATGGATGCACTCTTTCTGATCAGAGCACATTTTACCAGTACTGAGAACGATACAACATTACATTGATTTTGTTGGAACAAAGAAGAGGCTGGCGTTTTAGCATGATGAGACCTAGGCAAGGGGTGAACGACTTGATACTCTTCTTTCATGTTTATCAAGTACTGTCCACTAGGTAAGATAACATAAATTCCAGTTCCTTAGTTTTCTATTCCGTCACACAAACGCGGATAGCAGAAGGCCAGAAAACTCCAACTGTACTCCCAAAGTGAGGTCACCAGAATTTTCAGCCAGTGGAAACCCACTGCGACCGAGGCTTGCCGCGCTCCACTCCACCACTCTGTGCGAGAGTGGAAAGGGCTTCGTTGCGCCTGAACTTGGGAGGCAAAACGAAGAGAGTTTTGCTCAAATTCGCGGAAGCGCACTTTGTTTTATTATCGCCACGTGGCGTGCCTACGATCGCGCAAGCCGCGATCTGTTTTATTGTTACCACAATTTTCATGTTAAGTTTAGTGGATCACTTGTACTGAGCTGCCCGCGGGCACAAATAAAACCCATTTGGGCCTTGCATGTGTTAGGGAGGCATCAACCCTAAACACCTTGCCTCCATGTTTTTAGGGTTGGTGCATCCCTAACGCATGCCAGGCCCAATTGGGTTTTATTTTTGCCCCCTGGTCAGCGCAGTACATTTAACCCTCTAAACTTGTTAGAATTTGAAGTGTGACTTAGCGAAGAGGATCGTTCAGGGTTGATCGCGGGTAGTGTCGCAGCGGAAGTAGTGAACTCAGGTCAGAGTGAATGTAAATGACTGAGATTGATAATAGCATGCATACATTGGGTTTATATAGAAATACAAAGGAATGCGAAACGACCTAGACTAGCCATGTACTCTAAGGGGTACATTCCCTTATTGCAGCGAAATTTAAACCGTGCGGCGCGGGAATCAGTTTCAAACCTGTTCCCGCTCTTTTCACTTCAAATGCTTCTGCCTGCATCGGTCTTAGTCAGACGGTTGCTGTGTCGCTTCTGTTGGAAACAATAAATTGTAAACGCCTCTGTCGTGTCGAAACACCACACCAGAAGCGAAGCACGCCATGTCGAAGCACCCGCGAGTCAACCCTCGGAGGTTAAAAAGAGGTTGCTGGAGGTTACGTGAAAGTCAAAGGTCAAGCGACCTTTGACCTGACAAATGCAGCGCGACAGTTAAGGACACACAACTGACTCGTTACAGAGCAGTTGCCCGAGTCGCACTGTATCGAACCGCAACAGCAACAGTAAAGCAGTTACAAACTATATCCTTTCATATTCCTTGTATTATTATATAATCTTGTACTTCCTTGCTATAATCAATCTACTTTGCCCTCACATACCAGCGCAAGGTGGTTCACAAACTTTTGTTAAACGCTTCCGCTATTACAACACTATCCATCCAGAGTTTGTCAGAATGCTATTATTGTCTAGCCTGCAGTGGGGTACTCTATAGCGAGTACAGCCCAATCTAGGGTTTGCTATTTGTACTCAACTGCCTGCTAGTTCAACCTCTCTCCTTTCAATCATTCTTGCCTAGTGATTCTGACATGCTATCAGAGCAGGTCGACCCTCCTGGGTCGATCCTGTGGGTGGGCCCACCACCTAAGCCTTCCGCTGCTACTGCTACTGCTACTGCTACTCCCTGTCCGCCGCGCGCCCCGTGGCGCGCGGCGTCGAAACTAGGGTTTTCAGCCCGCCGTGCGCCCCGAGGCACGCGGCGGTTTTCTGCCCGCCGTGCGCCCCGAGGCGCGCGGCGGTTCTCTGCCCGCCGTGTGCCCCGAGGCGCGCGGCGGGTTCCTGCCCCGTCACTCGGCACGTCGCCCCCGGGAGGCGCTGCGACGGGCGACGGGGACCCGCGCGTCGCCCCCCGTCGCCCGTCGTGGCCTGCGCGCGGCCCGTACACCCGGCACGCGGCCCGTACGGGCTGCGCCAGGCCTGCGCGCGGCCCGTACGGGCTGCGCCAGGCCCGCGCGCGGCCCGTACGGGCTGCGCCAGGCACGCGCGCGGCCCGTACGGGAAGCGCCAGGCCCGCGCGCGGCTCGGGCCGCCTGCGCGCGGTTCGGGCGGCTCTACCAGGCCCGTGGGCGGCCCGTTCCTCGCTGCTCCTGCCCTCTCCACTGTCCCCCGTGCTTCTACCGGCGCCTCACCCCTCCTACAGCCCGTTCTCCTAAATTAGGGTTTGGGGGTGAAGAGTGTGGGGGTGGCGGCTATGGGGGTGTCGGTTGT